TGGAACGCACATGTGTGCACACGTGAACACACATATGTGTACACGTGGAAAACGCATATGTGTACACGTGAACACACATATGCGCACACGGGGAACACACACATGTGTACACGTGGCACAAGCATATGTTCACACGCAAACACACACATATATGCACACCCGGAACACGCACAAACACACACACACATACGCACACACACACACGCGCGTGTTCGTCTGATAACAAACATGTGTTCCTGGAACACAAACACGTGTCCAGTTGGACGCACATGTGTGCACACGTGAACACACAAATGTGTACACGTGGAACACACATATGTGTACACGTGAGCACACATACATGTGCATGCGGAGCAGACACGTGTTCATCTGATAACAAACATGTGTTCTCCTGGAACACATACAAGTTTCCAGCTGGAACGCACATGTGCGCACACGTGAACACACAAATGTGTACACGTGGAACACGCATATGTGCACACGTTAAAACACATGTGTGCACACGTGGAACACACATATGTGTACGCCAAGAGGCGGCAAACTGCCATCAAGATTGTAATGCTGCGCCCTGACCGGCATGCCCGTCCGCGTTGTGTTCCAGGTGAACACACGTGTGTTCCACGTGTACGCACATGTGTGTCTGAATTGAACACGCGTTTCTTTGTGTTTCTTGTGAACACATGTGTGTTCCACGTGAACATATTAGCGTGTCGTAGGTGAACACATATGTGTGTTCCAGGTGTACACATGTGTGTGTGTGCTTTACAAGAAGCACACATTGGTTTTCCATGTTCACGGGTGCACATCTGCGCGTGCCGCGTGTACTGTTTCAGTCGTATACGTGATATGTGTGTTCCACATGTGCACACACGTGTGTGTCTGAATTGGACACGTGTGTCTGAACTGCCCATGTGACCGCGCGCTTGCTCAGCCACTCTTGCGTTCACACGCGCGCGCTCGCCCGCTATCGCACGCGCTTGCCCAACCTCAGTTCCCGCGCGGTGCTGAAGCGCGAAGCACGCCAGCAACACACGTGCAGCAGCGCAACGCGTGCCATGTTGAAGCGCTGAAAGCCACAAGCTGTTGGCATGTTTGTGCTTGCCCGTCAGTCCTCACCTGTTTTGTGTCTCTGCTGGTGTAATTTTTTAAGCCTGGCCCTGGCGCAGGACTAGCCCTGGCAGGTGGTTGGTTGGTTGGTTGGTTGGTTGGTTGGTTGGTTGCTTGGTTGGTTGGTGGGTGGGTGGGTGGGTTGGTTGGTTGGTTGGTTGGTCCCTTTGGCTATGTGCCGCCTACCTTAACCCAGCCTAAACACAACCAATATTTAAACCCACCTTAAACCAGCCCTAAACCCATCCGAGACCAACCCCGAACAACCCCACCATAAACCAGCACTAAACCATCTACCTCAAGCCTGGCCACTCCAAACCCAGCCAACCAAAGCCTGGTGATGCTGAGGATGTTGAAGCCGATGCTGAGGATGTTACGCTTAGCGAACTACCCTAAACCCACCCCAAACATTTGTCCGTCACTGTCTCAGTGCACGCCAGGCTGTGCCAGGGTTAGGCTAATGCCAAGTTGCCAAGTCCGGCTTGTCCAGTGTGTCCGGCTTGTCCAGTGGGACCCAACATCTGCGATTCAGCAGCTGCGCTTCAGCAGCTTTCCTCCATGCTTGCCGAACGATCATCAGACCCAGTTGCCAGATCCCAGTTGCAGGCTTCCGGCTTTTCCCGGCTTTTTCAGTTGCCAATTCCCAGGCTGCCAAATCCTGATTGCCGAATCCGAGTTGCCGAGTCCTAGTTGCCGACTTGCCAAACTTTAGGGTTTAGGCTCTGGGTGCCAGAAGGCTAACGCGAGGGTTTATGGCTTTCAGCGTTGCAGGGCTTTGGTGTGTCAACTGGCTTTGGGGATAGGATCCACACGATCAGCTGACTGTAGGGTTTAGGTTTGTTTTTCCCCTCTTGCCTTGGCCGGACCAGCAACCATCTGATTCACCAATTCTGAGTCCCCCCCTCCCCCCAACAGGATCGTAACTGCCCCCTTTTCTGGGTGCCATGGCAATTTTTGCATTTTGAAGACACCCCAACTGTCCATGCCACGAACTGCTAAAACACTCTTTCAGCCCCAGGAACACGCCACTTGGCGCATCAAAGCCACCAACCAGACCTGAGGAGGCTCTCCAAACACTCCTCCGATTCTCAGGTCTGGACGCCGGGCCCCGAGATTTTGGCCGACCTTTGCGAAGTGGGGGGTGCAGCCCGACACTTTTTTTTCTCTCCCCCCACGCGCAATTTCATGCGGAAAAGTGACTTGATTCCTTCTGGGATTGAAGCGTCCCAGGTGCTTGGCTTTGTTTTGGGACTCGCCACCCAGATTCCATCCGATTCCTCGATCAAGCGCGCTTTGTGCAAAGCAATCAGCAAGTTGTGAACTCAAACAGCCCGGTAAGGATCTAACCTCTGCCTTTTTCTCAACGCTCTTTCCCTCTCAGAATCTCGGCCCAAAAGCACATCACACAAGCAGAACAATCGCCCCTTCCACGGCAAGGAAAAAACAACTGGGGAAGAGTCCAGCGCTCCTGGCACCTCCTTTCGCCGCTTTCCCTGGCCGCGCCGGCGGGATTCGGCGTCCGCCGGCCTGAGGCCTGCAGCGAGGACTCAGCCATCCCTTGGGCCGAGGTGCGGCGGAGGATCGCGGAGGTGGATCCGGCGGCTCCGGCGGAGGAGTGCCTTTCGGCCTGAGGTCGAGGTGATGAAACAACCAGGCAGGTTGGTGGATCACCCGGAACAGAGGACTGTTGGAGGGTTGGAGGGCCCATAAATGCCGGTTCAAAATGCCCACTTTGGAAGCAACAATCGGATGCCGAGGTCTCTCTAAACGTGGGCTTTTGCTTCGATCCGAAAGGGGTCCGTTTGGATAGGAAAGCGAGCTGGACACCGTCCAAATGGCATCATTTTGCTCAAGGTCCGCACTTTTAACTCACTTGTGGATGATTGTGCTCACCCTTCTCACCGGGAGGCTCGGTGAGGTTCCGCTGTTTGACTGCGCCAGGGATTAGAACACACCGCGAATTGGCCAATGGCACCTGAACCAGCCACAGGGTCGATTTCTTGGCAACTGTTACCTTTGGTTTCCCTTCAGGCACCACCTCCAAGCACCAATCCTCAACCCTGCTGTCTGAGCCTGTTAGCTTTCCTTTTTCAGGTAAAAATCCTCAACCCTGTCGTTTTTGGTGCTCCCTTAGCTCCGGTGGTGCAGTTGCGCGGGTCTCCGCGGCGAGCGCAGGACGCCGTCGCCCTGCTGCGCAGCGCCGCCTTCGTTGGGGGCGTGGACCTCAATGACTGTCCGGGGGCTCAACCCGCGAAAGCGCTTCGTCGAATTTTGGACCAAGGGGCCGTTTTTTTTTTTGGCTTATGAACAGGACGTGTTTGCATGTGCTTTGTGGGCTGGTGCTCTGCGTTTGTTTGTTTGTTTGTTTGTTTGTTTGTGTGTTTTTGGTTGTCTGAGTCTTGTGTGCGTTGCGCGCTTGTTGTGCTTTGCTTGCGGGTGTGCCCCTCTTGCGTGCCTTATTTGCTTTACGTTCTTTTTATGCATTGCGAGCGTTTGGTGTGCCTTGTGTGCCTCTTGTGTGCCTCTTGTGTGCCTCTTGTGTGCCTCTTGTGTGCCTCTTGTGTGCCTCTTGTGTGCCTCTTGTGTGCCTCTTGTGTGCCTCTTGTGTGCCTCTTGTGTGCCTCTTGTGTGCCTCTTGTGTGCCTCTTGTGTGCCTCTTGTGTGCCTCTTGTGTGCCTTTGCGCGTCTTGTGTTTCGTGCGCCTTGTGTGCTTGGTGTGCTGGTTGTGCTTTGTGTAATCCATGCCCAAAGACCTGCGGCTCAGGCGACTGCTGGTACGGCCGACCCGCCCAAATTTTGGCCGAGACAGTCGCTGGCCGAAATGCGTCTCTGCCAGGCTGGATCACACTCCGCTTCTTCGTGCCTCAGGCAGGCTCCGGATCCCTTGGAACGAATAGATTGAAGTGTTTTGTTTTTTGGGCGGCAACTTTGAGAATGTCGCCTTGCTGGAGCTAGTGCTTGACTTTGCATGACCCTGCGCCTGCCCCATACCATTCGTTTGCTTTTGCAGTTGCCTTTCTTCTGCCGAAAAATCACAAAACATGCACAGGCCGCCTGGCCTGGCTACACTTACACTTTGTTGTTCGTTGTTCAGCTTGCACACGTAGGCTGCTGCTTGGGAAAAAATGACATGTCAATAAGCCGGAAACGGGGTGCGTGGGGTGAGCAAACCGGAGCCGGGGGGGGGGGGGCAGGGCGCACAAAAATACCAACCGAAGAGGCCATGGATAGCAAAGGAACGACAAACACCCACAACTTACAGATGTAAGTCGCAATGCTTGTTGCCGGGGCGCTGGACCTTTTGGGGCACGTCTCTCACCGACTTTTTGCACTAGTGAAAAAATGGTTTTGGGTTCTACAGTTTTCCTTTTCCACAAAACACCTTTGTGTATTGTCCTTGTGAAAGGGCCTTCTTTGGACTAGCCTTGCATGAGGATTTTCAATGGCCATGTCCGAAAACTCACAGCAACACGTCCACACCACCAACCAAACCCAAAACTCAGCAACCTCATGACCATGCTCTGTTGCCAAGAGGAATTTTCCGAAGCTCACTAGCAAACTATTATTGAAATGCAACTTTCACGCCCGCCTGAAGGTTTTCCAGCTTGAAATGAAACATTCTTAGTTGAAACCAGTAGAAACCGGGTCAGTCTGGGAGAACAATTGAAACCCTTGCAGCGGTCAAACCCATTGACCAATCCATCGATCGACCCTCAGTGAACAGTACCAATTGATTCTAATGAATGTGGCCAACGAAAAACGACCAATCTTCTCATTCCCCTTGGACTTTTAGTTTCCAACCTGCTTTATATAGAAATCAGACGCTTATTCCGTTGAATCGGCCATAAGTCCAGCTGCCGCTCTAAAAAACGGGTCGGGTAGCTCATTGCGAGGTCCTCTCCAGCGAGGAACGGCTTCAAATCTTGGAGGAGCAGCCATGGCCTCGTTCGAAGGGAGTGACCGAGCCGCGAAAACCGCGTGAAGTGGATCTTGTCAGATGGACATCCGCATCAAATCCACGTCTGTGACCTCATCACCTTGGACCTTTCTTGTAAGAAAATGATTCGACATGGAATTCATCTTGGCCTTGTTTTAGGCAAGGAACAGTGACTTTCCAGAATATATTTTTGATGTAGGGAGAATCATTTGCCTATAGTCTATGCCCCTGTCAACTTGTTGCGTCGGCTTTTCCTTAGCCTAATCCCCATGTGGAAAATTTTCGGGGTTTCGATTCAACCGGCAGTGGCGCTTTCTCAAGTGCGGGGTCCTTGGGGTTTTAAAGGAAACCACAGGCAGGCGATCTCTTTTTGGGCGGTTGTCCCTGGCAGATCCAATTGGTTCCTTGGGAGTGGGTGCATTTGAGGCTTGCTCATGGAACAACATGTTTTGAGCAGCGCTTTGCGCAACACTCAATGTTCACAGCTGGATTGCACCAAAGGCCAAACAAAATGCAACGCTGAAAAGACGGGGGGGTCTTTGTTGCCCGCTGTGGACCTGTGGGGTTTTTGTTGTCGAGGCTTTTCCACACGGAGTTCCTCATTTGGCTCGGCTTTCCCTGGGTGCGCTGCGATGTTTGGGCTAAGGGGAGAGCAGCTGACAGAGTGAGGACATGGCCGAAGATTTGCCCAGTTTTTGGGGAAGCAAGTCATTTTGTCCGCTCAGAGAGCAACAAAATCACATCCATTCCTTGGCTTTCCTGGGTTTTGCTTGGCTTTCCTGGGCATTCTTGGGTTTTCCTTGGCTTCGGTATCGCAGGTCCAGGCCCAAAGAAGTCAAACCAGCCTCGCTCTGCCAGATGGAGATGCTGGACTCCGAATGGAAGCCGCCTGGCGGCCCAGTCGCTTGAACTCTCCCGAGCTTGCGAAACCGGCAGTGGTTTGCCTTGGAAAGTTGTGTCCTGAACTCTTCTTGCCATGGGATCCGAACAAAACCGGCACGCCCGGTCTAAGGCCCAAGTTTGGTCCTGGAACATTCTTGCCATGGGATCCACGGGCATGGGCCATGACTTGCGAATGTCCTCCTGCCGTTTTCGTCTTGACCCGAGACCGGGACCGGACCCCTTTGGGCGCAGATTTGGGCCAAGCTGAGTTGCAGGCTGGAGGCCCTGGCCGGCAGCGCCAAGGCAGGTGGCCTCTTTGGGAGACACGTTTGGGGGAGCCCCCTTTAGGAAGAATATGTGTTGGGATGAGGGAAACCCTTCTGGGGTTATGAGGGTTTCATGTCATTTGAAGAGGCACATCACATGCAATCAACGGGGTTTTGGGGCTTCGGCTCAAGGTTGACCCGTCACGTTTCCCGGATCTCCACTTGGAACATCCGTGGACGATTGAAGATCAGGACCCTCGATTCCCAGTTCTAAAGATTGATTCTCATTTTCTTTGCCAGTCGTTCAGTTTCCGAAGCCGCGCAGTTTTTGATGGGCAGGAGCGGTTTTTCTGGTCAAGCGGTCATCGCTTCATTCGAGCATACGAGCCAGAGAGCTACTTTTGGGTGCTTATAGGCATGAGCAGAAGGCTATCTATCCATTTGGAGGGTCCCCACGTTTGGCGCATGTCCTTCCTTTTTCCCAAAAGCTCTGTCTGATTGTGGAAAGCTGTCAGAAGCAGAGCCCCCTTGTGCTCAGTTCACATTGAGAATGCACTGACACCATTCCGCATCTCCTTGACTGGGAGGTGGTGCAGCGAGCAAGGATAGAAGACGAGGAGCGCAGATGTTTTCTTGCCGGGCGAAGATTGAAAAACCGTTTGCCTGGCCAGTGTTTTGAGGTGTCTTGAGTTTGGTAGGCTTGTGTAGACACACTTCGTTCCCAATTAAGCACACCTCGTGCCATTTTTGGCTCAAGGACTTGACCAAACTGGCTAAGGTATATATATATATATTCTCAATCGCGATGGTTGCCTTGGAATTTGACGTGCGTTGGCTGCGTTGGGATTACTCTCACCAGTCGTACAGCGTGAAGCTGGGACGCGGCTAGTGAGTCTGCAGGGGTGACAAACGCTGCAGTACATAAATTTGTTTGGAGAAGCATACCAATGCATTATCCTCGAGAAACGAGGTTTCTGATCAGTGAAGGCAAACGATATGAAAAGGAGTGCGTTGTTTGTTTCTGTCGTGTGACTCAAGCTAGGAATGTTGAGGTGTCTTGAGTTTGGTAGGCTTGGGTAGACGCACCTCACTCCTCAATTGGGGATACCCCATGCCATTATGGCTCCAGGACTTGACACGAACCCATCCCACCCATTCCACAGCGGAACATAGTTGAGGGGGATTACTCTCACCCGTCGTACAGCGTGAAGCTGGGATGCGGCTGGTGGGTGGGTCTGCAAGGGTGACAAACCCGAGGAGCATAGCAAGGCATGGTCCCCGAGAAGCGAGATTGGCTGATCGTGAAGGCAAACCATATGAAAAGGAGCGCGCGGCGTTTTACCATTGTGTGATTGTGTGATTCAGGCTAGGAATGATGTAGATGTAAGAAATGGGATGCTTCAGGGTGCCAAAATTAGGCCTTGCCCCGATTATGGCACGTCAGGCGCGGCAGAGGTTTTGGTCGCGAATCTGACGGCGGGTTCCGATTTTTTTCTGCTTCGTTGCCTTTGGCGCATTCAAAGAAACCTAGTGGTCGATGGTCGATTTGGGAGGGACATTGGGGACTCCCTGCATTTCTTACAACACCGAAATCGAGCGGTAGATCTTGAACGTGGCCCCGCATGATTTCCGCCAGGCTCCAAGTTGCACGTGGATGTTGGTAGATGTGGGCGAGCCTAAAGCCGCAGCTTCATTTCATCCGGTATCCAACTAAGCAGACGTGGTTGCTACTTGATGCGGTCCTGTTCCTGTTTGGTGTGACCCATGTATGTGAATCGGGCTGGACCAAGACTCAGGAGGGCTGCTCGCCTGATGAATATCGCCTGCTGAAGGCTGGCGGAGCATTTTGGGCATCAAAGCCTGGTGGTTGTTGCCCATTGAACAGAGATCCAATACTCCAATACCTACTTGTTGGATTTTTTGTTGCTCCAACTAGCCTGTAAAACTTTTGGATAGTCTCCACCCAGCAAACATGAAGCTTCTCGCAAGTTGTTCCACGGCCCCGTTTATAGCTCGCCGGGAGCGTGTGTCAACTCAGGGACGCCTTGGTTTCGACCAATCGGAAAGTGCTTGGCCGTGCGAGGTTCGGGGAAAAGTACCAGTTCCTTTGGGAGGATCACGGGGAACTCACCCGGTTTGAACGCACAAATTGTCCCATGTCCAGTTGGGGAACCACGGCGTGTTTTACGTGGTTGAGCCATTGGTTTCACAGCGGTCTCCATTCAAGAAAGACCACATGTTTGGACACTTGGCAGTCGCACACAATTCATTCGTGGACCTCATGAAATTATTGTTAAGACGTTAAAAGTTTTGTCTCAAAATAGACAAATGCCCAAAATGGGTTTACTTGCTTGAGCCAACCCTCACGAAGAGGAGCGCCGTGGTCAATTGTTTTTTTCTTGTTGCTGGGATGACCGGTGTAATGCTTGACCCGTAAAATGCGTAAAGGTTGAGTTGAAGGAATTGCGCAAAGAGTTTGATTCGATCTATTGACATTCTTTTTGACAGTGGCTTTTCCTTTCCGGGTGATTTAAACCCGTCAAAAAATGGTCCCTCACCATCCCCAAGAAACACACGCATACACTCATATGGCTAAGAATTTCATGGGGGACCCGCTGAGAAGTGGTTAGTAAGCATAAATCCCCAGCTAAGTGATGTCCACCAAAGGGTTCCTGCACCTATGTTGGCAACTGAAAGGTTTCGTTCAAAGCCAAGGACAAGAACAGAACCATGGCCTTTTCCATCCCGGAAGCAAACGTTTGGGTGTTTTCGGCGATGCAGAATACCTGACTACAGAAAATAGTGGTAGCTCCTCACTGTTCGTAGCTTTTTTTGGTTCTGTTCATTTTTGGAAGGGGGCTGCAACTAACAAAAGTGTTTTGCTACCATACCAAGGGTTGTGACCTGGAACCACGGAGGAAGAGACCGCCACGGGGCTCATGTTCAGGCACCGGACTCCGCAGATAGGTTCAGAGTCATGTTGGTAGCCAGCGGGCGCGGTTGGTCCGGTTGGCGATGGTCTCGAGCTCCAGCTCTAGTTCCAGCTCGAGCTCTTCCAAGAAGGTAAAACGAAAGCAGAAGAATGACGACATCAACGCCCCTCGGCCAAAAAAACAAACTTCCTGGCCTTGGCGCCAGAAAGGCTCTGGCATAAGTTGGCCGGATCTTTGCCTCGCCTCAACTAGTATGCGGACTTGGATTGAAAACGGTCAGCAATGGGAAACAACCACTCAGCGATCACAATTTTTTGGTGCGGCGAACAAATTGATTTCCGACCAGCGGCAATGTTCAGGTGGCGGATCTTTCAAAACTTGGTGGCTCCCAGCCATCCCCTTAGCCTTTTAGCTTTTTTTAGTCTTTAGTGGGGATCTCCATTTCACCCACTAAAAGTTAGTCACTTTTAGCAGGGGATCTGAGGACAGCCCAGAAAAGGCTCGGCTCTTCCGCTAGTTGTGTCAAGGGCCAACTTGTCCCCTGGCCTGGCCTGCCTCATATGCGGCAGAACTCACTTGGGCTGACTTCCCAGGCGAAAATTGCTGCGAGGCACGGAAGGGAAGGGAGTTGAGGCCAAGGAATTTCCTCATTCCATTGGCTCAAAATGGCGGACCCTGTGAATTGGGTGCTTTCCTTGGGTGTTTTCTCTTGAAAACCACCCCAGTTCCCGGAAAAAGAACACCTACCCTGGCCAAAACGTGTTTGAGATGGAGTTTTTCCAAAGGCCCGTTGTTCTGCAGACTTCCTCCAACTGGTAGACTTCTTCACCCCCCGGTGCAAAGTTTCATATTGAACCCAGCCTTTCGGCGTTCAAACGGAGGGGTTCAACCCTGATGGCTTTGTGGTCCTTCATTCGACAGGATGGCAAAGCGAGAGCAGGATGAGAACGCATGGCAGGGCTGGATCTGTCCATGCGGCGGCAAGAACTTTGTGATGAAAGGACATCGTAGTTTTTCCTTCCGACTCACTCAGAAAATGCTTCCAAGAAGAGGAGGACAACCAGTGACAAATCGAGTTGCCCCCCCTTGGGACAGTTTTTGAAAGGAGGCCGTGGTGAGTTTCCCACCATTCGAGGACACAAGCTAGTGGCAATGAATGTTGATTACCGCATCGTATGTATGATTCAGAGCTGATCCAGTTCAACCATGATGAGCTGGCGTCGTTTCACTTTGGCGTTCCCATCCACCAAAGGAACCTGACAGCAGGTCGGAAAACACCAGAAAAGGCCTTCCGGGTACCTTCCTGGAGGTATGTTGGTGAGAGGGAGGTTAGGTTTGCCACTCTACCACTCACATGCTGACATTGTTGGGGGTGTTCGCAGCAGCCGCCGCGAGATAAATGGGCGCCGGCCTGCGAAGCAGACACTAACCGTCCGGTTTGGGGGACAACTGTTCACAGTTGACGGGCCGATCCGCATCATCCATAACTTTTGGCATCGAAGGAAAAGACTTCGACGACATGTTTCGGGTTTGCGGACGTTCAGCCAATCGGGAGATTACCGCCCTGAAGAAGTCCAGAGAAGTGTCCTCGCGATGGTCACATGAAGAGAGAAGGAACCCTAACTATGGCCCCCTGCCAGTCACGTTGGCAACATAGCTATTAGAGGAACCTCCAAACTTCATCCAAGCATAAAGGAGCTCTAGAAACAATTCGGCCACTTCTCTAGAGCCAAGCTACAGGAAATTCCAAGTGCACCTTGTTTTTCCACCAACAAACTTGTTTCTTGGTCCCATAAACCTGGTAAAACATGGAGGTCGAAAACATGATTTTGGTTGGAAGAGCTTAAAGGAGCTTCCGTTCGGGAACCCCAACATATCTATTGGAATCTCCCAAACTCACCTCGAATCCAGCCCACTAAACTTTGTTCTTTTTTGTTTTCTCCGCGCCCTACCAGGCAAACAAGAAAACGGAGGTTGCGCAACACATCCAACCCACTCTTTTTTTCCGCGCTTAAAAAACGGAGGTCGCGCAAAAAACCCCGGGGGGATTTTTCTCTCTTTTGGGACACCCCCGAACCGCTCCGTCCGAAGCGCGCCCGACTCGCGCGAATTCAGGACGTTGCTACGCCTGCAACGCGCTGAAGCCTCTGAGCGGGGCTCAGAAGGGCCTCGCGGCCGCGGAGAAGATCGCGGCGTCCATCGCGCGCCGGTTGGCTGCAGCCAGCCGAAGCCGGGGGGGGAAGGGGGAGGAGGGGAGGGGAGGCGGGGGGTGACGGCTGATTTGAATGGCGCAAGATAATAATGAGGGGCTCGCCCGCGCTGGAACAAGTTTTAGCTAGGCGATCTTCCAATGAGTTCTTACCTGGAATATCTCCGCCAAAACGCAGGAGCGTAAAAGGTTTCATCTTCAGAAAACAAGAAAACACCATGTTCCCCTTTTTTAATGATTAACAACTCAGGCCCCCACGCGAGGGGGGAGAAGGTTTGGTGCGTGTTTTTCAAGGCCCCCGAAGTTTCAACTTCCATTTGCTGACATGAATATTTGTGTTATATGTTTTCTCCTGGGTTGGTTTTAAAAGAGCATCTACCACTATTGAACATGTTTTTTTTGTTTTTCCCCTGCGACTTGAGTAAGTGGAGGTGAAGCCAAATGGTCCAAACCACCAAGCCAATCAACCAATGAGGCGTAAGGTGAGGATTTGTGGTTTGGGTGCGTTTGTTTGGGCCATTTTTTTTGTTTCCTGGGGGGAGGGTGGGTAGGTGGTTTGCTTTTATTTTTCTTTTCTGGGGTAGGGCTTGGGGTTGCGGTTCCTCACCCAGCGTCAGTCCATTGCATGTCGCCTCAGTCGATTGGTTTTTCTTGAAAGGAGCAACTGGAGACATGGGTGGCTCGCCTTTCCTTTCAGGCAAAATGTCTTGCGGCTTCCTTTTTGGTTTCCAAATTTCCCTTCAAAGCCACCAGAAATTGGGGGCCTTCAAAACCCCACCAAAACCGGAAGGGGGGGGGGGGCGCTGTGGCTTTGGGTTTCCCTTGTTTGAGCCCCGAACCGGAGCCGACTCCCAAGCCGAAGCCGAGCGAGTCCCAGGTGCCCACCTGCCGGAGCCGGAGCCGAAGCCGCCCTCCTCGCGCCTGGGTGACTTTTTCAAGTTTTGTTTGTTTTTGGCGGCAAACCGACATTTCCAGTTTTGGTGTGTTTTCGTTTTGTTGCTTTTCCTTATTTTTTGAGGGGCGGGGGTGAACCCCAGTTTTGTTTGTTTGTTTGGTGGTTGTGTGAGTTTTTTTTTGGGAGGGGGGTGAGCCCTAACTTGTGGTGGTTATGGTTTGGGGTGTCCCCCATTTCAAGAAACACGCATGTAAGCACCTCCAAAAAGGCGGAACAGCCAACTCCAAGACGCCTCAGGATACCAAGCTTCCACAAGGTCCAGCTTTAGCTCAGGTCCAGCTCTTCCTCTTCCTCGCGCTATAGGAGTAGAAGGAGAAGCCGCAGCAGGCTCGGGCCAGAGAAGTTTTTGGGACAATCGGCCATCGCGGGTGTATCAAATGGACATTGGACCCCCAAATTCTTGGGGTTGATTCCCCATTCTTTTCAGCCATCGTTCTTTTCCCTGGATTGTTGGTGGTTTTCTAGAAAGAAGGATCCCTGGAAAGAATAGAGAAGTTACCCCTAGACAAAAGGTGGCCCCTTTCAGCAAAAACACGATGCTGGTTTTCTCTTTATTTCCCTCAAAAAAGAGCGCCGCAAGGTGCTGCCAGCAAGGAACGCTTTGGAATTGAACATCAATGGCCTCAACCCGCTTGCCTGCAGGAATATGTGGCTATGAACTTTCATGCTTGGAACCTCCTGAAAAGTGGTTGGTGGACACAAATCCCCAGCTAAATGATGTCCACCAAAGGGTCCCTAATTCAAATTCATGCCTATATCATGTGTAGCTTGAGCATCATTGATTCCTTTTCCATGCATTCTTTGAAGCAGCAGAATGGTTGGACATTGCCACATTGCCCCCAGAGTCCGTGTGGATGATGAGTTTCATTTTTGAGTGAGGCTGCTTTGGATTTTGAATGGGACACCATTTGGAGCTTTGTATCACGAGCTCGCTGATCGGTGAGACAATCTCACTGGTACTTGTTGTGGTCTCCACGGGACGGCGTACGGCGTAAGCAGTTCCGGTGCTATTCGAACTGCCCCAACTTTGAAGACCCGGCCAGGCATAGGTGTCCTTTTTTGTTTTGGTAGAAAAATCGATGGCCCTGGCTTACCTGGTGGTTTAATCATCTACCAGGGCCATCAATTTCCCCTAGAAGGACACCTATGCGGCCAGGTCTTTTTCTGTCCAAACGTTGAACGGTGAGCATCGATTCCTCGAGGCAATTTCTCGCGAATCGATCCGCCGGCGAGGGAGCGCAGCGACAGCGAGGGCCGCGAGCGCAGCCCTGCGGCTCACTCCGAGAGTGAAGAAGTCATGGTGGCCAAGACGCAGGCCGTGAAGCGGCTGGAAGAGATCAAGGACCCATTTGGGTGTGGCTCAAAATTACACAGGAGGGGCAAACCGCAGGTTTTGGTCCGTGTTTCCCACTTACCAGGTTCCATTTTGGAATTCCGGTTTTTGAGCAGCCATTTGGCTATGGGTGAAAAGGGACCAAGGCTGGAGGGAGCCCGAAGGTTTGACCTCTTTGAGGTTTGCCCAAATGCGAAGATGTGTCTACGTTTTTTTTTTGGGACGAGAAAAGAGGCGAAAAACGCCTGCCTGCGTAGCCACAAGACTAAGCAAGGATGCTGGCGCTCACAATGTTGGCGAAGGGAACCTTTCTGAGGTTTGAAGCGAAACCAAAAGGAAACCACCGGTTTCGAAACTGGGACGCCAAGAAAACACCCCCCCATTTTGCGGGAAAGCCTGTGGGCTATGTCTTGAAATGGACCCAACATGGCTGGTCACCCAAGGGTACCCTCAAAAGGCGCACCCCTGTTCTGGAGAGGATCTCCTTTGTTTTCTTAGCTGTTTTGGACACTCGTTGCATGCACCTGCGACATGGCCAAAGATCTCGTGTTGGAGCGCCCGGCACACGTCACTTTCTTGCCCTTGAAACACTGTATTTCTTGGTGGCTCCCAGTCATCCCCTTAGCTTTTTATCCTTTTTGTGTTTAGTGGTAGTTTCCATTTAACCCACTAAAAGTTATTCACTTGGAGCGGGGGATCTGAGGGCAGCCCAGATTGTGATGTGCCTGCAAACAGGGATACCTCATTCAGATGGTTTCAAAGAAAATGCAACGCAAGCGCAGGGCCTCGAGCTCGTAACCGTCGCAACCGCATCCGTGAGGATATGCAGGGCTCGGCAGACCAGAAGGAGAAAGCCTTTAAGAAGCTGCTTCGGGATTGGCACCCGGACAAGAATGCAGATCGGGTGCAAGTTTGTACAGCGGTGTTCCAGTTTCTGCAGAAAGCCAGGCACCTCTTTCAAGCTGGGAGATAGCAATGATCTAAAGCGTATCACAGGCGTTGCTGGCAAGTCGCGGAGACGCTTTCGGAGCGTTTCACATTGTCCAATAACAACTTCAGTTTTTCTTGGTGCAATTCAATCACTGAGCTCCACGGCGTTTCAAAGGAGCAGTGCCAGCAACGGTCTCCTTTGGCGCATTCGTGCCGAATGCACGACGCGTTAGCGTTACTCACACGCTTTGTGAAGGTTGGGCCAGCAGGGCATTGGTTCCGTTTCGCGGTTGTATTTCCCAGTTTTCTGGTTGCAGTTGAATCTCTTTGAACCTTGAGAAGACATAGATCTCAAACTGTGCATCATGGAGGTGGGTCGCAACAATGAGTTGCAGACCTTTCTGTGACTGCTCCAGCCCTCATCCAGATCGTCAAAGATGCTCGATGGCTGCTTCTGACACGGCTGGGGATGGCTGGGGCCCAACAGATGTCCGTAGTTTTGACACCCTTCAAAGGAACCTCATCAAGCAACACACCAAGCTAGATATGACCAACCTTTGAACAAACTCATCAGTTCGTTCGCCCCATGCACGATACAGCGCATGCTCAGTGTAGTGAAGGTTCCCTCTTGGGCCTGTGTAAAGAGAAATCCGGCCAAGAAACCTGGCCGACCAAGTGGCTGTGGTCAAAAGACCTGTTTTCTGGGGCATGGACAGGCGCCAGACGAATTCCACCCTATGAAAATCCTGGTTGCACCTACCTGGTTGCACCTACCATTCTCACGCCTTTCAGGCCCTTCCGTCGGAGGCCGGAGGCTCAGGAAATCAGAGGGTGTGCTGTTGGGAGCACATGGGTTTGGGCGGGGGGGGTGGGGGGCCACCCCACCTTTTCACGAAAACCACGGGAGGGGGGGGGGGAAGAGGCTGATTTGTTTGGATGTTTATGTTGATCCAAGAAAGAAAGCATGGTTGGTTTTGGTTGGGGGCACTATTAAAAACCTGCAAGCTTTGACTGACATGATCCATCCGTGCCTGGAGGAGTGTGATTCAATGGGCAGAGCTTGGCTGTGCAAATGACTCACATGGGGGGGGGGGGGTACGCCCCAAAAAAACAATCCCAACAAAGGCATCCACAAAAAAAACAACAGCACCCCTGCACAGAGGCGAGTATCCTGGTGAAGGTTGGCTTCAAAAGACATGTGTTTCAGGTTTTATCACCCCTCGACGTGTGTGATGCAAGTTGGTTTGGGTGCTGTTTTGCAGAATATCTATGTCACCGTTTTGCACACAGATGAACATATACATGCAAGTTCTGCATGAGGTAAGCTAACCAATGTTGGCTCATCAAAGCGAGCGTTGTGCTCCAAGGATGCCGTTTCCTTCAGGATTGCTTCTCTGGGGTTGTTCTGATTCTCCCAGACGTTTGGACCTCACGTTTGTTTTGTCCGAGAAGGACACGCAGTGTTTCCTTTGCCTGGACCTCACATAAAGTTTGGTCAATTGGACGAGGCCTGAGGGGAATCACCAACTTTTGCACATGAAGTCACGAAGCTTCACAGAGCGGTAGGCGTGGCATCTCTCCGCAAGTGACGTAGCACTTCGAAGGCCACGTTGCTCAGGGGCAATGTCGACCCGGAGGAATAAACCCCTGCTTATTCATATGGGGGTGCTCCCCTCCAAAAGTGACAAATCCCACCAGGGGCACCCCCCCCATTGTAAATAAAGGGGGGCTTCTTGTGTTCCCCATGGACCCTCCAGGTTCCTTGGGGCCAGGTTTCACATGTCTCTCAGAGTCTCACCAATAGCTGTGAGTGACACTCACCAGCTAGGAACATTGCAAATCTGTGTCCCACTCCATCATGGAGCAGCCACAAGGTGAGCTTCCACCAACAACAGAGACCCAACTTCCAGAATCGGTGGTAGAGCTACCCTGAGAATCTTGGTACCTCCAAATGGGCGCATAACGGCGCATATGGCCGTTTTTCAGGTTCCAAACCTTCCAATGGAGATTGGCTTGGGCCATGTCTTGGCTTCCCGAGGTGGACCCAAAGAGAGTCCTCGAAGCCCCGCAGCTGGCGCCTTTGGCGGCTGCGGTGCTGCTGGCCTTGCCAGAGGCGTGGGGTTTTCGGGCGAAACTCGGGAGGTGAGGTCGGTTCACCGGTGGAAAGCACCTGGGCCCGGTCACAGAAGTTGAAGTTCTTTTCCAGCTCATGGCATGGAGCATGGGCAGATCCAGGAAGTGGGCTCCTCACAGAGAAATCCTTTTCCGGCCCCAGAGAAATCCTTTTCCAGAACCAAGCCCCCCCCCCCGCCCTCCCCGCCCGCCCTTTCAGCTGGGTTCCAGCTGGGCTGGGACGGTAAGGGTTTGGGTTTGATTGGGAGATGGTTCAAAAAAAACCGGGGCCCGGGGTGGCCAATGGACCCTGTTCATGTTTTTTTTGGGGGGAGGGAGGGGTTGATCGAACTCCGTTAGGAGAGACCGAGGATTTTTCCATGGCCCTGAGCTGAAGCTTTTTTCTTCTTTTTTGCTTTGGGCGGGCTATGCCAGGCCAGGATAGGCCTTGTCCGGAGGTCTTGAGGCCTTAAGGGGTGAACAAGTCATAGCCCCCCTCCCGCATTGCCCCCATCGAGTTTCCTTGGACCTTTGTGCAGTTGTGTGTGGGGTTAACATGCCAGGGTCTCAAAAAGAGGCCTCTAGCTTTGACCACACAGTGTATTATGCACGCTTCGGGCTGGCTGTTGGGGCAGCTTGTTAGATGTTCGGGGCCATTTGTTTGGCTGAAGGGAATCCACTTGAAAGCAAGCCCTACGCCCAGATTTTCCCGAGTCGTCTCATGGTCAGGGGTTGGGATGTGTTGTAGATGGTCTTCGTGGCTGGTTGTGTTTCCCCGTTCGGGATGGACATCATCGTCTGGCCTCGACCTGGTCGCTTTCCGTGACAATCTTTGACGATGGCCCTTGGAAGACCATCACGGTTTTTATCCCCAGGTTTCAACTGTCTCAGGCTCGGAATGGAGAATGCGACTCTTCAGCTTCCCTCTACTTAGATGTTTGGAGCCTGGTGACGGCTTCCCATGTAGGATTCAAATCCCCGAACCACCAGTCCAAACCCACCAGGGGTAAGCTGACCTATGAGTGTGCCACGTTTTGGGGACGGACCAAATTCGCCGATTGGGACTTCTGGGAAGTGACTTGAAATGGTTGCCCGGAGGACATCCTCAGCCAAGAGCTGTCAGATGCTGCCAGGCGGGCGAACCACCGCATGGGGATGGGCTGCCTTTTGACCCTGCGTTGCTGAAAGTGAGATTATGCTTTGTCGACCCAATGTGCCAAAGAAAAGAAAGGGAAAGGCGACGGCAGAAGTTTTGCAGCCTGTAGCTTCATCACAGGGAGACCATGTTGAAGTGCGCTGATGTGAGAAGGATCCCTGGTTGATCTCCGAACCTCAACTCATTGGCAGCTTGCCGCCGACGTGTTGCATTTGTGCTGCCCGTGGCTCAGGTCAATATGGTCATCATCCGCTTAGATCGACTTAAGCTGCCCATGGATGCGTCTTTTTTGGGGTTGGCCCCAAAAATTGGTGCTTTTCAGGGAAACCGAAAGCGCCCTCAAACCCATTTGGGGTTTAGAAAATGGCCAAAGAGACACTTACTCGATCGGTCCCAAGGTGCTTAGGCTTAGGTGGCGGTTGGTTTGCAAGTGGCCGCGACGAGGGTGGGAGGCGGCATGTTCTTCACCAAAACAGAAGCTTAGAGGAATGGGAAGGGACTTGGTAAGAAGAAAGAACCAAGCAAACATGTTAAGGAACTGGGTTTTTCTACTGATATCGGAATTGGCAAGAAGAAAAGGACGCTGGTGGAGCATTTTCCTCCGAGAGCGGCGAGGCCTGCCCGGTGGGACCAGCCCAGACCTTGGCATCAGCGAGCTCCCATCCGACAGGGAACTTGACTGGGGTTTTCTGGGAGACCCTGCGCCTCAGACGGGAGCTCATTCTGAAGTGTTTGTTGCGTCCACAACTCGGCCTGCGCCAGGTTCCGTGTTTGTGAAAGTCTTATGCGCGCTGAGGCCAAGAGTATTCTGAACTCAGGGTGGTGTTTCGGGCAGCATTCATCGAACAACCAGACTTTGGAGCGGTTGTTGCAACCCAAAGCAGGTTGCCAAGACCAGTGCGCAAGCACGTTGAAACATGGGCTTGAAACATCCCCCGGTGTTTTGAACTGTTCTTTTGTTTTGCGGGTTCCTCGGGAATTCAAGCCCCGGTGATTTTTATCTGAGAGCCAACCCAAATGGCTGTGGCTCAAAAAACCGGTACCAAAATGGATTCCTGGTAAGTGGAAACATGGACCAAAACCTGTGTAACCCCTCCTGGTAAATTTTGAGCCACACCCAAATGTTCCTGACAACTTTTGGCTGAGGCCTTGTCCATCCTTTGCCGCCGCCGCGGCAGCCGCCATACTGGGCATGGCGCCCATGGGATTCCGGGCGCCTCGGCATGGTCGGGTGGACCCTTCGTGGCGCTTAGGTGGAAAGAACACGCATCATGTATCAATGTATGGACCCCTCCTTTTAAACTTGGGTTGATGGCTTCATGTATTTATGTTGTTGTTGTTAGGGAACCTCCAACATAAGTGACTTTCCTTTAAACCGCCCCGAAAAGAGCAACACAACAAACCTGTTTGGCACCTCTGCGAATGTGCATGGAGATTATGGCTGCCCGGGCTACGTTGGGAACTCCACCCATCCTTGGGTTGAATTCTGCCTTGAGTAGCTGGAGTTCCATTATTCCATGTTCCCTTTTTGTGGAAGACTAGTGACATGGAACTAACCCCCCCACCCCCCCTGCCCCGGACAGGTGGGATCCTAAAAGGTTTCAAACAGCCGCCATTGAGAAGTCTCACGGTCATGAGCACTATATTCTTGTACACGCTTGCGCGCCCATGCATTTGTTTATCTCTTTGTTTCCCCCTCTCTCTCTCTCTCGACCCCTCTTTCTCTCCCTGTCTCTTTTTCTCTCTGTCTCCCTTTCTCCTCTCTCCCAAAGATATGACATGCCAAGCCCGTCAGCTTCTCGGAATCTTTTGGTCAGAACCCCAGAAAGGTCCCCCAGTAGTGCCCTTTTAGCCGTTTTTCGGGGAGGCTTCCCCTACTAAAATAGACAAAACCGAAAAACCTGGGGTACCCTAAACCCTACCCTCTCCATCGGAGGACCTAGCCTAGGTTCAGGCTACCCTTAGTTGGCTTGGATGGGAAGCCTCCAACCACGAAACCACCAATCCAAATCACCTAGGGGGAAGCTGTTGACCTGGTGGTTTCATGATCTGGGTCCTCCTGGAAAGCTTTTGCGGACCGCATCGACGTCCTTCAAATTCTCTCGCGACGGGCCTTGGGGCTGGGAACCGGGGACTGTCCCCATGTCCGATTCCGCTCGAGGTGACGCCCGGCTACGGGCTCCGGCTCACGCAGCAGATCTTGAAGCTGGGTGGGTCGTTTGGAGTGGCCGTGCGTCGCCCCTTGTAAAACCTGGCAAGGGGGAACCCAAAGAACACACACTTTTCTTCTTCTATTTTTTTTTGAGGGGGGGGGGTCCTGTTTTAACACATCGGTTAGCAAATGGAATATCTGTGTGTGTGTGTGTGGCTCTTGTTTGAGGTTGGAAAAAATGGGTGAGCCATGTGCTTTCTGATCCTGGATCGCTTGTCAAAAGCATTTTTTTGTTTTTCCCCATAGGCCCACATACCCATACTCCATCCACGATCCGGGGAGGGGATGCTCAGTCGAAAAGCCCCTGGTGGCTATTTGCGTCAGCAGGCTGCGGTGGCTGCACTCAAACGTGGCAATACTGTGGATGGTTGCGAATTCCGTTCTAAGGCACCACCCGAAAACCATGGCTGAAACCATAACGTTGGTTTGTATTTACAGGGGAATCATTCCAGAAACCAGGGTTTCTTAGGTGGTGCGAACGGATTTCGTCCATCCACAGCAGGTATCACTTCTTGAAGGGGATGTCTAAACTCACATGAAGAATTGTGCCATCTACTTTCACCCAGATGTAGACATCATCACGCATTTTCCCAAGCCATGTGGTTGAAACCATCCGTCCTAGCGCAATGTCCTGCACCAAACGGTTTGGGATTTAGGTTTAGGTGTAAGGTTAAGGTTGGCTTAGGTTAACTTAGGTTCATGTTCTGGTAAGGGTTTTTCAGGCTTCAAGCTTAGGTTTAGGGTATAGGTTTAGGCTTGCAGTTTCGGATGCAGGCTTAAGGTTTCGCTTTAGGGATTAGGGTTCATTCATGGGGTAAGACCAGAAGCCTCCCCCTCCAACCCACCTAACTCCCTAACTTCCTGCTAGACTGAACACCCCAAGACTCGCTTTTTGGTTCCCCGAAATATAGGTGCCAAGTGCACTCCCAGAACTTTTTGAAGAAACCATCTAGCTTTCGGCCAGGGTTGTGGGATCACTCGGGGTTTATCCCCACCTCTGTGATACTTTTGGGACTCTCCCCCTGTATATGGGGGGTTGGTCTTCGGGAAGCGCTTTTTGTTGTAATCCTTAAAGGCTACATTTTGCCCATTTGAACCATCTTGCATGTTCCACCAAAATAAAGCTGGGGTTTCCAGCATTTAGTTGCAATGTTCAGGTGTATGCCTCCGGATCCCTGGAAGCCACAGATGCGTGGCTTCCGTTTCCCTCGGATTCGCCCGACTCGAGGCGCACGGCCAACTTCGGCCTGCTGCGGCTCCTCCGCTCCCCGTGGCAGGCCGGGCCGAGCGGTTCCGCGTGCCGAGGGGTTCTCGAGGGCAAAGCACGTGGCCGTGGTGGTCAAAACCGTTTTGGGATCCCATTTTGGGGGGTTTGCGGTGCACCCATTTTAGTCTATTTTTTTTTTTTGGGGGGGGGGTAGGTGAATTCACCACCCATTTTCGCCAAAATTTTAGTGGTTGGATTGGGATGTTCACTGGGGGTACAATTTGGGTTTTGACCCATGGCCACGTGTTGCCCCGTGGTTTTTGGAAGGGACGTGGCCCGTTTTTGTGGTAAGGTATGATTCGTGGCGCCGGCAAATGGACGTTTTTTTGGGGTCCAAAATGAAAGGCTCAAAATTGGAATCCGCCTTGGAACCAACAAGACAGGTTGCCCTTTGGAGGGGTCAAAGGAACCATGGGACTTGACTGCTACTGGCTTGGATCTTTCGGCTTTAGCTTTTTGGGATATCAAGTTGGGTTTTCCACTAAGTTTTCAAAAAGTGATTCACTTTTTGCAGGGGGGTGAACAGCAAGCAAGGGGAGCTTTCTGTCCCGGCCATTTTGCGGCTCGTTGGAGCCCTGAGCTGAGGTCGCCCAGCTGCTCCCATTGCTAGCAGCGCACTTGCGCGAAGGCGCGGGCGACTTGCTTGGCGCGGCCAAAGGGAAGCATTGCACGTGGTATGTGTGGATGGTTGCGAAATCCGTTCTGAGGCACCACTTGGAAACCATGGTTTTCAACCATAACGTTGGCTGGTATCTACAGGGAAATCATATTAGGGTGCGAACGGATTTCGTCCATCCACAGTATGTGTGCTGAATAGAGGATAGACCCTTCCCTGGGGTTTCAGCTGGTGAAGGGGTGTTTCTAGGGGTTGATCCGGGTTGATCCCTTGTCCATTCTTTTCAAGCATCGTTCTTTTCAACACCGGATTTGTTTTCCCTGGGTTTCTGGAGGTTTTCTAGAAAGATTCGGATTCTGCAAAGAATGGGGAAGGTGTATCTAGAGTGTTGGTATGTGTGCTGAATAGAGGTTAGACCCTTCATGGAGTTGGAGTTGGGAGGGGGGGGGAGATCTGAGCTTGGCCGGTGCTCTTGATGTAAGTCTTGAACTCGGAGGTGTCACTGGGACACCCCTTTGCGGATGGCTTTTCAGGGAAGGCCACCCCCCCCCGTTTTTGGCAGTGCGTCCGTGATGCTCTTCTCTGAACTCGGGAGTACCCATTGGGCAACGCTCGGATGTGGGTAGAGAAAAGCCGATGGGTCTCCATTCGAATAAGTTGTAAGCGCACAAATCGACGCCGTAAACTGCGGTAGGATCGTGCGAGCTGAGCTGCTTGACAAGAACATAGGTGGAGTTGTTTTCCACAATCTGGTGAGAGAATTCCCGGTGGCTTTCGCGGGCTTTTGTGTTCAGGGTCGCAACTTTCCGCGGCCATGGTCGGCATGCCATGCGTCTCAACGCATCCGAACTTCCGAGCTCCGTGCGGTGGGTATGCCACGCCATGCCACGCCAGGCCGCAGTCGGGCCTCCAAGTCCGAGGATGACTTGGCGGCGGAGGTGATGGAGTCCTCTCGCCAGGAGTCAGCCGCGCAGCTGGGCTTGCGACGAGATGGGCCGACGGGGATCTTTGTTGGCTCAGCTGTCTGAGACGGACTATGGGAGAAAGGTGTTTGTGGTCTTTATGGGTGGGTGGCTGGCTGGCTGGCTGGCTGGGTGGGGAGGGCTGGGTGGGGAGGGCTGGGTGGCTGGGTGGATGGCGAGGAGTTTCCGGACTTACATCCGTCCTTCCTGCCGCCCATGGCCTTCACCGAGAAGCTGAAGCTGCTGCAAGGAGCCGACACCCCTCAGCTCCCTGTTGCTGGCTCTCATGAGAATTCTTTGGTGCGTTTTGCTTGGATGTTAGGACTTTAACTTTTTGATTTAACTAATGGGTTTTCAATTAAACCACTAAAAGTTAGGTCACTTTTAGCAGGGGAGCAGAAAGCAACTGAGAATTTCCGTTCCGGTCTTCGGGACAACCGGTACGGGATCCCCTTCTCCCGGACACTAAAAGCAAGTGACTCCCTAGCAAGTCTCTGGGTCGACAAGTTGCTTGGCCATGGCTTGCAAGGACCGTGTGAATTCGACTGGGCGAGGACATCCCCGGTGTTCTGCACAAAACACACCTGGGTATGAGTGAACGGGGACGGAAGGTTTTAATCCATGTTTCCGCTTGGGTTGCATGTTGGGTGAAGCCCCAGCCACCTGGCCAACCTTCCTTGTGCAGGAGTGGCGACTGCCCATGCTGCGCTCACGGCAGCACAGGCCATCCGGAGAGAGATTTCCGCGTTTTCGCAGCGGGGTGGTAGCTCCAAAAACATGATGTGCTTGCAATCAGCGAGTCTCTTAAAAGGAGGGGGTTCATGTTTTTGGCTTATGTTAAAGGACAATGAAACTGAAGCCCTTTTTCGATCTATTTATATTTTTGTTATTATTAAGGGTGGGGGGGGGGCGTCCCCCATTTTGAGACACCCATATCTACGAAGTCACCCGAGGTGCCGTACTTCGCCATCACCGGCACGCTCTTGGGCGCCGTGAGGCGCTTTGTGCGCCGCAAAAGCGCTTTGAGGGCTGGAGCCTTCCACACAAAGGTGGCTGGTGTTTGGTGGTTGGTGGTTCTATGGCCATGGGCCATAACCCATGGCTCCATTTTGAGGTGGATGAACATTAATTTGCCACCTATTTTGATGTTCACCAGGGGTAAAGGGTTTTGACCCACAGCCATATGGCCATGAACTTTAATGGTTGGCACCGCCTCAAACGTGATTGGGGGACATGAATTCCCACCTAAAATTTTATGTCCACCAAAGGTCCCTTATTCAAAATCATAGCCATATGGTTTGGCTTTCAAATCAAACGTAATAAAAATAATTCTCTGTGCACCAAAGGTCAGAATCATTCAAGGTCGTCCTTTGTTCGTTCGGGGAGGTGAAGGGAGCACCACCCAAGTTTCCGACAAAAAACCAGGGGGACGCAATTTGTCCATGCCTTCTGGGCGAAAAAGTGATTTTGTGCAAGGCTGTTTTGTTGGGGGGGGGGGGGCAGGCCCACCGTTCGGGCCAGTCAATTCAAGAGGGGTGGGTGCTTCCCGACTCAAGGAACAGGGACCAGTGCAATTTTTGCAGGGCAACTTTTTCTGGCATATGAACCACAATAAAAGACGGGGTAGATGAAGGATACTCCCAACAATACATAGCTGCGGATATCCGCCTTCTTAATTCTTGAAGCATGGTTCTGGGGATCGACCAGCGGTTTTTCCATTATGCCTGAAATGGGAACCCCTCCTTCACCAACAATCCAAGCCACCAATCCAAACCACCAATGCAAACAACCGATCCAAACCACTGATCCAAACCACTGATCCAAACCACCAATCCAAACCACCAATGCAAACCGCCAATCCAAGCTAATTTTTTGGCAGGTAGGCCAACTTTTTCTGGCCTGTGCGCTTCAGTCAAAGGATGCCGCTCAGTGGACCTTGGAATTCCCACCGAAAAGACGTCCCTTGCACCCCGCCGGCGACGCGAGGCACCACAGCTTCGTGCCCTGGGACGGCGACGCGGACTTCTGCGCGCCAGCCCCGAGTTCCGAGTTCCGAGATCGTCTCATAATTAGCCACGCGAAGCAAATTCTACACAACATTTGCGAAATACCCACCAGAAACAAGGATTTCCTTCACAAGTCTACAGGACATTGGCAAAATATATTGTTGGTGGTTATATGGTTTGGCCTCATTTCCAGCTTCTTTTTGGGTTAATGGTTGGTCTGTAGCAGGAAACCACCAGAAACAAGGATTTCCTTCGTATATTTTCTTGTAGCTGGTTTCTTGGATTGCTTGGGCAGTTCCAGACGGACACTTCTTGGGCCGCAAAAAATGTTCAAGGGCCCGTGAAGCGCCGAGATCCCCCCAATGGGTTCGATGGAGGAAGCCTCTCGCTGGGTTCCTTCGCATGTCATTGCTCGTTTTTTTTTTGGTTTTGCAAAGTGCCTAGGGGTTAGATGAAGATGCCTGGTCTGAAAGGGTACTTGCAAGCTCTGAACAAAAAATCCCACCAGCATGTTTTCTTAGACAAAGACCCGCTAGCTGGGTTCCCTTTCAGTGCGTTGGGAGCAACGAAGCAAACCAATCTGGCGCAGGCAGCTGGCGAGAAAAGGAGCGTAGCTCGAGCAAGCCGAATGAGGTGGATATCAACGACGAGGTGAGGCTGCTGCATTTGGTTCTCCTACAAGGCGGATGCCCAAGGCTGCGTGTAAGAAGGATATGGCCGTGGTTGTCAAAACCAATGTGATGCCATTTTAGGGGGTTTTGGTGCACCACCCGTTGTAGAACCTATTTTAGCGGTTGGATTGACTCGGATGTTCACTGGGGGCTATCGTTTTTGTTTTTTTTTCCCCATGGCCATATGTCTGAGGTAAAAGGCCAACCTCGCAGCAACCAGCTAGAAAGCCCTGGTTGCCCACAAAAACTGGTTGAAAGCCCCGGGACTGGACAACGCATTGATTGCATCGCGCAAGACCTGGAAAAAGCAGTGCTCCGAGTCCCAAGCTAAAGCTTTAGAGTCGTTCAAGGGATTCAAGGGCTATGACGGCTGCTGTTTTTTTTTTTTTTTGCTTTTCCTCTGAAAGGCATGGTCCCATGTGCTGAAACAAGGGAATTCGCCGGGCACCAAAGGTCCGGCCCAGCTGTTGGATGAGCTTGCACCTTATATCGGTTGGTATTTCCAATATGGGCGTGGCTCAAAATGAAGGAGCTAGGGTCACGCGGTTTTAGTCTTTGTTTTACCAGGGTTCCATTTTGGGTACCCATTTTTGACCCCCAGCCACATGGCTGAAATTTTTGGTCTCCAAACTGGTGGACATGCATCACAGAAGTTTCTAAATGATGTCTGCCCACCACAGACTCCCCTATGAATGTTCAGAACCATATGGGCCACGATCAAACCCGATTTGGGTAGATTTAGGAAAGGGACAATCCCAGCCTGCGGCCGCCTTAACATGGTTCTGGGGATCGACCACTTTCATAACAAGCGGTTTTGATTACGACTCAAATAGGAGCCCCTTCTTAACCACCCTTCTTAATCACCACCAATCCAAACCACCAATCCAAACCACCAATCCAGACCACGAATCCAGACCATACTGAGGATGGACGAATTCCAGTTCGCACCACTTCGATTCCCCAAGCACAGGGGTCATTACTTTGACTGTTTCTGGGGGTTGTCAAAGTCCGAAAATGGAATCGGCTGTTTAACTCACCACTTGGGTGACTTTGATCATGCTAAAATGGGGTCAGAGAGTTGTTGTGGTGGGGCCTTGTTCCCCCTTGGGCTGCTTGTGGAGAAGCCGGGTTACACCATCATCCGGTTGGGGTTGGGGTTGCCAGAACCAACGTTATGGTTTCCACCATGGTTTCAGTTCGTGCGGTCTCGGCTGTTCTTGGTCTCGAGGCGACGGCTCGGCGGGCCTCGCGGGTGCAGCGCTCGGCCGATGGCTTTTTGTTGCGCGAGAGGCACACCGGGCGGTTGAACACGGGGGAACTTTGGAATAATTGCTATTACTTGGTTATTTGGGATACGACGTACTTGAAGGTTTCCGGATATGGCTGTGGGTCAAAACCCAGGAAACCCCTGGTGAACCTCAAAATAGCTGGCAAATGGATGTTCATCCACCCCAAAATGGAGCCATAGGTTATGCCCATGACCATATGGCCGTGCACTGAGGCGAAGGGACCCGGACCTCCACCAGCTTCAGGCTGCTGCTGAGGCGTGTTTTTGCCCAAGGGAGTGTGTTCAAGATGATTTGAGATGCGGCCAGTTTCCACCTGCCCCAGTCAAGCTAAGTTTGCCCTTCACGCTTTTGTGTGGGGCCAGCATTCGCCGGGCTTTGGGCTCTGGACACACGTGACTCACTGGATTTCCCCACCCGAAAACCAGAAAACGTGGGGCTTTGCCTCAAAGGGTTCCTCCCTTTGAAGATGGATGAAAGATTGCCTTCACACACAGTTTCCGGTCGAAACCTGGAAACAACTACTATGTTGGCCGCAATGAGGAACACGCCCTTTTCCAATTCAAGCAGTGGGCAAGACTCTCAGCAGCTCAGGAATCAACAGGGTTGGGGAATGAAGCGGAAGGGGGTCCCCGCAAAGTAAGCCACCAGCGGCCAGTGGGAAGGTTTAAAGGGGTGGTTTTCCACTTCTCGTTCCCTGTCTTCGCAGCAGCTTGGTCCCCAGTATTGTCCTTTCTCACCCTTTTTTTGAGGAGGGTTCCCCTAAAATAGACGAGACAAAAATGGGTACCCTTCTTCTAACCTCTCTACTGGAGGGCGTTTTCATGATCTCATGCTTCAGTTTCTTTGGATCCCTTTTGGACACACTGCTCTTTGCGGCCTTCCCCATGAAGGTTTCTTAGTTCTGCGGCGCACCTACCGAACCCGTTCCGATGCCCCCCCCTCCGCTTGCGGCGCGCTTCGGGAGGGCCATGACCGTGCTGGCGGCCGCCGGGCCGGGAGCGATAGCGACGGGGACGGCTGGCTGGGCGGCTCCGTTTCTTGATTTCCCGGAGCAACCATTTGTCTGACATGGACGAGATGGATTTCTATTTTTCTTGCTTTCCTCTGTTGGCTTTTCAGGAAAGTTCTCACTACTGGACAAAAATGTCACTTTCTTTTCCCAGGGGCCGAAGAAAATGGAGGCACAGCAACCCCCAAGGCTATCAACGCGGAAAACACGCCCGTCCTGTTTTCCTCCCTGCCCCAAGCCGTACTGCTGACGTTCCCGGAATCGAAGGAGTTGTACTGTGTTTTTCAAACCCCGACAACCTCCGTCTGGGAAACCCAAGGTGGGTTTCACAATTTGGTGGGTTTCCCAATTTGACAAACCACATCAACCTGCATCGGACGGTCAGGCTGAAGAGCACGCGGGCAAACCTTTCAAAGCATGGGTTTCCTCCAGATTTCCGTGAACCATCCAAGATTCATCACATCAAAATTGGGCCCCACTTTACTTGGTGGCTCCCAGCCATCCCCTTAGCCTTTTGGCCTTTTAGTGTTTAGTGGTAGTTTCCCTTTAACCCACTAAAAGTTATTCACTTTTGCCCCACTTTAGAAGACCAGCTGTCTGAGGTTTGAGCTCTGGGCACATGCGGAACGCCCGCTCACCTTCAAGCTCGCCTCAAGGCCGGCTGAATCTGAATCTGACCAGCGCAAGCTGCTTTCGAAACCCTATGGTCTGGATTCTGGCTGGGGTCAATCAGACATTTTCCGGGACAACCCTTTGGGCGGAGGTCTTTTATTGAATCAACATGTACATTTGACCCCCCATGTTGGCTCATGGATGTGGATTCGGATTTTGGAAGCTGGCTGTCATTTAGGAGTCATGGGGAGCTGGTCCAACTCAACCGTAGGTTACCTCCTTCGAAGCATGGAAGTGGAGCGGGGCTTTTGCTCAAGAAAGCTGGCTTCCAACACCCATCCACAGGAGCCGGACCGTTCTTAAGACGGCGCGTCGCCTTCAGTCATTTGGGAGTCTCTCAAAATGGGGCCTCCCATAAGAAGACGCTTGGCTTTCTTTGGATGTCCCTTCTTTTCGCCGCCAAACTGGGTCCACGTGTTTTCCACTCCCATTTGGGTTCCAAGTCATTTCTTGCCTTGTGTCCCACCCGGCCAGGTCATCTCCCAGAGTGCCTCTCGGCCCAGAGCGGGACCTCATAGACCCAATGCAGTTGCTAGGTGGTTGATGAGCCAGTATTCACAGGGGTTCATTCGTTGCAGGTAGTATGGACTTCTTGTCCATACTGTGGATGGACGAAATCCGCTTAGGCACCACTTGGGCACCACGGGAAACCCTTGTTTGTTGGTATTTGCAGGGGAACCGAATCATTCCAGGATTTCTTAGTTAGGTGGTGCAGGATTTCGTCCATCCACAGTAGGGAGCCTTGTGGTGTGGTAGGTGGTGGGAGGTGGTGAGGGGTGGTGGGGAGGTATACAGCGTGCACCTCTCAGGCCTGGGAAGATGTATGGCTACCCCTACATGGACCTCTGGTGAGCGACTCGGCAATGTGATGCATGCTTAGCGCTTCAAAAAAAGAGAAAAGAACAAAAAACTAACCAGAGCCGTGTTTGAAACGCATACCACAAACTGCATCCTGAAGGAACACATACCCCTCCCCACCAAGAAACACGGAAGTCTTCCGACAGAGGTCTGTACACTTTCATGCTTGTTGGTGGCAGGGACCCTCACACAACCCTTTGATGTAGATTGGAAAGTAGCTAGAACAGAACCTGAAGCGAAGCCAGTACAAACAAGCCATCTCACTGCAACCTGGCCTTTTTGACCCGTAGCCCCGTTTCGTGGATGGGATTCAACGGGCAGATTTCCATCGGATTCCATTTTCCAATCCCTTTTCAGGGAGCCCTCAAACAAAAAAAAGAGAACCATGGTGCCCATGTCTCGCCTGGTAAGTAGTTCCCATGCCCGGCCTGGTAACCCTAGCCCATTTCGCGCCTAAGATGCGGCTTCGCCCAAGATGCGCATGGTAACCAACTCCCTTTTCGGGGCGCCCTCAAACTAGAAGAAGACCCCTGGCGCCCATTTTTCGGCGTGGTAACCTAAGATGCGCCTCTTGGGTGCGCCGTTGGCGCGGCGCGCCTTGGGCGGCGCATCTCAGGTTCTGCCACGGCTGGGCGGCGGGGGACTTCTCCTTGCAGTCGGCGACCTTCGGAGTGCCTCTCTCGCGGGAGGTGCGGCTGGGGTTTTCCTGTTGCGTCCGATTCGATTTTATGGGGCGGGCTCCTTGGGATTGTTTTTTTTGGCGTCCGATTCGATCGGGCGGGTTCCTTTTTTTTTTTTTTGTTTTTTTTTGTTGGGGGGTTGTGCGACTTTTATAGGGCGGTGTTTGCTCTAAGGACTATTGTCATTAGTTTTACCCGGCACAATCCCCCGTGTTCTTCTGGCGTTCGCCGAAGGGTCTTCAATGAGTCACAGCGAGGGAGATGTTGCCATGGAATCGGAGCAAAGGTCCAACTCTTGTCCGCTTTCACCTCGACTTCAAGTCAGGGTGACCCTTCCTTGGTCGTTTGGATTTGTGGTTTGGATTTGGACTTGGACCCCTCGTTCTTGCAGAGGGCGCCTGAACCAAAAGGGAGATAAAGAGTCCTGCCCGTTTGCGCTCAAATGAACAATCTGGGTTTGGTGGTAGGGCATAGCAAAACGGGACTTACTAAGGAGCGCACTCAAATCCGGGGTCAACCTTGGGCTTGGCAGCTCCCAGGGGCAGCCTCCTTTGGGTGTCCCTTCGATCGGTGAGTTCGGTTAGAATTCGATGGGCTCCACTCGGTTTAGATGGGTGTCATTAATTATTTGGCCACCCAGTTTGAGCCCCATTTTCCCACCAAACCCATCGACTTTTGCCAGTTTCAGCCCCATTTTACCCAGGAGACCCATCATTTTTTCCAGTTCGTTTGGTTTTCCAGTTTTCCACTGGGTTTCGCTGGGCTCTACGCCATCCATTTGCCGGTCCCCTCACGCGACGGCCGGCCGGGCTGGCGGCTTTCGGGCCTCCCCGTTTTCAGGCGGTCTTCCCGCGCCGGAAGCTCTTCTTCGCGGGGCTGGCGCCCGGAGCCCCACGGCGAGCGTTTTTTCTGTCCAATCTGCCCCCCAAAGAGCCAAAAGGGGATGGCGGAACGCGCCAGGCGCGAGCCCGGCGGCCTTTTTTTCTTCTTCTTCTTTTCCCGGCGGAGTCCCTTTTTTGTGTGAACAAAGTATCTTCCTTGGGATGCCCGGGCGAACATGTTTTGCTTTTTTCGGCACCTCACTTGTCCCCCCTTTTCTTTGGCACGTAACTGTTTTTGACCCTGCAGCGCAAGACGAGTTACGCTAACATGTCGAGACGCGTTTTGAGCAACGGGTGGGTTCTCACCTGGGGATCCAAGGCCATCAGGTGATGTTCACTCACTTTGGGCGATGGACTTGCTTTCTTGGGTGCCAGGTTCATCAGGAGACTACTTGCAAGAGAGGGAGAGAGAGAGAGAGAGACACAACAAATCCTGGAAGTGTAGGAAGCAGCACAAGAACTGGGTGGAGAGATGGGTTTGGGGGGTCCTTCAGAGGAGCTTTGGGGCCATCGTTGTGTTTTTTCAACCTGGCGACCAAGCTTCGGGCCGTTTTGTCCTAGGTTTTGCTCGTTGGTTTGTGGGATGAGCAGCTTAACACATGTAAGTGGGGAGGTTTTCCCTCAGCCTCAACGACCATGCTGGTGGCTCCAGAACTGGTGGCCGTTGAAGGGAAAGGGACTCAGTAAAACAACTTAGGTCCAGCTGAACCGAGCCCTTGCGGCCCTTGATGAATCGGGGAGGGTAATATAGGTAATTATGGGTCAAAATTAAACGACCAGGGGACCTCAGGTTTAGTTGTTGTTTGAAGTTACCAGGCTTTCATGCTGGGTATTTTTGACCCACACCCATATGGTGCGTAAATGGCTCGTCTCAAAAGTGGTGAAGCTGCGATTGGTTCGAAGTTGCGCAGATTGTGGAGCTTCGGTGATCCGCGGGAGTCCATCCTGCAGTACTACCAAGGCAAGCTTGCTCTTGAGGAGCTGGGGTCATGTCCCTGCTCATGTGAGGTGACTTGGGGATTTTCAGGAGAAACGCGTCGGTGTTTTGCGCATCGGTTCCCCTATCTCGGAACCGTGCCACCCCCAAATCACCCTCAAGGAGGGCTTGGCAAAGACCTGGCTGAGTGAGACTCGCTTCGGCTTCCCCGGATCCTATTGGCCTGACATGAGAGGTGCACGCTGTCTACCTCCCCACCACCCCACCACCCCACCACCCCACCACCCCACCACCCCACCACCCCACCACCCCACCACCCCACCACCCCACCACCCCCCACCACCCCCCACCACCCCCCACCACCCCCCACCACCCCCCACCACCCCCCACCACCCACCACACCACAAGGCTCCCTACTGTGGATGGTTGCGAAGTCCTCTTAGGCGCCACCGTTCAGAAGCCCTGGAATGATTTTCGATTCCCCAACGTAAATACCAACAAACGTTGTGGTTTCAACCATGGTTTCCAAGTGGTGCGAACGGATTTCGTCCATCCACGGTGTGTGCACCGATTCGTGGATTGTGGCGCCGGGGGCTCTTTGGCTTCGGTTTTTTTCTGCGGCTCCCTTCGGTTTCGCCTTGTTTTCCCAGCGGGGGGTTACTCCCTTGAACGGAGAGACCACCCCATGTCAAGCCGAAATACGAGACGTCCTTCGCCAGGCAGCAATGCCCTGGAGTTCTGCGTTGGCCACGACACCTTTCACAGGCCGAGTCTCTGGACTGACGCACCGTGCCACGGCCGTCGGTTAGGACATAGGGTGTCACAAGGGGCGCATGGCTTGACTTAGCCAACCCTTGGGGTCTGTTGTTTTTCGGGTTTGCGCCATTTTCCCCCTTTTGTCCACCCAGAGGCTCCTGGCTTCGGCTTTCAATACCCCGGGAATCGGTGTTTGGGGGTCTCAAAACCTGGTTGTTTGAGGGCCCTAAATACATTGGGAGCCTTTGGGCACGGAAAAGGTAACTCTTTGCGGATCTAAGTCGGTGGGGACCGTTCCAGCGTTCATTCCGGAAGAATTCCCAGAGGCAGCTTTGACCGCGCAGGTGGTTCTTGCGTCGGATCATTGCCCCCTGAGGCAAGAAAGGAAGTACTCCGAGGAGAATGAGCTTCACCGTTTCGACGGCGGGGGCTGAGTTGCATTAGATTGATTGGCGGAGGGATTCAGAAGAATTAGAAGTAATTTTAAAGATAAGGTAGGATTTAGTTATGATTACGGCAAGATTACTTAGAATACCTGAATCGAGCCCCAAAACAGTGCCCGACAAGGCTGGAACATTTCCCTTGAGCCCTTTCGTTGCGCTTTGGGCCAAACTTCTACCGTTGTTGCGACGGATCTCGGATCTCCGGTCGGTTGGACAAATGATCCCAAAAGGCCTGCTGATGTTCACACTCCTCTCCCCAAAAGGGGTATATACCCCTTATAAAGTGGGTTGGAAACCACGGAAGCCAAGAAGTATGAAGAAGCGGTGGTACTTCCACCACAAAAGAAGCTTCCACCGTTGTGCCGATGGATCTCCGGTCGTGACAGGCAACGCGCCCTGCGCGACTCTGGCCGACACCTTCGCCTTCGCGGGGCCGTGGCAGGAAGGTCCGCCGGAGGCGGGAGACGACTCGGTGGATTTGGGTGCGCCATGGACGGCAGAGTCGCGAGGGAGAATCTGATCACAATGAAACACACATATTGTATACATATATATATTATATATATATGCATATATATATGGACACCTTGCCAGGGCCTACCTGTTTATATTCTAGTTGCAAATGTATACGTATATAAATATGTATATATATATATATATACACATATGTGTGACGTACTTCAAAGCACTACCTGCCTCACAGGTGATTCCTGGGTGCGGCTCGTTTCAACTGGCAGGTTGCCAACTTGAAATCCGGAGATGCACTTGGGGGGGGGGGGGTAATGATGGTTTTCGCCGTGGATGCGTATAGCGGGGATCAGAAGAATGGCAACCATCCCCCCGTGCTTATCGTTCTTTAGGCAAGCCACCAGAATTCTCTGCATTGGGTGACCGATCTGACTTCTGGGTGTGCGTCTGGCTCAGCCTTGACATCTTCCTGAAGATGGTTCTTGACTTGTTCTTGACAATTCATTGAAAAGAAGCATCGCTAGAGTCAGAATGGTTGGGAAGTGCTCTTATGGCACCGCTGCAATGCGCGATGCCGTAGCATGTGGGCGTCGGCTTCTCTAGAGTTGACCGGAATGCGCGCTACCAGACTCCTAAAGCGTGCTGGCGAAGGTCGAAATGGGAAGTACCCTTTTTTGAGGGTGCCCTTTGGGAAGTGAAGGGGAACCATTTCTTCATATCGAAATAATATTTGTTTTTTTTTTGAACCCACTTTGGGGGTTCCAAATCCACTCTTTTTGACCCCCCAAGTCCTGAAATGGGTTCCTCGGTGCGTCAGTTGAGTGGCCTGGACCCGGGCAGGGCATCTCTGGCGATCTGATCCTGGCAGCCGTGCCCTGGCAGGATGACCTGTGGGGGTCGTTTTTTTTGTTGTTGTTTCGGGTTGGGTAGTCTACATTTGCCGAAGCAACTCAGGGTTATGAGGGTGCCTCATTTTGGTAGGTAGAAGCAAGTCTTGTAAAGCCGAGTGGCTTAGACCTCTCTTTTCGGTTTGGTTCTTGGAAGCAACGAGGTGTACCTCATTTGCCGGGGGCCGCGGTCCATGTTTCAATTTGTGCGGCAAGAAATTCATGACCGGAAGACCACGAAGCAGGCGGAACACGTTCCAACCAGATGCCCCCTCCGATCTCAGCTAGGCTCTGACCCAAGGCCAGTTGGGAATAGCTTGGACCTTGCCCCCCACTACCTAGCCCCTGCCCCTTTTGGAAGCGCGAGGTGCACAGCTTCCTCCTGCTGCAGGAGCCTCGCTGGGCTTTGGATCCAGGCGCGAAAAGGGGGGGGAGTTGATTGGGTTGGGGGGGTTGGTTTGGAGGGGCTGAGGGTTGGTTTGGAGTTGCTTGGAGGTTGGTTTGGAGGGGCTTGAGGGTTGGTTTGGAGGGGCTTGGGGGGTTGAGGGGGGGGCTTGGGGGATGCTGGTTTGTCAGTTGGGAGGAGTTGAGTTCTTCCCTGTGAAATCCGAGTCCCAAATCATTTGCTATTTTCGGAGCCGAACAGTTTGTTTTCCAGACATGCAGGAGCCATTTACCTAACTTGGTGGCTCCCAGCAATCCCCTTAGCCTTTTTGCTTTTTAGTGTTTAGTGAGTTTCCATTTAACCCACTAAAAGTTATTCACTTTTAGCGGGGGATCAGAACATGGGCAGCCCAGCTAACTATTTGCAGGTGTTTCCAAGAGTCAAGCAAGAGGGGGCCAGTGAAGTGTCCCCAGATGGTGAATCAGGGTCATGAGCTTTGGCTAATCCGAAAAGCCAGATGCCGGGCAAACGTTCGGTGGCACCTTATACTTGAGATTTCTTCCAAAGGATGGAGGCAGACAACATGGATCCTCAGTTCGACATTATCATTGAACAAGGTTGGATTTAATTTGTAATGTGTGTTTGTTTGTTTGTTTGTTTGTTTGGTTGGTTGGTTGGTCGGTTGGTCGGTCGGTCGGTCGGTCGGTCGTTTGTTTGTTTGTTTAATTGCTTGTTTGTTTGTTTGTTTGTTTGCTTGTTTCCTTGTGTATTTGCTTGGTTGTTTGTTTGGTTTTTGGTTTGGTTTGATTTGTTTTGTTTGGCTTGTTAGGGTTGGTGGTTTGTTTGTTTGTTTGTTGGTTGGTTGGTTGTTTGTTGGTTGGTTGTTTGTTGATTGGTTGGTTGGTTGGCTGGCTGGTTGGTTGGTTGGTTTGTTTGTTTGTTTGTTTGTTCTTTCGATGGTCTTTCTTGTTTGTTTGTTTGTTTTCTGCGGGCAACGGTTTGAAGGTCGGCTTCAATTCGAACAGCACGGCGGCCCCACCATTCTGTTCGGCTACCCTTGACTTTTATACATGATCGAATCGCCCCGCTTTGCCTTTCGCCGGCCTTCTCGCCCGACCCGAGCCGCCCAGCCCAAACCCGACAGATCCTACCCTGGCGGGTGCCTATGAGACCTTCCGCCGGGCGCGCGTGGAGGAGATGCGGGGAGCCCGAGTCGACCGTTGGCCATGGCCCTGAAACGTCGAAGTGGCAACGGACATACTGTGGATGGTTGCGAAATCCTCTTAGGCACCACCGTTCAGAAGGAAGTCTGTGCACGTGGTGAGGCGGTCTTCGGTGCACGTGGTCAAGCGGTCTTCTGTGCACGTGTTGTTTTTTTCATGTTTTGTTCAGAATTCACGGTATTTACAGCACATCGGCGTTCAGAAACCCTGGTTTCCGATGATTCTCCAACCTAAATACCAACAAACGATTTTTTTCAACCATGGTTTCCTTTCGTGGTGCGAACGGATTTCGCAACCATCCACAGGGTGTCACAAGCCGGAGACTTGGCCTAGTGCGAAGGGAGGCCCTCCATATTGCCGGCACATGGGTCCCTGTTATTGCTTGCGGCTGGTATTAGTTAGCAATAGGATTTGCGCCCATTCTGCGACATCTTGTGTTCTTGTGCGACATCTTGTGTTCTTGTGCGAAGCCGCAGGATTTTCACATCTTTTGTTTGGGGGGTGGGGGGGGGATGGGGGGGAGGATGTGGTGACACCATTGATTTCATTGGCCTTGGCTTGCAGTGCCCTGCGTGGTGTCTGACGCCCAATTCTTTAGGGGTTGATCCCCCATTCTTTTTCAACCATCGTTCTTTTCAAAAACCTGCTGTTTCCCCTGGATTTTTGATGGTTTCCTGAAAGATCCGGATCCCTGGGTTAAGAATGGGGAGAAGGTACCCCTAGAGCGAGACTGGCCGATTGCGAGGTTGCACGTGGCATCGGAGGGGCGACTTCGTCCGGGCCAATTCCAGGACAGGGCTGATGCAGTTTCAGCTCGAGCTTGTCGGGGGCTGCCGAACATCTATGGCAGTGGTTGCCAAAACCAATGGGATCCCATTTTGGGGGTTTTCGGTGCACCACCCATTTTAGAGCCTATATTAGTGGGGATTGGGATGTTCACCGGGGGTACGGGATTTTGACCCATGGCCATGTGGGTGTGTCCTTTTTAGGGACCGCCCATATGGTGGTTGTCCTTTTGGTTTCCTTGCAAAACCATCAAAGGGCGTCACAAGACAGAGCCATATTGGCTAGGTCCCCCAGTAGTGCCCTTTCACCCTTTTTGGGGGGAGGGTTTCCCCACTAAAATAGACTACAGAAAAAAAGTTGGTGCCCTTATTCTAACCTCTTTACTGGAGGACCTAGTTGAACATCATCACACTTGCCGGCTGCTTTGGAGGGTTCCCATGGCATGGACCCCCCCCCCCAAAAAAAAAAAGCACGGTGATCCCGAAACACGGCTGTAATTTCGGGTCCCTTGGGCTCCATATTTTTATCGGCAGAAGCTGAGCAGGTTCCTCGGTTCGCTGGTTGCAGAGTTGTGTGCTTGGGGTTTGTTACTCTCTTGTCCATTTGAAGGCGTGAACAGTTGCTTGGGCTTGTAAAGGGGGTTTCGCCGAGTCGGTTTGTCTCACGACTGAGTCGTTGCAGACGTCACAGCTGACAGCGCCCGGCGCTTAGATTGGAGGGCGATGGATCTCCATTGGCCCTTGAGGTCCCAAGATTTTGAGATTGCTAGGCATCCCCGTTGGAAGGGTTTAGATCCAAGATTGAGCAGGGCTCCTTCAAAGAAATGCATTTTGCCTTTCCATGTGAAACGTGTGGCTTTTTGAAACATGTGGCTTTTTCAACACCAACATAAAGTTGGAGTTGCCACCACATAGACAAGTTGCCATGTTCGATCGGTGTTTTTCATGCATCCGGATCCCTGAGGCCCCAAGCTTTTTGAGGATCCACTTGGTTTTCCTTCCGGGGCTTCTTTTGCCTACGAAAGGACCCTTGGGAAAAAAAAGGGAAGAGGTGCTTCGAGTCGTAGCCCTGATGCCACCTTCCAACAAGCACGGACACTGAGAACCTTGAACCTTGATTCCCGGCTCCCCGAAAGCATTGGGATGGTTCAGGGAATGACCCCTGAGAACCAGCAAGCAAGCTCCCCTAACTCTCAACCCTCCCCAACCCCTAACCTTGCAATGGCCCCAAGGCCATAGCTCCGAGGCCGTTTGGAGAGGCGGTACACCACTTGCTCCAAGTGCTCGCCTCACTGTGTGGGAGACACCTTCTCTCAAGGAGTCTCAACATTTGGTTGGTGTTTTGGTTTTGAGGGAACTCTCTTGGGTTGCTTTGTCAAGGGAAACAAAAAGGTTGTTTTTTGGGGAGGGAGGCCATGTAAAGAGACACCATTTGGGGTTTCCCTGAAAACGACTAGAGTCAGAGGGTAATATTTGACTTGTCTGGGATGGGGAAAAAAGGCCCTGACAACTTTTTGAACCGTCTTCCTTTGAACAATGGAAGTGGAAGTTTTGGGGAAGCCCCAAAGGAAGCTAGTCTTTCCGAAACCCTCCGAGCGTACGACTCCAAGATTGGAGGGAGGGCACATGAAAGGAGACACAGCCTAGGGCCGGTGGATGGTGATCAAACATAGTATGCGCAAGGGATCTATTTCATCTCCCCCCATGGTCCGCTTACTCAAGAAACGTTTGACATTCCAATAATGTGTTTGTTCTTAAACCTGTTCCATGTTCTTGCAAACACCTTCCTCTACCGTCCCTTTGGCCTGAAGCCCAAAGTGTAGCAGGAGCAGTGCCAAGCAGACATAGGCCGGCCATCCTTTTCATTCTTCGCATGGCTTTGGGCAGAATGCTTCGGAAGAGGTATGCGAATGACTCAACCACACCCCTGAAAAGGGAGACGAAAAAGAGTTTGTTTCAATAACAGTGGTTTGAACATAGTTGACCAGGGAAATCTTGTGACAGGACTCCAGCAAAACGCATGAAGGCTTCCGACGACCTCGTAAGGGTTGTGGTGTGTAACGTGTAACGTCACACAGCAAGGTACCTTTCTTGGGGCGTCCATGTCTGATTTCAAGGCTCATTCACCCGGATGGGGCCTGGGCCAATCCCTCCTAATGGGGGCTGGAAAGCGTAGTCCGGATGGGGGGCCGGACGGGTTTTCTCAGGAATGAGCCAGGGCCCTTGAGAGATGCTTGGCCAAGATTTGTTTGGTGGTTTGGAGTTCCCATAGACAAGAACGAGAAGTTCAACTACCCACCAATCCAAGCCTTGCTCTGCAAATTGAATGTGGAACCAGAAATCACCAGGATTTTCCGAGGAGTCTCGATTTTTGGGATCTTAACCCATGTTGAAGGGAAGTACCTAACCACAAGCCAAAGGCGCACACGTTCAGATACATTGTGGCTGAGCCCCTGGAAAAAAATATAAAACATCCAGGCGACTACTCCCGCATCTCGGTCCATGGCACCCCAAAGGTGGGTCAGTTTTGCATCCAACACCTTTCGGTTTTCCTAACCCGAAGAACGGGTCCCACCTCAAACAGTTTCGTTTTGCAGACGAAACGGCCAACCACCAGCCAAGGGGGGAACCCCTTCCTCGACAAGATTTCAATCGCAAATTTTGTCATGGTATGGAAAGCTGTTGTTGGTGCGTGGGATCCTTCTTTCCAGAGAAAGTCATCAGAATTTCCAAAACAACAGGTCTTTGAAAGGAACCATGGTTGAAAAGAATGGTTGGAATCAACCCCATAGAGGTGTGTTGGGTTTCTAGCAAGGGCAAGCTGAAAACCGCCCGGAAGGCGAAAGCGTTTTTGAGGACCCGGCGGTTTGGAGCCCTTCGACGGCCCGAAGCGAACGCGTCCATCCGAGGCAGCGCTGGCCCTGGAGCCCGCGGGGAGTTGCGACCTGGTGCTGCGCCTGCGGCCCATCCGCCAGGTCGGGGAGAAAACGCGGCGGTGCTGAGATGTTTCTAAAACCAAACGCCAGGTGGTTTCAGGACTGGTTCTGGGGGGGGGGGGTTTTCGGGACTGGTTCTGGGGGCGTGGTTTTCAGGACTGGTTGTGGGGGGGGGGGTTTTCGGGACTGGTTCTGCGGGGATGGTTTTCAGGACTGGTTCTGGGGCCGGGGGGTTTTCAGGACTGGTTCTGGGGGAGTGGTTTTCAGGAAAACCAAGACCCTATGCAAGGGTAGACAAAACTTAACAGGCTCTAGGGCGTCTCCTGAAAAAGGGAACAGGCCCAGAATCTTGGGGAGATTTTCGGGAGCACCCAGAGCGGGTGTTTCTTAACATAGGGACCCTTAATGTAGTTTGTTCCCTTTGGGTTCGCTTTCAAACTATCCCCTCCCCCATTTGGGTGTGTCTGCCAAATCATGGGCGTCCCTTCAAAACCACCAAAACCAGATACCCTCAAGAAAAGAGACGCACCCCAGTTCACAGCCTCTCGTTTTGGTTTTTGTTTTTTGCCAAAAGGGACGGTTCTGCGCGCCAGGAGGCTTCAAGCTCCCTGCTGGCCGCCCAGTCGGAGTCAACTTGCTTCCTTGATAGCCTGAAGGGAGGCCTTCTTCGGACGGTTCTGCACTTGGTGGCTCCCAGCCTCCCCTTAGCCTTTAAGCTTTTTAGTGCTTAGTGGTTGGATTTCCATTTCACCCGCTAAAAGTTAGTCACCTTTAGCAAAAAATATGAGGGCAGCCCAGTGAAGGCAAGTCCGTGAAACAGAAGGCATGCACCCGAAAGTAAGAATGGGCCTCATGTGCGCAGCAGTCTTTTGTGATGACTTACATTCCGTCCCAACATGACACCTAGAGGTTCCAGGTACTCGGAGGTGCTATGTTGGCGGAAGGAAGGGTAACTCTGTTGATGATGACTTGGTTTTAAAGTCCCCACACGCCCATTCGAGATGTCTTAGGCCTCAATTGGTACCTAGTCTGAGCCCGTTTGAGGAGGCTCGGTTTCCGATCATATGATTTTTCCCATGCATTTTTGGAGGTGAGTCAGTGAGTGTCAGCCAGTCAGTGAGCCAGCCAGTCAGAGAGTGAGAGAGTGACTGAGGGAAGAGTGAGAGAGTGACCGAGCGCGAAAGTGACCGAGTGAGAGAGCGGGCGAGTGGGCGCGTGAGAAAGTGAGAGAGCGAGAGAGTGTAGAAGAGCGAGAGATTGACTGAGGGAGGGAGGAGGGAGTGAGCGAGTCAGTCAGTCTGCAAGGTAGTTAGGTAGCTAGTCAACCGTCTGTTGCGTTAGTTAGGGAGGAGATAGTTAGTTCACCAGTTAGTCAATTCAATTGTGTGCAGTCAACTCGGTTGGTTGGTTGGGTGGCCGGCTGGCTGGCTGGGTGGTTAGTTCTTGCTTGCTTGCTTCTTTGTTTGTGTTTCCCGATGTTTTGTCCACGGCATTTAGTTTGCCCCCCAAACCAACCCCGAACCAACCCAAGGCAGCCCTAAAACTAAATCCACCCTACATTTACCCCAAATCCTAAATCCACCCTAACCGGAACCATAAGACCTGAATTCCGCCCTAAACGGAACCCCCTTCCCCCGCGCCTCTCACGCCCACGCCCACGCCTCCTTTCCCAGCGGCTACGTGGCTTCGCCTTCCGCGGTCTCGATGCGGGAGCAGATCCTCGAGGCCTCCGAGAGACGAGACCAAGCGCTGCCACAAATTCACAGGGCCGCGGCTTTTCGCCAAAAGCCACGCGCCATGTGCGGAACACTAATCCTCAGGCGAAAGATTTTAATGAAAAACCTTGAAAGTGGTGGAGGCCTAACAGGCTCCAGGCCAGAGACTCCTCTTTTCCCTCAAGCATTTGGCCATGAGTTAAAAGCCCGTCCGTACCCACTCAACTAGGTTAGCCCCCAAAACGGTACCGTTGGTTTCCCACAGGCACATGGAAGCTGCCGTGCGGGACCCAGTCCCTAAACTTGAAGAAAAAGGTTGGCACCTCACAAGCGGCTGTGGTCAGTTACCATTGTAGCACAGTTACCGATGGAGAGAAAACCCCACAAAACGCACAGCTTGGGATTGAACTCCGATTCGGCTCATGGGAGAAACAAGCAACTGGTGCGGGGTTTTGTCCACAAACAGCAGTTTACACTTCAACTAGTTTCAAGTTGATGGTTCCCATGACCTCCCCTTACACAACCGTTCATGCTTTTTCCTTGCTTCATTGCTTTGTTTTGCTTTGGCTCCTCACCCCTGGCGACCATCCACCACCTGAGCTTGGCATCGCAGGCCGGTTGAGACCTCAAATCAGCCTGAGCCTCTATTGCTACAGCAAAGCGAAACCGAAAGCGGGTAAATCGAGAAAAAAAGGGAACACAACAACAACAATCTGCACCAATTGGCATGGATGAGCCCCCGATAACCCTCCTATCAACTGGAGGATATCGTCCATCCACAGGGTCGGATTCCGGCAGAGGCGCTTGGCTCAAGCGCGATGACGCCATGGGCAGAGTCCATCCCTGGATCGATGATTGGGCTGCTCGCTTTTGTCCACAATCCATTTCTTCCACCCGGTTGGTGTCCTCTTGAATTTTAGGGGGTCCCTAAATGTGTCGGGGCCTCATTTTGTCCTGTCCACATGGTGGTGTTTCCTGCAAAAGGTCAGCCATCAACAAGCATTTCCAAGGGAAGATCTTCTCATGTTGCTTTTCATTCACTCTTCTGCAGATGAATGCGGAGCTCAGCAAGCCGTCATTTCTAGCAGATTCTAGGCCTTTCAATGAGCGTCCAGAGGAGTATCTGGGGCCAAAATAGTGGACCCTTCTCCCGGATCCGAAACTGCTTTTCAAGGAGCCTCGCCTTGGTCACCCTCTTTTTTTTTCTTCTTGGAGCGGAAATGGACCCTTTGGTGACATCTACATATTTATGTGTGCCTCTTTTAATTCACATCCAATTTTCAGACACGGCCATGTGTCCGAGTGGCCAGGTTCGGCTGTTTCTGCTAGTCGCTTTTCCATTCTTTCCAGGCATTCCCAGAAAGCCACCACTTGCAACTGGGGATGTTTGAATCCACGAGCGTTTCTTTAACACCGTGAAATTCTCCCCCCCCCCCTTTCCCCGTTTCTGGGGTTCAGGGCTTTCCAAGAGCCCTTGCCCCAAAAGCCCTTGCCCTAGGATGATGACGGCACCCCGAGTCAGAAGGAAAGACAGCCGCAGCAGTTGGGCTACAGCCTCGCGGAGAAGTTCGCCATCGTGGGGGTCCTGGAGACCTCCACCATCGGCATGCTGCTCTTGGCCGTCCGCGCCCTCGGCGAGGAAAAGGAAACGGAGGATTTTTTCTTTGGGGGGGGGGGAATTTTAAAGATTAAAAAAAGGAATGACAAAACAAATCCCAAAATAAATCCGCACCCAAAGGAAACGCCCCGGCGAGGTCCGCGGTTCGCATTCGGAGAGTTGGTCACCGTCCACGCGGGTTTATCCTTTCATTGAGGGGATGCTGCGAGAGCAATTTTATTTCCGCCAAGAAGGATGTGTTCCCTACGTATTATTCACCCAGAGGTTTCTTGATCCTGCAAATGCCAAGAGAGGATAAACGAACTCACCCAGATCGGGGGGCTGTTTATCAGAGAGGTCACAAAATCTGCAGTTCCCATTGCTTTTGGGCTTTTGGGAAGGGCAAGATGGCGTATGAGGTGCTTGACCACGCACAGCCAAGAGAATCGCTCGCGCATATTTATTACGGGCACTCCCCTGTGCGCGAAAAGGGGCCACCGCCAACGGTGCTTCGTCTAAACGGATGGTTTTTGTTGGGTTCCATTTTGGTCTGCGGGAGAGTAGCTTCTCCCATTGACGAATGAACGACGTAGCAGGTGTCTCAATCGCGAGGCCTCAAACACGTGTCCAAAAGTGCCAACACGCGTCAAAGAAACTATAAAACTTCAAGCAACCAGGAAAGCATGTTTGTTTAAAAGATTTATTTTATCATTGTTGTCATTTTGTGGTGGGGGGCGGGGTAGGCCTACACTGGCACCTTTTGGGGGTCTCCTCCGCTCCTTTTTTTCGTAGACTTGGCCCAAGGAAGGAGCAAGTTCCTGCAGCGGAAGGACCTCACCCCACGGCAGGTGAACTTCGTGGTGCTGGGCGGGTTCTTGCGCCCCGGCCGTACAGCAGAGCGAAAATGCCACCGCGGTCTCCAAGACGATTTCAGACATTTTAGGGTGTGTGTGTGTCTTTGTGTGTGTCTTTGTGTGTGTGTGTGTGTGTGTCTTTGTGTGTGTCTTTGTGTGTGTCTTTGTGTGTGTGTGTGTGTGTGCGCGTGCGTGCGTGTGCAGTGTAGGGTTAGGCCTCAGGCAAGGGACGCGTGGCCTACTGTGGGGTTAGGCGTGGCTTACCCAACACCCACACCAACCTGCAAAGCTTCCACACCGGAGCCCAAAAAAAAACAACGATCCGGTTTGTTTCTTGTCCGAGGCTGGCTCCAGCCTTCATCCTGGTCCAAAAGGCCTACTATGACACCCTGATCGAGTTTCGGGGGCCGCTCGTCCGGAGAGTGCGGGGTCCCAAGAGTTGTTTCCCTTTTTTTAAAACTTTTTCCACAACCCTAGTAGTTTTCAGAAAGCATACTGTGGATGGTTGCGACATCCTCTTAGGCACCACCCGAGCAACCCTGGAATGATGTTCGATTCCCCAACGTAAATACCGAAAAACGTGAGGGTGTCAACCATGATTTGCAAGTGGTGCAGGACTTCTTCCATCCACAGTATGTCTCAAAAATGGGAAACCCTATTGGTGGCGTGCCCAAATGTTGGGGACGCATGTCTCCCACTTTCAAGAGCTCACACAATTTCAGGCTGAAGCCCGAGCAGCATAGCATCGGCAGCTTCCTGAACCTGTCCTTGCTGTCTCCCACAAAGCTCTCCTGGGACTATGACGGCACGAGTGCGAATGGCAAGATGAATGAGACCCTTCATGACACCTGGAAGTGGCACGATGACGAGTGAAGTGGCGCCGTGAAGCCCAAAGCTTTGGCTGGCCAGACAAAGTTTCTGAGCCTTCACGCATAGCTTGGCACAAGAAACTTAGACCTTGCTGGGGGAAGGGTACCTGCAACAGATGGACCCGGCGATATTAGCTTCCATTCTCAACATCCTGGGCGAGATGGTGATGACAGTGTGATCAGGATGACTTGTGCTAGCGGCAACAGATTTGTTTCCGGAAAGGCATGAAAACCAGGTCGTGCAGGCCAAACCCGGCGAGCCATCCTTTGCCGAGGTCCAAAGACAACCGCCAAGAAAATGGCTCCGCATGACACGGTCCCAAGTTTGGCAATCCAAACAACCCAAGGTTGTTGTAATATGTTGTTGTCCATTTGCGTGCTGCGCTGCCTTTTGTGCTGGGTTTGGGGGAATGAGTTTCTAGGGCGAAAAGAGACGGTTCGAATCCATCATGGAGGTTTCATGGTCCCTTGAGATACCAGCGGGGACAAAGAAAAGTCCGCCGTCCAATTTCACCCATGTGTAAAAGCAGGCATTCTCTCAAAATTTCCCTCGTAAGGGGCAAGCATGTGGCCCCTTACAAACACCGGCCGAACAAAAACTAGGTCCCCCAGTAGTGCCCTTGTGCCCTTTGTTGGGGGAGCCTACTAACATAGACGACAGGAAAACAGTTGGTACCAACTTATTCTGACGTTTCTACTGGAGGACCTAGCCCTTTGTCTGAAATTCAGGCCCTAACCCACTGGGGTCACGTTCCTTTGGGGTGGCTCCCAAAGCTATCGCTCCGGCGGAGAAACCGCAGGCTGGGGGCCGGCTGCTCCGCTTCGATGCCCGGGGGCCCTGAGCAAAGTTTCTGAGCCGGGGCGGGAAGGAAGGTGGGTGGGTGCAACGGAAGGCCATGGCTGCTGACCGACAGTGACCACGGGTTACATGGGCTATGACGGCCATGAAATCAACCAACAGTAGCAGGGGGGTTACATGGAAGGCTATGCTGAGATCAACTTGGTTGATTTCATCAGGCCATGGAGCTTGGATAGGTTTCGGGGGAGCGAGCGATTTTGGTTCACGCGCGCCCTTGCTCCATGAGGGATGGTAGGGTTGGGTTGGGATCTCCAACAAAAACATCCGCAACGAGTAGGAGGTGACTCCATTCATTTCACCGGGAGCTTGTTGCGATTCAAATACCGGGCCCCTATATTTCACTTTTTGGTGGTTTTAAGCATCACCTTTAGGGTCAATTTCAGGCGAGCGTCCTTTTGGGCGGGTGATGTTTCGAGGGGATCCATACAGCTCCCCCGTTCAAAAATCCGCGGTGCGTGCCGCATGCAACTTGAGGTTCCAAGCTGTGTTTGCCGCATGCGCTTGGGCAGCCGTGATCTCAGTGAGGCCGAATTGAGTACCTCCAGTTTACTCTGCAGCAGCTTTGTTGCTGGGTCTTGGGTCTTAGGTGGGGGTAGGTCTAAGCGTCTAGGGTCTAGGGTCTAGGGTTTGGTTTAAGGTCGAAGGTCTGAGGCTAGGGTCTAGTTTAGGGTTGAAGCCAGGTCGTTGCCCAAAGAAACGAGGTCGGGGGTTGAGAAACAGGCCCCGAGTCACCACTTTTCAAACTCAGGGATGTCGATGCTCAAAAGCTAGCGCCCTCTGAGTGCTTGCTGTCCTTGAGGATTCCTTCGAAACCATCCAGGAAGGACTTCCCTGTTGCGAGAAACACGCAGAAGGGGAAATCAAAGCACATCAATACACCCAGAGCGGGGATGGATCGGAACGGTCAGGCAGCGACGGGTCGAATGTTCTGTGCAGCCTCAGCTGTAAATTGGGGTTCGGGGCATGGGGGAGTCACTAAGTTCCAAACCACCAAAACCGGACAGAACTCTACCAAAGCAACTGGCACTCACTAGGGGGCAATGGTACCCTCCCCCATGCGCCCTTTCTGTATTCTTGATCTTCTCTTGAAAATCTTCTGTTGGGCACCCAGACTTTTTTTTGCACAAGCAACGTTTCCGGCATGTTGGTATCATGCCGTTCTTGTGGCAAGGGGACTGCTCTTGGAATCCACAGGCGCGCTCGCCATTTTTTTTTGAGGCCTTGGACTTCAGTGGGTGGCCGAAGACGCGCGGCTGGCTCCCTGGAGGTTTTGGGCCGAACCCCCCCCCCCCCCCGTTTTTCTTGACACAGCCCAACCCGTGCCAAAACAAAAATCGAGGTCGATGGATTTTTCCTTCTGGAAATTTGCGCGGATTGCCCCGCAAGGAGGTGGTGTTTGTTTTTCTTTGAAATCTCGTTCTCGAGATTTCTTGGACTAGTGAATAGTGGCTGGGAAATGCTTGGGCCCCTTGACGTCTTGCTTAAACAAGGGGTCCCTAAGTTTTGGTCATGTGATACTGACCATCGTGGTCAACTTGATTGTCAACTGATTCTCGTTACTTGCCACGTTGCTAGGCTGCGCCGCGTTGATAGATTTAGGCCCGCAAGCTTGCGTTCTCCCTGGGGCAGAGTTGCCTAGCAGGTATTGCCACCCGAACTCTCCCTGGAAGAGTGAAGCAAGCTAATCTCCCCCCAGAAGCTTTGCCAGTTAGTTTTCCGTTTCATTTTGCAGGGCGCCAGAATTGTCGGGTCAGAGAGCCAATCGCTGCACAAAATGGGGCAGTTCCGAGGATCTGGGGGATACGCCTTTCTTTGGATTTTCCGGTTCCCTCCCCACTGTTCCGATTTCCGCCCTGCCTCCAGCTGTTTCCAGCAACCGTCCCAGGTCTTGAGGCCCAAGCCCGTCCGCGCACGCAGAGTCTCGGTCCGGTCTCGCGCGGACGGAGGAAAAAGGAAGGATCCCAGAGGATCCCACCGGTGCCTGTTTTTTCTTTGAGGAGACCCGAGCCAAGCGGAAACCAACCCATTTTGGGGGTCCGCTCAACGGAGACCATCTCGCGGGGAAATGCGCGAGAAACTATGGGCCCGAATTCCAACACGCCATTTTAAGTCGGGGGGAAAAGCTGATAGAGCCAGAGCCCAAAAAAAACAGGGGCCCCGGGTTTGTGAACTTCCAGCCTGCAGTCTTGGGCATGGGCTTGGCAATCGCCCGGAGGAGAGAGTGGTGACTGGGCGGCCCTTTGCGCCCGCCACTCAGCTGCCAAACCCGGCCTTTGTGCGTGCCCACTTGCGCCACAATCAAAACCCGGGTAGATGAAGGTTGGTAAGGGACAATCCCAACCATAAATAGCTGCGGCCGCCTTCTCAACTCCTTACATGGTTCTGGGTAGACCATTTCAGTACCGGGTTTGATTGTGACTCACTTTGCGATGCAGGCTGCCGGATGATGGCGCCGTGGAACTACCGGCAGGCCGTGGATTTGTCGCAAGTTGATCGTCGGTAGCCAGGGTCGGGTCGTCCTGTTGGAAACAGAAGGGTTCCATTGGTTGTAGTTGGGTTGTATGCCATCCATTTGCCAGAATAAAACCCATCCACATCTATTTTTCCAGTTTCGGTCGCCTGCGGTCGGCCGGTGTTTTTCCTTTTTCCGGCCGTGGCCGTGGCCGCGGCCGCGGCCGCGGCCCGGGCGGCCCTTCGGCGGACGTCACGGCGGACGGCGCGGCCGATGCCGGCGCCGCCGGCCCCGGCCGTCGGGGCCGCGGAAGGGGGCGGCGAGGTCGAGGCGGAGACGGGGAGAAACCTACATGGCTACAGCTCAAAGTATAAAAAAGATCGCCAGTAGGTAAATGGAAACAAAGACCACCACCTGTTTAACCCTGGCTCTTAAATGTTGAGCCACACCCTTGCTGAAAACGCGGGTAGACAGGGGTGATTCTATTGTCATGGTTTCTGTGGGGTAAGTCAGAAAATGGAATCAGTTGTTTCCCTTTTACCTACCATTTAAGGGGGTGACTTTGATCATGGTAAAATAATGGGGCCAGGTAGGATGAAGGTGAGTGAGCAAGGGACAATCCCAACCATAAGCTGCGGCCGCCTTCTTAATTCTTTACGTGGTTCTGGGTAGACCACTTTAGTACCTGGTTTTGATTGTGACTCAGACATGGGTGTTTTTCAAATTTGGGCACTTCCTCCAGGGGGCTTCTTTCGGTTTTCCTAACGCATCCAGAAAGGGTCCCCTATGTTGAGAAACTCCCAGACGCTGTTGCATGCGCGCAGTGAAACATCACAATCTTGCAGGGCAGGGCGGCCACAATGCCCGCGGCCAGGCGCAGAAGGAGACAGGGCCGCGTCGCCCAAGAGGAAAGACGAACAGCCCGACATGGAGTCGGCAGCGGAGAAGTTGGAACAGAGCTGTGACGACTTCTTCACGCCGCACGTGCCGTCGAGCACTGTCGCCACGCCCTTGCTGCCGCAAGCCACGCCGCCGCAGCCCGGGGCTTATGCAGTTGTGAGGCCGGCATAGTCAACGGTCAAACTGTGTAAACTTGGGGCTCCTCCAGACGGTTTTCTGGGTGGTCGCCTGTTGACTGCCAAAATAATGTTCGCCGTTAGCTACTGCTTTTGGCCAAGGCTCAATATGCCGCCGCCGAAATCGAGGACCGATATGCCGCAGCCGAGATCAAGGGACGATATGCCGCAGCCGAGATCAAGGGACGATATGCCGCCTCCGAGACCGAGGAACGAAATGCCGACGCCAAGATCAAGGAACGATATGCCGACGCCAAGATCGCCCGGCCCCGTGACGCTCTTGCCTCAGCTTTCCTGGTATCTTATCAACAATATGTAAACACCACTGGACCTGTCAAAAGCCCTCCTTACGTCACCGAAAGGGTGTGATGCTCGAGAGCCCTGGCCCTTGAGACGGACCCACTTGATCCACCCTACACTTTCAGGATCGGCGGCACCGGAAAAGTCCAAGACTAAGTGGCCTTGTCGTTTTGGAGTAGGCATGTTTGTGTCCATTTCCTGGGGTCTTTCCATTTTTTGGGTTGTTTCATGTTTTTGGTTGTTTCTCCAGAAGCCGCAGGGCCACACTTGCTCCCCCCCACTCCCCCACCCCCACTCCACCCCCACCCTCCCACCCCCACTCCCCCACCCCAGAAAGGTCGCAGGGGCTCACGGCGCAGCTGGACCTCCTCATGTTTGACTCCCAGGAGAGAGAACTGAAACCCGCGCGTCGCGCGCGCGTGAATCGAACGCGCGAAAATCTGGAACTGCGCAGCTGAAAGTATGTGGAGATTCCAATGCCGAGGACTTCCTAGGCGTTCTGGTTCTCAAGGCGTTGTAGGCGTTTTAGGCGTTTTTAGGCGTTTTGCGCCTTTTTTGCGGGCGTTTGTCTTTTTGTGCGGGCGTTTTGCGGCAATTGCGGGCGTTTCCTGTTTCTAGGCGTTTGCGGTAATTTGCGGGCGTTTGCGTCCAAAACAGGGTCAATGCCGAGAATGACTAGGAATTCCTTGACGTTTGAGTCTCCAGGTAGACGCATTTCGAGGGGGCTCGGTCCGTTTTCTTCTTGGGGGGGTTGCTGTCAACCACCATGTCATGAGTCGGTCATTTGGGTCCTTGATGTTTTTCAATCTCCCTTGCAACCACCACAATGTAGAGGGTTCCTCGTGTTTTCGCAAAGTTTGACGGACCTAATCTCGTCTCCAAAGGCTGGACACCCTTCATCAATCAACCGGGCTTTTAATCAACGTGAGCGTCTTTCTTTAAATTGGTCCCCCGTTTTTGGTTTCAAAAAGGAAGCCAAGGGGGACCACCAATGTTTTGGGGGTGCCCGAAAAAAGGACACAATGTAGTTTCTTGGGCTGTTTTATTTTCACGTTACTTTTCTGCAAGCTGGGTCAGGGGCCGTTTTCCGAGTTCCCATGTGACACGACTTCCAGGAGACCTCCGCGCGGACCGCGGCACCCGCCAACCCGCCAGGCTGAGCCTCAAACCTGGACGCGGTGGTCCGGGTTCCTCTTGACTGCTGGGTTGGATCATGTTGGGTCTATAGACTTTAACTTTTTGGTTGAAATAATTTGGTATTTTCCACTAACCTTCCCCCAAAAGTTAAAAACAACTTTTTGCTGGGGGGGTCGTTGCAGCAATCAAGTCCAGGCCTTGTGACCCAAGGTTTTCCGGTTTCCCTTGGCCCAAAGCACGGGCGCCCTCAAAGATGAGCCACTCAGGCCGCCCGTGGGACCCAGGTGAGCCATGCGCAAGGTCTCTTCCGCCGGGTTGAAGTCGCAAAGAAAGGAAGGAGCCAACCCACCAACCCACCCACCTCGTCAGTGAAGCATAGTGAAGCAACCAATCAAATTTAACTGTTTCCTAAAACGTCCCATAGAAGATTTCTACGTGCTGGACTTCGGAGCCAGGGCCGGCTCCTGCTTCGGTGCCGGACACCATCCCTGGGGATGCGGAGCTGGAGGCCAATGAACGGAGAACGTTGCCCGTGGCGAAGCCATGGGCCACAGGGAGGTCCCTCCCTAAAGAAACGTGGAACCCTTACAAGTCTTCGAACAGGGTGCATCTGACCATGATTGTGTTGGTGGGAGGGCTAGAAATCGTGGACTGTATTGAGGCCCCTGCACAGCGCATTCGCTGATAGTCGGGGATTTCCGTGGCATGCGACCAAGTGGCTGTGGGTAAAAACTCTCCCCTGGTGAACATCAACATAGGTGGCAACCGGATGTTCATCCACCCCAAAAAATGGCTGGCCAGAGGTTCTGCAACCCATGGCCAAGTCACTCGCAGGCGCCGCCGAAGCCCGAGCCGGCGCCGGCGCCGCCGGAGCCAGCGCAGCCACTGGAGCCGCTGGAGCCGCTGGAGCCGCTGGAGCCGCTGGAGCCGCTGGCGCCGCTGGCGCCGCTGGCGCCTGCTCAGGCGCCCAATGCCACCCGAAACGGCCGGCAGTTGGGTTGGGCTCAAAGGGGGGCCACCGGCAGTTCTTCGGCGCGCGATGGAGGGAGTCGAGAATTGTGGGTTTTGGGCAAGTTCTTGTGCCAGTTCTGGGCAAGTTCGGGATTCCTGAAGATTCCAGGTGACTTGATTGGTGCATGTTTTTTGTTGTCCAGATGGGTTGCTGATGGGTTTTTTGCCGGCGCAAGCGCAGGCCGGCCAAGCCACGGTGAGTTTTTTCGACATGCTGAAGGACTTGGACTGAGCTCGTGGGGCGAGCGTCGGCGGGGAATCTGAGGCAAAAGCTTCCGCCGGCTTTTGCGGAAACCCTAAGCAGTGCCAACTGCAGATTGAGCTGGCTCATACCAAACCTGGAAAAATCCGGAAGGAGAGGTCCCTCAATCTCACTGCTGCGGAAATTTCTGTTCTGCTGGGTTCATGACTTATTCTCAGAACAAAACCCCACAACCCTTGGGGAGCCGTTTTGGGGGCCCCAGAGGTGGGGTTTTGGGGGCCCCAGAGGGGGATTTGAAGCCGCCAGCTTCAACTTTTTCGGAGAGCTGCTGGAGGCGAGGCCGTGTACAGAGGCAGCCGCCTTTGGCTTAAGCCTCCGGCGAGAGGGGCGCTTTCCAGGTAAAAGGGGATTCATAATGGGACAGTTTATTACCCTGGGTCAAGATTCTTTCGGAGTTGGGAACAACCAGCAAATCCAAAGGCAACAAGGCAACTGCGGATTCTGGGGTCTCCGAAGTGCAGACTTTCGGCCTTTCGACAGGGATCCTTGGATGCTGTGGTCTGCTGGCTGGCGCCTCAGTCAGAATCAATCAGCGCCAACGCGGAAGGAGGAAGATGTCGTTTTTTTGGCAGTCCGAGTTGCCTTGGTGGCTCCCAGCCATCCGGTTCCTGAGCTTTTTAGATCCTTTCAGTGTTTAATGGTAGTTTCCGTATTTTACCCACTAAAAGTTAGTCACTTGTAGCGGGGGATCTGAGGGCAGTCCCATTGACATCCCGATTTGCTGCCCATCTTTGTCGGGAACCATTGGGCTGTGAGACCAGGTTCGCTCGCGGTGCGCTTCGGATTTCCGCCTCACGGGGATCCCCTTTGTCCACCTTCTCATGTCATTTTCTGAACATCATGTGAGCCATCCTTCGGATTCCCCATCAAATCCGAAATTACTCCCCTTTCCTCCATTTGTTTCAGAACACATTTTTTTTCAGGGTTCCAATTCATGTAGCCGGCCATTGAATTTTCAACCAAACAGCCAGGCCCTACAGCCCCCGATCAATTCTTTACGCCAATGCTCGTCCCATGGAGTGCGGCTGTTGCGCACTGCACAGCTTGCTGAAAGCTCACCCAGAGCTGGTGGGACCTGGGGGCGGATGATCGGACTTTGACCAGCTTTTCTTGTGCAAGGCAGACCCAACCTTTTGTTTTTTGACCTTTGTCAATCCTTAGTTAGTGGAAAAAAAAACATCAGCATATGTTGCAAGTGCAAGTCTGATTTGGTCGTGCTCCATAGGTTTTTGGCAGTGTCCTTTTGTGCTTGTTCCATCCATCAAGTAGCAACTTATCGGAGCATGGAGCATGTCAAGCTGTGCAGCTATCCCGATCGGATTCGCGGCATGCAATCATGCAACTGTGCACATGGATCCCGGGATTCTTTTTCCCGCTACTTTGCGTTTCTCGACTTGGAGCGGCCAAAAAGCATCAACCATTCTGTCACTTTTGTCCAGATTCTTGCTGTTCTGCAGTGTCCAGCGTACACCAATCTATTCCAATTAGGCAATAACTGTTTTTTTCATTACGTAACCAGTGACCTGGTGCTGTGTTTTTGGAAGCCAGTCAGCCCACTTGTTGAGTGGCTTCCAGCTGTCTAGTGTAAGTGTAACCGAGTTGGCCAGGGGCCCCGTGAATCCCGACAGAAGTGACAGAATTCTTGACAATCTTGATGCTTTTGAGCCGCTCCAAGTCAAGAAACGCAAAACAACGGGAACAAGCCTTCCCACAGAAGTGACGGAATACCGACAGAAGTGACAGAATTCTTGACCATCTTGACGCTTTCCAAGTCGAGAAACGCAAAATAACGGGAACAAGCATCCCGAGAATACCGACAGAAGTGACAGCATTCTTCACAATCTTGACGCTTTTCAGCCGCTCCAAGCCGAGAAACGAAGTAACGGGAACAAGCATCCCCACAGAAGTAACAGAATTGCAAAATAACAGGAACCAGAATACAGACAGAAATGACAGAATTCTTGACCATCGTGAGGCTGAAGTGCAAACTAACAGGAACAATAATACCGACAGAAGTGACAGAATTCTAGACAATCGTGACGCTTTTCAGCCGCTGCAAAGAACACGTGGATGAAATTCCACAGAAACAAAAAGAGACCCCAGAAGGTTGCCCAAAACGACTTAGTCAAGCAGCCGGGGAGGGGGGGGGGTGAGAACAAGAAAAGCTCGATCGTGCAACTGGAAATCAGCTTCCAGCTCTTGAAGCACATGCGCTGAATCGATCGCTTTCGGAACTCTTCCCGTGAGTGCCCACAGAAGAACGGCGAGTTTTTGCAACGAGCAATCCCCGGGAAGCTTAAAACAAACAAAGCCCCCAACCATGTCCGAAGGCGCTGATCCCACCCCAACTTTCAGCGAATGCCTGCGAAAGCTTGGAGCCAAACGGGCACTACAAGGAGGTGTATCCTAGCAAGACGACCAAGACTCTCAGCCAGCGGGAAGCAACTTGGCCACTCAGCCACTTAGCCGCTCAGCCACTTAGCCACTTAGCCACTTAGACTGTTAAGTGTACGGAAACAACCACTATTGTACTAGAAGGCTGAGTGTGTGTGCAGATCGGGTCGGATTTGTCGAGCAGCCACTTAGCCACTTAGTATTGAATATTTGGGGCAGAATCAGATTTTTTTTCAGATTTTCATAATACTATTTTTATAATCAAATTTTAGGTAAGTATTTGTTTTTCATCAAACTCAGAAATATTTTTGATTCTCTAATAATAATAACTTTTGAATGTTTTGAACAAATCAGAAATATTTGTAACATTTCCACGAACAGCTCGTCAAACCTTTTGCGCTGCCCAGGTTCGAGATCTGGTTCGGGGGCGGCCACAAGCCCATCTCCTTCAGCACCGGCCCCGAGCCCCGGCCCCGGATTTTCCGCGGTACGAGCCGTTCGTTCGACCGCAGTCGGGCGCTTCAGGTCGGCCCTGGGTCGGTTTTTTTTGGCCCAGTTTCGTTTTTTGATTTTTCTGGTCCGGGGCACGCGCACCCCCCCCTTTCAGGTTTTGTTCAGTTTTTTTGCCTTTGGATTTTTCTGGTCCGGGGCGCCCAAACCGGCCCCCCCCCCGCTTCACAACATGTGACGGAGGGGGGAATTCTTGGAACATTCGCCTTTGGTTCTCGATTCGCAATTGACGGGCTGGAACTTTGGACGTGCTGACATGGGGCCGCCGGTTCCTGTGTGTTAGACTCCTTTTGCATAACTGTGCGGGTTGGCATGGGATCAAACCAGGGCATTCGCATCTGTGTCAAAATAGTGGAGCCCCAAAATGCGTGGTTTCCATTTAGGTTTCCGTATTTGGGCACACAGCAAAGACACAGCCACCTGATGCTTACACCAGTGTTTTGCCTGCGCTTGGTGCGGCCGGGCTTTCAAGGGCTCTTTCGGGGGTTCGGTTCTTTCGGGGATCGTAGACTCATACTGTGGATGGACGAAATCCGTTCGCACCACTTGGAAAGCATGGGAAACCGCTGTTTGTTGGTATTTACAGGGGAATCGAATCATTCCAGGGTTTCATAGGTGGTGCAGGATTTCGTCCACAGTAGCTCTTTCGGGGTTAGCTTGTGTCTGGTTGTTGTCTTCTTTGGAGACCAAAGCCAAACTTCATGGAGCGACAAGCAAATGCAAGCCCAACGTCAGGTCGCCCACGTGCTGGAAGCAAACGGCCTTCTTCCTTCAAGGCCAGGGCCCCATCAACACATGCGACCAACACGCCCAAACCTCTACCCCACAAATGGTCCTTTTTGTTCTCTGTCGCAGAGGTGGCTTAAGAACTCAAGGGCGAAGGGCTTGGAATGTGTGGGAAGCTTTTTTCGGAGCTGGTACCTTTTTAGGGGTGGTTCTCAAGGGAGGCCGAAAAAGGACATCATGATTTTTGGGGGTCCCCTAAAAAAGACGTGCCCATGTGTCACAACTGGTCCGGACGTGGCGTTTCCAGTTTCATAGAACTTGTTCCTCTCCGGGGCAACTCTTTTGGACATCGAATGGAGGCTTTGGAGAGTCCAATCCCGTTTTGTGTAGGCATGGAGATTGACGAAAGGAAACCACAGGCTTCCAAATGTTTTGTTTTTTCTTTCCCTTAAACGGGTACAACTTCCAAAGAGGACCCCGCGTAAAGGGGTTTCGATATTTTCCAAGCCCAGAACAGAAAGCCCCTCATGCTTTGCACAGCCATCTTTTGATTCCCCTTGAAATCGTCCGGGTTTCTTGAGCCGCACACTGCCAGTTTTTTTTTCTCCACCTTGTGTGGACAATTGATCGACCCCCCTCGTAGTGAAGGATTCCTTTGTGAGGGAGTTGGTTTTTTTTCACAAAAGGTCGCAAAAAGAGACCCCTGTTTTGAGAGGGTCGCCTTGTTGGTTAAAGAAGCCCAGAAAGCTGAACTCCCATTTTTCTTGGGGCCCGCACGCTGCCCGCGACTTTCGGCTTTCAGCGGGGATCCGCCATGCGGTGCTGGCCAAAGCAAAGCCAACAGTTCGCGGCCATCAGCCGAGGGCGATGGGTGGGGCGGGGCTTCAGGGGCTCAAGCGGAGTCTGGGCCACCAGGTCCCCCATCGCGCCCTTGCTCACCCGTTTTTTTTTGGGGGAGGGTTCCCCTACTAGACTATAGAAAATACAGGTCCCTGATTCTAACCTCTCTACTGGAGGGCCTAGCCCATGTTGTTTTTGTTATAATCTCAGGAAGCCCATGTCCCAAACCAATTGGTTTTGCTTTCAGACACTTTTGCTTGAGAAAGCCCATGTCCCAAACCTTGGTTTTGCTTCCAGACACTTTTGTCTGAGAAAGCCCATGTCCAAAACCCCAAGGGTTTTGTTTTTGCCCTTTTCTGAATAGATGCTTAGATGGATGAGAGGGAGGGTTGGACTTGAGGCTTTGCACAAAACTGGAAGGTCTCTCCCATGCTGGAGACCCATGTTTGCCATGGGAGAGGGGGGTTTTTCTGCGTGGGAATGGAAGAGCCGGTCTCCTGGTTTCAGATAAGTGTTTGGTGATTCCAAAGCTCAACCCCAATGTTAACTGATGTTAGCTGCGGAGTAGTCCGACCCCTCTAACCAAGGAATCCTTGTAAAATAGATCATTTCCCTTTCAAAGGGGGGAACCCCTGAGTAGTCCGGTCCTGCAAATGAATCCCACGTTGACATAATATCCTTTTGGTTTTACTTCAAACCAGGGGCCCATGTCCAATGTTTTGCAGCAGCCGTTCACTGAAGGAAAGCCCTCTTTGATTCGGTTCCTGCACGTTCAAGGCGACACCGCCTCTGACTTTGAGTCGTGCCCAGGAATGCGTCCTAAGACTCCTAGCGAGTCCGCCCGTGTTGGCAACGGCGGAGTTCCCCTGCAGTTGGGTCATCAAGCCCTCAAGGATCGGACAGCCGTTTGGGCTCGTAGGGGGACCCGCGTGAGAGCCTCGAAGCTCCGGAATTCCCAAAGTTTATGGAACCTCGAAACTGCGTTGGGACGTGTCTTGGTGCCAAAACCCAGTGGGCATGGCTGCACATCGACTCCCCGTCTGGCGTGTGGCAGTCGTGTAGTCAAAGAGGCGAGCAGTCGGACAGCAAGTGGTGCGCTTTTTTGTCAGGGGGCTTATCAGCCAGCAGCAACATCTTCATGGGGACTTTCTGCGCGCTCGCCCCTCGGCCCGCAAGTCGCCTCCTTTGTCGAGGCTGAATATGGGGGGGTGCTGGCGTCCAAGTTGCCATGGTTGCCGGTGGTGTGAACGCCGAGGAGAAAAGTTGCAAGAGGTCAAGAGGTGTGTAGCGATTCATGGTGAGTGCTTCGTCATTTTGTATGGCCAGCGAAATATTTCTCATGATATTCTTTGGATTCTTTGGGTGCCCCTCGCTTGCTGGTTCGACAGGCAGGGAATGAGACATGACATGACCCCAATCCCAAGACAAAGACCATCCCTCCACTGGCTTTGTATTCAAAAAACCCAAAACCGATACCAACACCCACCACCCCAACCCCGGTTGTCACCAGGTACCGGTCGCACGACGCCTAGGCTACGAAGTCATCAAGGAGCTGGGCAGCGGCTCCTTCGGCGTGGTGAACCTGGTGCGCGAGAGAGCCACAGGTCCGGCGCTCGCTCGCTCGAGAAAAAAGCGTAACTCCCCGCCGTGGGGAGCGAGCCGGAGGTTCCAAAGACTTCCTACACGACTTGTTCCAACTAAGATGGCGCCGGTGGGGAGGTGGAAGATAAATGTCCATTTGAAGGGACCATTTCCCTCTCAGTTGCCATGTTAGTGGGAGGGAGGGTACGATTTTTCCACTGAAAAGTGGCGACTTTCTTGCCGGAGCATGTTCTGCATGCTGAAAAGTTGCGAGTTTCGAGCGGGAGGCCCACATCAGAGTGGCAGCTAGAGGCGTTTTACATGTATCCTGCAGGGACTAATTCGTCCCCATTTGAGCAGTGGCAATTCAAGGATCTGTGTTTTTCCCCTTAGTGGTTTTGGAGTGCACGGATTTGCCCAATACCCTTAGAGTTTTCATGCCGCTTTACCTTTTTGTAGTAGCTGAAAGCCTTATGTGGCACTGAGTAGCGGCGTTCGCAGGGGCAAGAAATTGTCATTCTGCACTGCTTCTGCCGAGCTCATTTGAGGGTAGCACAAACTCACCGGGATTGGAGAAAGCATATGCCATGGTTTCTTAATGTTTTCCCATGAGTTACATCTATTCATGTCGTCCAGTCAGATTTCCTCAGGAAGTCATTCGGTCTTGGAATTTGCCATCATTGGCTCAGTGGCAGCCTTTTCCTCTTTTTTGCTTCATGGGTTTCCCACCAAAAGTGGAGTCACCCCCAAAAGAACATCCTGGCACTCCGTTTCTGCATACTTCGTCACTGGTTACCCTTTCTGGGCACCAAAACAGCCCTTCCCTTCTCCTTGCTGGCTCTCAGGGAATGAGAAACGGACTGTCCCCTATGAACCAGACCCCTCCAAGAAACCAAACGGAATGACCCCTCCAAAGACAACACATGCATCTCCAAAACCGGTTCATGTCCAACACCCATACCCTGGTCGTCAGTCATTCATTCCCCTACTTGTCGCAGCCAGCGCAGCCAGCGCAGCCAGCGCCTCCCAATCGCGCGAGGCCTGCAGCGGGTGATCAAGACGGTGGACACCTCAAAGCTCTCGCAGCGCCTGCTGGACTCCATGCGGCGGGAGATCCAGGCGGCTTGGGCTCGCTGGGGCGCTTGGGCTCGCGCTAGGCTGCGGACAGGCAACCGCAACCAACCCAAGCGGCGAAAAGCGGTTGCCTGTGGTATGCTTGAAGTGGGGAGGGCATTCTGAGGGGTCAAAGTTCGGGTGGGGTGGGGGGGAGGGGGAGAACTGACCTCAGAAACTGTTGGAGGGGGGGTAAAATTCAGCATATGTCTCGAGGCCCCTTTCTTTTCGAAGCACCCTGTGGGTGACTGACAAAAGTGGTCTGGACGGAAGCTGCACAGAGAGCTCACCTTCTCAAGTTGCATTGGCTTGCCTGTTTTGTCGCGAGACCTGGGAATAGTACGAGCGAAAGCCCTGAACAAAAGGTTCTTTACCTGAGGATCCCTGATTTCAGCTTTTGGAATTATTGTGAAGTTTGCAGATTGCTGTCTTCCCCATTTTGTCTTCCCAATCGCATTTGTTTCCCTGGCCTGATTGGACATTACGGAAAAAAGACGGGGCTACCTGACCGAGAGTCTTGTGGCGGGAAGGGGCAACTGTACGCTTCGAGTTCGAACGGTTTGGCGCCTTTTCGCATTTGTTGGCGTGCATTATGATGACCTTATTATAGGAGCGCCCTAGCTGATGAAGGGGGGGGGTCCGAGTGGAAAAGGGATCTTTTATCTTTTTGCTTCGGGAAGCATCCCCCAACTAATCCGATTGAGGCCCGTGTGGAGGGAGTTCTCTACTCCACGTAAGACTCCCTCGCTTGGGATCTGAGTTTCACACTTTGCGGTTCGCTCAATATGAGCCAGTTCTGGCTTGCGCAAAAGCTGAGGTTGGAGGGTCCACATTTCAGGGGCTGAACGCCGGCAGGTCCTGCAAGATCTGGATCATCCCAACATCGTCCGGCTGTTCGAGTACGGCGAGGACGGTATTCATCAGAAGATCCATTGCCTGATGGCACCTTGGCCTACCGACGCTCCCAAAACACGGCGCACACTCCCGAGAAGCATGGGCACCTGGCCTTCGAGAAAATTGGTCCAAATACCTTACCACAAGTGCCCCGTTTTTGTGGTGCAACCAAGAGAAACTGACTGCCATTTTGGGTGTTTCTCATTTAGCAGACCCCCCAAACAGGTCCAAGGAAGCGAACCACCGGCCGGGATCACAGATGTGCCAGTCCATATTTTGACTGCACCGTTTTGTGTTGTTTTTTTGTTGAATACACTGTGTGTATAGCGAAGAATTTGTTCTGTATGTATATATATATATATGCACACACGTACAATGTGTATATTATATATAATATATATAAATATACATATATGTATACACACGCATGCATGCATGGTCTCTCTCTCTCTCTCTATCTATGTAGGCTTGCACATACATGGCATCTACGAACATGTCTATACAAGTTGCAGCATGCACGATCATGTGTATGTATATATATATACACATACACATGATCATATAGACATGATCTCATCGATGGTACATGTGTGGCTCACTATGCCGGGTTGGTTTTCCAAAGTCCACGATGATCCCAAGTCTTGACAGATCACTTGCGAGAGCGGTCTCCGCCCCATCTCCGCCCTTCAAGATGTTCCACGTTGCCTTGTGGCAGTTTATTTGTATCTGACGGGAAACGGCCCAGGAGAAGCTGTCTGGGGGCGACCTGGATGAGCTTCTAGAGAGGAGCGAGGTGAACTGCGAAGTAGTTTGGACATTTCTTCCCCCATTTGGTTTTTGTCGGTTTTTGCTTGCCCAATCTTCCTTGGTGCGACGGTTCCTTTTGTGGTCAGGAAACGGGGCCGTCACCTGACTTTGTTCATAGCAGGCGAATTTGGGTTGCTTGGCCCAGTGTGGACTTGTGTGCGATGCTTCGTCAGATGAGGCTGGCTTCACACAGTCGATGTCTACTAAGCGCGCAGATTCATTATCATGCTTTAAAGATTCCCTGGAGATTGCAGAAGAAAACGCAGAAAGAAGAGGAGGACGGAAGAAGAAGGCGGAACAGGAAGAGGAAGAAGACAATGAAAAGAACAAGAAGAAGAAGGATAATAAGAGGAAGAAGAAGAAGAGGAAGAGGAAGACGGAAGAGGAAGACGGAAGAGGAAACGGAAACGGAGAAATAATTGTCTTAAAAAAAGGTAAGGCCCTTTTGGTCTTCCTGTATTGATGAAGAGCCATGGCCATGCCTTACTTAGATGCCTTTCGCTTCCGGTGGTTGTTCTTTGGGTGACATGTTCCTTTTGGTGGGGTGTCGAAAGGTGTCATGTGACAGCCCGGTGCCACGGACAACAGTGCATGGTTTGTGCAAGGTGGGTGTCGCATTGCATGGCTCCCTACTGCGTTTTGTTTTTGGTTTTTTGGTGGTACATACTGTGGATGGACGAAATCCATTTCGCACCACCTAAGAAATCCCGGAATGATTCGATTCCCCTGTAAATACCAACCAACACTGGTTTCCCATGGCTTCCAAGTGGTGCGAACGGATTTCGTCCATCCACAGAATGGACAAGAAGTCCTGCACCTGTTGGATGAACCCCTATGAATACTGGCTCATCAACCGCCTAGCAACCGCTGGATTGGGTCCATGAGGTCCCATCCATAGACAAGCCTTTAAAAGGGCGCCCTGTCGGATGCTCCAGTCACACCTTCTGTTCTCAAGATAGGGGACCCCTTGCAGGATGGTTTGAAAGGGAAACCACAAGGACACCACCTGGAAACATAATCCCCAATTTCCTAGCTGGTTCGACAGGCAGGGAATGAGAAATGGAAAGCCCCCAAGAGAAACCCATCCATCCATCCATCCATCCATCCTTCCTTCCTTCCTTCCTTCCTTCCTTCCTTCCTTCCTTCCTTCCTTCCACCCACCCACCCACCCACCCACCCACCCACCCACCCTTCCTTCCTTCCTTCCTTCCTTCCTTCCTTCCTTCCTTCCACCCACCCACCCACCCACCCACCCACCCACCCACCCACCCACCCTTCCTTCCTTCCTTCCTTCCTTCCACCCACCCACCCACCCACCCTTCCCTTCCCTTCCTTCCCTTCCCTTCCCTTCCTTCCCTTCCTTCCCTTCCTTCCCTTCCTTCCCTTCCTTCCCTTCCTTCCCTTCCTTCCCTTCCTTCCCTTCCTTCCCTTCCTTCCCTTCCTTTTCTTCCTTCCCTTCCTTCCCTTCCTTCCCTTCCTTCCCTTCTCTTCCCTTCCCTCCCCTTCCCCCCTTCCTTCTCCCTTCCTTCCCCCTTCCTTCCTTCCTTCCCTTCCCCCCTTCCTTCCCTTCCTTCCCTTCCTTCCCTTCCTTCCCTTCCTCCCCTTCCTTCTCTTCCTTCCCTTCCTTCCCTTCCTTCCCTTCCTTCTGTTCCTTCTCTTCCTTCCCTGCCTTCTCTTTTTTCCCTTCCTTCCTTCCTTCCCTTCCTTCTCTTCCTTCTCTTCCTTCCCTTCCCTCCCCTTCCTCCCCTTCCTTCTCTTCCTTCCCTTCCTTCCCTTCCCTTCCTTCCCTTCCTCCCCTTCCTTCTCTTCCTTCGCTTTCTTCACTTCCTTCCCTTCCTTCCCTTCCTTCCCTTCCTTCCCTTCCTTCTCTTTCTTCTCTTCCTTCCCTTCCCTCCCCTTCCTCCCCTTCCTTCTCTTTCTTCCCTTCCTTCCCTTCCTTCCCTTCCTCCCCTTCCTTCTCTTCCTTCCCTTATTTCCCTTCCTTCCCTTCCTTCCCTTCCTTCTCTTCCTTCCCTTCCTTCCCTTCCCTTCCTTCCCTTCCTTCCCTTCCTTCCCTTCCTTCTCTTCCTCCCCTTTCTTCCCTTCCCTCCCCTTCCTTCTCTTCCTTCGCTTTCTTCACTTCCTTCCCTTCCTTCCCTTCCTTCTCTTCCTTCCCTTCCTTCCCTTCCTTCTCTTCCTTCTCTTCCCTTCCTTCCCTTCCCTCCCCTTCCTTCTCTTCCTTCCCTTCCTTCTCTTCCTTCCCTTTCTTCCCTTCCTTCCCTTCCTTCCCTTCCTTCTCTTCCTTCCCTTCCTTCCCTTCCTTCCCTTGCTTCCCTTCCTTCTCGTCCTTCCCTTTCTTCCCTTCCCTCCCCCTCCCTTTCCTTTCCTTTCCTTTCCTTTCCTTTCCTTTCCTTCCCTTTCCTTCCCTTCCTTCCCTTCCCTTCCTTCCCTTCCTTCCCTTCCTTCCCTTCCTTCTCTTCCTTCCCTTCCTTCCCTTCCCTTCCTTCCCTTCCTTCCCTTCCTTCTCTTCCTTCCCTTTCTTCCCTTCCCTCCCCTTCCTCCCCTTCCTTCTCTTCCTTCCCTTCCTTCCCTTCCCTTCCTTCCCTTCCCTCCCCTTCCTTCTCTTCCCTTCCTTCTCTTCCTTCCCTTCCTTCCCTTGCTTCCCTTCCTTCTCGTCCTTCCCTTTCTTCCCTTCCCTTCCCTTCCCCTCCCTTCCCTTCCTTCCCTTCCTTCCCTTCCTCCCTTCCTCCCTTCCTCCCTTCCTCCCTTCCTCCCTTCCTCCCTTCCTCCCTTCCTCCCTTCCTTCCTTCCTTCCTTCCTTCCTCCCTTCCTTCCTATGGTTTCCTTTATCGGGACTCCCCCATCGGTTCATCCCCGGACCTCCCTTCCCCGGGCTCGCGCTGAGAGGAGCGGCCGCCTGGCGGAGCCCCTGGTGGCGCGGCTCATGCGCCAGGCGCGGCTGCGGATTGCTCTTCGGCTCTTCCCCAAAGGGCGCTTTTAAACCGGGGGTGTTGGGGTGTTTTGCCCGGGCTCGGGTTTTTGGGTTCGCCTTTGGTTTTGGTTTGGTTTTGGTGTGGCTTTTAGGCGGATTTGGTTTTTGGTTTCTGTTTGCGTAAACCCTGGCTGCCCTTGAGAAAAAAAACAGCACGCAAGGGGAGTGTTGAAACGGTGGGACCGGGTGAAACTTCAATGAAACAAGGGGGTAAACGCCCCACCTGCAGTTTGGGGGGGGGGCATGTGTGATAGTGGTCGTGGTCTACGATATGATTTTCCAAAATGAGCGAAAGCCATGATGTAGGTCCTTTGCTTGAATATGCCTCGTTTCGGGTTTTGAACTTATCGTGAAACTTTTTCTATATAGATATATGTATATGTACACATGTATAGATAAGAATATAGAGATTTGAGAGTTGACAAAAAGTTCTAAACGTTTCTTTCTTTCTTTTTCCTTTTTTTTTTTTTGGGGGGGGGGGGGGGGGGGCGGGCGGGCGATCCTGCCTCATTTCGCGGCACGAGATGGGGTTTAGATGGAATGGGGTTTGGGTTTTCGGTTTTGGGTATACAGCCATTATGCACACATCATGTACGCATTGTACTTCGCCTTAAACTCCATTCAGCATGGCTAGCTGACTGGGGTTTTGGGCGGCGACTTTTTAGCAGGGAGGACCGTGTTCCACTGGTTGAGTTCACTGCAAAACTCTGGAATGCTGAAAGTCGACTCAGTTTCTGACAGATGCTTTGGGCAAGAGGTTTGTATCGTCGTGAATCCGAAAGCTGGCAATCCAATGCTTGGATTTCCTCCACCTGGAGGTGATCTTGCTTAGGTGCTTGACAAGGTGTTGCACCCATCCGCCAAGTGCGACATTTGTTTCTAGAGATTCGGGAGCGAACACGGCTGAAGGCTACCTTCCCCACGTTAGCACTTTGGAGAGGGCAACCTTCTTGTGTATTTATACAGACTCCTTCAGACCATGGAAACTCCCAGAAGGCCACTGTAAGTTTCGAGTCAAGTCCAAAAGGGGAATCACCTTGGGGGTGCCATCAAACAAAATACAACTGTGGAGCCAAGTCTTCCAAAAGGGGAATCGCGTGGCTGGTATCAAACAAAATACGCGACAAAACCAATGATGTTTCTCGAAATGGACCCCGGGATTTCAACCGGAAACCACCAGGAACCACAGCAATTATGGAGGAGGGGGGCCATTTTTTAAGGTCCAGGACCCGAGGAGAAAGGAAGATCATCTTGTGTTTCTCGATGTACCGGAAACAGTCATTGAATCGAAGGTCCCCCTCCCATTTGGACACCCGCAACAAATGGGTGGTGTTCCTTTTGCTCCCCCTCCATCCCAAATTGTTTGTATCAAAGAAAACAAACCAAACCACCCCAAATGCCGTTTTTTTTTTTGTGCTCGCCGCATCTCTCGGATCGCGGGATCTCGGGAGATCGCCAGGTGCTGGCCGGAGCGGCCTTCTGCCACGCCCATGGGGTGGTGCACAGGGACCTGTGCCTTGGCTTGGGGGTTGGGGTCGGGGGGGTGGGGGAGGCGGTGGGGAAGGGTGGGGGGGTGGAAGGGGGAAGGGGGGTGGGGACTTTGGGGGGGGTGGGGGGTGGTCCAAGAGCACCATTTTGGTTGGTAACTCGGCAGACAAACAGTTATCAAGGCGGAGCCTCCGTTTGGATGGTCCTTCCTTCAAGGACACCATGATAGCAAGGGTTGAAGGGGGTCGTGATGATGAGGACCCCATCAGGAATGATTATGATTATGATCACCACCCTTCCCGTGGGCCTTGCCATTGCAGGCAAGGGGTCGGCGGATTAAAAGGGAGGTGGCGGGTCTGGCACCTTCTCATTGCGGTGATATATTTTCTTAAGAATGTTTTTTTTTTTTTTTTTTCTTTAATACAAATAAGAACATAACAAAATAATCTTCCCCTTGTTGGTTTTGAAAGGAATCCATCACTACTTGTTGTTTCTTTTTCCAGGGGGCTTAAGCAAACGGCAGGATGGCTTTGCTAAGCCCGCGAGTGAGGAAGCCAGGGAACGTGATGCTGAGCAAGTCGGACCTGCAGGAACAGCAGCTCGGCGGTTGGGACAGAGGGCACTGGATACATTCCTAGGCCCCCCAGTAGTGCCCTTTTACCGTTTCTTTTGGGGGACGGTCCCCCTACCAAAAAAAAGACGACAGAAAAAAATCGGGTACCCTGATTCGAACCTCTCTACTTGAGGACCTGCATTCTGCGCTTGATTGTCCTTGCTGGTGTGATAGGCAGGGAATGAGGGAAAATGACCCGGAAGGGGATTCCCATATTGAAGACAATCAGAGGGGATGGTTTTTCCAGGGGGCATTCCATTTCTCATTCCCTGCCTATCGCACCAGCAAGTATCTCACTCGCACTAGATCGCAGTTGGCTTGAGTTGACCGGTTTGCTCGGGGAACGAGCTCAGCGATCCGGGGGCAAAGCGAGCTCGTGATGAAGGTCCGCTACTTGAGGTTCGCGTTGCCATTTCCACAATGGCACCGTGTTGGATCCAACCCTGAAAAACAGGGTTGCTTCTCTGAGGATTGCAAGCGAACCATCCACAAACCGCGGAGAAAGTACAGGTGTGTGTGTGTGTGTGTGGTGTGTGTGTGTGTGAGTGTGTTCCCTTGCATCACATCAACCGAGCCAGAAAAACCGCAACTAAAGGCAGGGCCAGCCTGTGGTAACATTATCTCCCCATACAGCAGCCAAGCCCAGCTTGAAATCGTGGGGGTTGCTTGCGAGCCGTTAGCTGGGTATGGGTCAAAGTTAAACCACCAAATGGACCGCAGGGGTTTGGTCCATGTTTCCATTTCCCAGCATTTCATTCTGGGGTTAGCATATGTTTGACAACCACGGCCAGCCAACGCTCGTGGCCGTCTTAGGAGTCCAAGATGGCTGACCGGCAGCCTCTGCTATGCCTCCATGGGCGCGGTGGATGAAGGCCGCTTGCGCGGGCATGGGGGGGTGGGGGGGTTCGAAGCCAAGCCCGTCACACCCGAAGGAATGCGGCCAATGCGCCGTATGTCCGCGTTCATGGCGGCAATTTTCGATCCTATGGCCACAAAAAGCCAAGAGGGAAGCTGAAAAGTGGTTGGGCATGAATCCTTATCATGGCCACCGCGCTCAAAGCAATTGTCGCACCTATGGCTATGAAGTTTAAGAGGGAATCTGAAAGGTGGTTGGACATAAATCATGTCCACCAAAGGGTCTTTCATTGAAACTTGGTGGCTCTCAGCCATCCGGTTCCTCAGCTTTTTAGATCCTTTTGGTGTTTCGTGCTAGTGTCCATTCAACCCACAAAAAGTTATTCACTTTCGGGGGACCTGAAAACGGGTCGTGCCCCGTGCCCAAAGTGTTGGCGCCAGGGATCTACGACTGCAAGATCATTGACTTCGGGTTGTCAGAGACCTTCGACCCCTCGGATCCCAACAGTGGCATCACCGACGTCAACGGGACTCCGGCGTGCCTCGCGCTTTGCGCGAAGCGTGGCGTCCTTCGAAGGCTTGGGAAGCCTTTAGAGGGATTTGTTCCCTGCGAAGCGAAAAAAGAAGAAGTTCAGCCGGTATGCCCGGTGAATCCCAGTTGTTGCTGTATAGATAGCAGGGAACTGGGGAAGCAGACATGTTCCCTTTCGTCTCAGGATGGCTGCCTTGGTTAGCCCGGGTAAATGGATCGGAGCCAAGGCTTTTCGACAGAGAAGCGGACTAAGGTACATGGCCCCGGAGATTTGCATGCGCTCCGGCAGGGGGCCTAGCAATTCTTGTTCGGGACATGAGCGAGGTAGGTTCACGCGGAGCGGAGTTTGGTTTTGAGGCCGGAGCCATTAAAAGGCTGTTCGCCGCATCTCTGGGGCAAGGCTTGTTTTTGGTTCTGAACTATTCCAAAAAGTGCAACTCGCAGCGGGAGCCGAATTCTCTTCTGGTCAGAACCGCGGAATGGTGGAGAAGTGTGGTTTACCGACAGGGCTTTTGTGTAGTGTTGGGAAATGCAAAGATTATTGGTGGTCTCAACCCAGACCTGCCATCCCTTGTGTTTCTTGGTACATTATTTATGTATAACTATATATATATACACGCATACTGTGGATGGACACAATCCTGCACCACCTACGAAACCATGGAATGATTCAATTCCCCTGTAAATACCAACTAACAATGGTTACCCATGGTTTGAAGGTGGTGCGGGATTTCGTCCATCCACAGTATATATATATATATACACATCTCTCTATCTCTTCCGAAGGAGCGTGGCAAAAAGAGACAGTCCCGAGGGAAGTACGGCGCCAAGAGCGACGTGTGGTCCATCGGAGTCATGGCATACGAGCTGATCACCGGATGTCTACCTTTCGGCCTTTCGGCGGGCAGTGCCCATGGATGTCCGTTTTGTTTTTCTCCTTAGCTTGGTTAGAAATAGATGGGTTCCGCGAGTGTAGTGGTTTGCCTTTTTAATTCATTTACTGGGTTGTCTATTGTTCCAAAAGGTCACCCATGGCAGTGCGAAGAGCAGATTTGAGCAACTTGGAACACCCGCATTGATCAGGGCCATTTTTGCCGCATCTTTTCGAGCCCGAGCTTGAAAGCTCTTGTTTGACGCTTAGAGGTGATGCGTCGGACTACCCCGGCCGCCATCGCGATCTCTTTGAGATCACCAAGAAGTACGAAGATGTGAACTCCTTTTGGACCTTGATGCCGAAGGAGGGGTTGCGTCCGCTTTGACCATTGAAACACTCTCCTGGAGGGCGCTCCCTGACAGGAGCACTGGAGAGAAGCAAGAGACATGTGGCTGCTTGTTTGCATTGCTAAAGGGTCTCGAGAGTCTCGATACTTTTTCGGCTCACTTGCGATGCTGCCATTGATCAGCCACATCCATAGTTGCCAGGGGCCTCCTTCACTCCCAAAGTGGACACATGATTTGGCCTCTAGTTTTGACCCATGAATTTTCATGAGCGAACACCCTCAAACCTGGTAGAAGAGATCCCCAATCAAGATTCATGCCCATCGGGTTTGTTTCCAACTTTGGGGACCCCAAAATTGGTTCCCCTTTTTCCCGCCGTCCGGGGGTTCGGTTCTGCGAGTGTCGCAGTCCGTGCGCAGCCGAGGGAGCAGAGCAGCAAGAGCTTTCGGAGCTTTGTGTCCGGCCTCCTGCTGCGTGATCCCAACGACAGGCGTCGATTTGTTCGAGGGACGCCGCCGTTTTTGTTTTTGTTTGGCGGGTCGGACGAAAGAGGGGGCGAAGGCGCAAAGGGACCCTCTCTTTCTCCTTTCCTTTTTTTTTGGGGGGGGGGAGGGGAGGGAGGGGAACACTGATTGCAGGTTCCTACAGGAAATTCGCAAAACAACGTTTTGAAGTGTTTGAGCGTTGCAATCCTGCCACGTCTTTCACCATTTGTTTTCTTTGTATGGTTTTTCAGATGGGCCCTTTGTTTCGCCCCTAGCTGGACCTTCCTGAAATGCTCTTCTGACTGAACAGGGGTTTCCAAGAGACATATTTTGGCCATTTTGTCAGAAGTGCTTCCTGGTTGTGATTCGGGGGCATCAAGCAGGAGACTTTTCAAGGATACTTTGGGTTTTCAGGCAGCTGGGAAAGAACGGACAATGCTCCAACTATGAGAGATATGAACCGCTGACTTTTTCGGGCGCTGGGCTCAGTTAAAAAGGGCTTCTACATTGATTGGGGCCGCCCCGTTTGGATATGTGTTCGACCATTTTCCTCAAGTTTAGTCACATGTCAATCTGAATTTCTCGAAATTGGGCATCATGTAGGGTCCTTACACTTCCTTCTCGCAAGAGTCAACCACTACAGCTTCATGTCGCCATACCCATCTCCCAATTAAAGTGGTGCATGGTGGGTTTGATACAACCCCATTGGGGCACCAACTAAGCTCGGGAAGGAGTTGATTCAACGTGAGCCAACCACAATTACTGCACCCTGCCTTGTGGCTTACCTGGACATCGACCAAGACTTCTTCCCCTCACTTGCTTCGACTTTCAACTTCAGTGGTTTTCCCTCAAGAGTCATCCTAATGTGTTTGGGTGGAGGGTTCCACACAGGTTCCAAGGTTCCAGGGAGGTCTGAGGCTGCTGGGGAGGCCTCTTGGGCTTTGCTCGTGCTACCCGTGGGCTCAGCGCCTGCCCAAAATGTCCAAACCCTGACGCGGCTCCCGAAAAAATAAACATGACCAAACCACTTCTGTGGAGCCCAAGTTTTGCCCACTTTTCTATACACACCCCTTTGCCCCCCACCCCCTTTGGTCCCTGCCACGCAGGCCATCGGCCTGGGAGGCGATGGAGGAGCCCTGGCTGACAAAGTTCAAAAGCCCCAGGGACGGGCTCACGGAGGAGATCCTCGAGTCCATCATCACCTACGCCCAGGCGCGGTTCCATCGGCGCGTTCGCGGTGTTTGGCCCGGTGGGTTCTCTCCCGCGCCGTTCGGGGCCTTCGCTCCCTCCGCGGGGGCGGTTGGGGTTGGAGCTGCGGGTGGTGAAGAGTCAAAATCGGATGGGTAGCTAAAAGGGGCACCAAAAAAGGAGGGCCATGATTGGGGTGGCACATATTCTGACAAGAGCACCGTTTGATTTGGCCAAAAGGACATCAACGGGGGATGGGTCATTGCCAAGGCTGATTCATGGCATGGCTAAGAGTAAGCTTCCTAGATCTAGTCATCTTTTGTCTAACCCCGCAGTTGGGAAACCAGCGTGTTTCAATCCACCACAACGCCCCAGGTTCGGCTTAGGGTCCACTTGTTGGTTTCGTGGGGTTATAGTCAGGCTGATATTTTGTGTGAGATGAGCATTGGATTCTGAGTCCTGGCAGCTTTCCAGTTTTATGCGTCAGATTCCTCTTACCCCCCCCCCCGGGAAAAGCTAAAATGCAACCCAATAGGACACTCGCAACCCAACTCCCCAAAAAGCCACACGCTTCCTGACATAGCATCCGCAAGGCAAGTTTGCTCCAGGACTGTCAGATTACATACGGGTGATACTGTGGTTGGAGGAAATCCTGCACCACACAAGAAACCCTTGAATGATTCGATTCCGCTTTAAATACCAAGAAACGTAATATAATGGTTTCAACCATGGTTTCCGTTCGTGGTGCCTAAGCGGATTTCGCAACCATCCACAGTAGGGCACCTCTCGGGTTTCACTGAGGCTCCTCACTTCGAGAAGGCCGGGTTTCGGTTTGCCGCTGGGAATCCGCTTCCGGTTGAATTTTCAGACCCCGAAAAGAAGATCAACTCCAAAAAGGTCACAGGCAGTGAAAAAAAAAGCCTGGAGCCGAGACTTGTGTCGCACCTGTCTTCCCCTGGCTGTTCTGCAACTTGTCATCTCTGGCTCATGCTGGGCAGTGAACTCCAAAAAGGGCACATTCCAATGGGTTTCCAACAGAAAGAGGGTGCATCGCTTTGCTCTCTTTCCGCGCGTTTTTCTTTTGGGCTTTGTTGTCCATCAAAAAATCCCGTCAACCACTTCGTGTTTGTTTTTGCAGGGTCGGTCAAGTGGGTCTTGGGTTCCTGAGCTTCGGAACAAGCATATGGATAATATTGCATATATATGTATATATATATATACACAAACATGACCATGCATACATACATACATACATAAATACATACCTACACATCTACCTACATACATACATACATACACATACCTACATACATACATACCTACCTACATACACATACATACACATACATACACATACATACACATACAAATACATACGCATACATACATACATACATACATACATACATACATACATAAATACACACCTACATACATACATACATACACATACGTACATACATACATACCTACATACCTACCTACATACATACATATACATATACATACATATCTATATATACATACATACATACATGCATAAATACCTACCTACCTACATACATACCTACCTACCTGCATACATACATACGCATACACACATATATACAGGCATACATACATACATACCTACCGACATACCTACCTACATACATACATACATACACATACATACATACATACATACATACATAAATACATACATACAACCATACACATACATACATACCTACCTACACACATGCCTACATACATACATACATGCATGCATGCATACACACATACCTACATACATACACAGACATACACAGACAGACACATACATACATATACATACATACAAAAAATCAATCCTACCTACCTTCATACATACATACATACATACATACATACATACATATATACCTACCTACCTACCTACATATCTACCTGCATACATACACAAACGTACATACATACATGCATACATACCTACCTACCTACATACCTACCTACCTACGTACACACACATACGTACATACATGCACACATACATACTACCTATATAGCTAAATACATACTTACATACACATACGTACATACATACATACATACATACATACAAGCATACATGCATACATACCTACCTACACACCGACATAAATACATACACATACGTACATGCTTACATACATACCTATCTACATGCATACATACATACATACACATACGTACATATAAATGCATACATACATACATACATACACATACATACATACATACACACATACATACATACATGCATGCATGCATGCATACATACATACCTACATGCACATACATACATACATTCATGCACGCATACATACATACATACATTCACACACACACATACGTACATATACATTAATACTTACATACATACATACTTACATACATACATACATACACACACATACACACATACACACATACACACACATACACACATACACACATACATACATACATATATACCTACCTACCTACCTACATATCTACCTGCATACATACACATACGTATATACATACATGCATACATACCTACCTACCTACATACCTACCTACGTACATACACATACGTACATGCATGCACACACACATACGTACACACCTACCTATATAGCTAAATACATACTTACATACACATACGTACATACATACGTACACACAAGCATACACACATACACACATACACACATACACACATACATACATACACACATACATACATACATACATACATACATGCATACCTACATACATACATACATACATATACACATACATACATACATACATACATACATACATACATACATACATACATACATACATACATACATACATACATACATACATGCACACGTACATACATACATACATACATACATACATACATACATACATACATACATGCATGCATGCATGCATACATACCTACATGCACATACATACATACATTCATGCACGCATACATACATACATACATTCACACACATACGTACATACATACACACATACATATATCACATTACACTACATTCACATTACAGTACATTACATTACATTAGATCACATTACATTACATTAGATCACACTACATTACAGTACATTACATTACATTACGTTACATTACAATACAATATAATGCAATACAACTACATACATACATACATACGCGCACATATATATATATATGTATACATATATTGCAAGCATGATGGCCAAGTCAATTCATCACATCCCGTTCACTGGCTCTCGGGTCCCTCTGGTTTGAACTTCCCGCGGCAGCGGGTCACAGCGGACCTACGTCAGTCCATTTTCAGCTGTCCGGCCAAAGATGAACAACCAACCAGAAATGGCCCCCTTTTCATTTTTTTGCCGTTGGGGTCACTGGAGCTGAGTTTGTGAGTTGGACACCCCGATCTCGACAGGAACGTGAGGGTTAGAAGACTTAGTAGTTGCTTGGTAGCCATCTTTGTGGCAAGTCCCTTTCCGTGAAAACCAGGGTCACCAAAACCCAAACTCCCCAAAACCCAAACTCCCCAAACTCTCAAACCCCAAAGCCTCCAAACCTCCAAACCTCCAAAACTCCAACTTCTGTCAGAAATCTGGGAGATCAAGTTAAAACCAGCCCCTTGAGCTCAGATTTGCCTGCTGCTTATCGCGGCGCGGCTGGATGGGGAGCAGTTGGAGCCATTCCGGCACGCCTTCCTGGGCATCGATACCGCTCCTCGGTTGGAAAAGAATTGCCAGCGGTTTGTGGTTGGGTCGGTTGGGTCGGTTGGTCGGTTGGTTGGTCGGTCGGTCGGTCGCTTGGTTGCTTGGTTGCTTGGTTGCTTGGTTGCTTGGTTGCTTGCTTGGTTGGTTGGTTGGTTGGTTGGTTGGTTGGTTGGTTGGTTGGTTGGTTGGTTGGTTGCCCGCCTGCCTGGCTGGCTGGCTGGCTGCCTGGCTGGCTGGTTGGCTGGCTGGCTGGTTTATTTGTGGTTGGGCTGGGTTGGTGTGGGTGTGGGTTGCATTGGGCGGGTTGGGTCATTTGGCTGGGATCGGTTGGTTTAGTTGGGTTGCGGTGGGGTGGCTTGGGTTGGAGTGGGTCGGGTTGTTGGCTGGGTTGAGTTTGGTTGGGTTGGCTCGGGTTGGGTTGGGCCGGGTTGGGCTGGGTTTGTGGGCTGGGGTGGGTTGGTTGTAATGTTGGGTTGGTTGGCTTTGGTTAGGCTGGGTTGGGTTGGCTTGGGTCTGATTGGGTTTGGGTTGGGTTTGGTTGGTAGATTTGGCTGGTTCGGGAATGAAACGAACAGAAGGGAATCCCCGCAAAGGAATACCCACCATTGTTTTTTTATTTTTGAGGGGGGGTCCAACTCATCTACGAAGCAGCGAAGATCCGCTTGTGTCCAAATCGCAACAGGGAATAGTCCTGCCAAGCAAGGCATACTTCACTTCTGGAGACCCGGGAGTAGTAAAAACCTTCGGTCAACCCATAGGGGGAGAGGGGGGTCTTCACTTGTGGGGGGAAACAGCATAATTCACCAGGCGACTTTTTTCCCGGGTCAAAGTTTAGCCCCGGGGGGCACCCTTTGGGCGGGTTTCAAGGCGCAATCAAAAGAAGCCCAAGCTCCAAGACGTACCCTAGCCCCAAGCTGCAGGATCCAACACGCCCTCCTGAAGTCTCCAACCGAATCCTGGGCTATTATTTTTTTTTGCTGGCACTGTTTTGTTTCTTCCGGGCCACTTGTCGTCAAGTCAAACCCAATACTTAATTGGGGTCTCTTGCCGGATAACATTATTATCACCATGAAACCTTCTGTTCCCATAAACCGCGGGCTCCAAGACATACCCAAACAGCCCCAAGCTGCTGCATCCAACACACCCTCCAACCAAATCCTGGGTGTTTTTCCCTGGCACCCATTTTTTCCACGGAAGTGGTGTTCATGGCTCAGGAGGGCACGGGAGACCTATCCTTTGAAGAGCCGCTGGGCAGAAAAGCGAGCGACGCCGCCTCTGGTCCAAGAAAAGGCGTGGTCTCTGTGGTAGGTGGCTGTGGTTGTCAAACCGAATGGGATCGCATTTTGGGGGTGTTCGGTGAATTCACCACCCATTTGAGATCCAATTTTAGTGGTTGGATTGGGATGTTCACTGGGGGTACGATTTGGCCTTTGACCCATGGCCACGTGGGTCCTTTTGTAATAGGAGGACTCCCCTCCCAAAGTCCCAAAGGTTCGTTGTTTTTTCTTTTTCTTCTGTTGGTTTTCCCTACCGGTCGCAGAGAAAAGCTTACCTTCAAAAGTCCCATACACGCACGCACATGTCGAAGGCATGTCTCTCTTTGCTCCTTGCCCAGGTTTTCCGAGGCCGTGCAGAATTTGCAGGGTCGGCACATGTGCTGCTCGACCAGCCGGTCACAGATGTCGCGGTGGTTCCAAAAGGCTGACTTAAATCGAGATGGCCGCTTGGACTACAGAAGCTCGGCTGCAGCTTCCATTTTTGGATTGAGACTGCCTTTTGCCCTTAGGATTTCCAAGGTGAAACAAAAGCGAAACTGGGCAGGCAATTTTCTGCACAATCCCAAACATACGTGGGGGCGTTTTGCCTTTGTAATTCTTTGCAAGCATGCATGTTGAGGGGCTCCGTGCTACTCATATTTTAGGATACCCGGCCTATGAGCCTACAATTGTTACGTAATACATATATGTAATACATATATGTAATACATACATCATTGGTGTTTCCTGGGGGTACCCTGGATGGCTTTGTGCCACCCAGGGATTCGTGTATGCCCCACAAAGCCCTGCCAAGCCCCGCGCGATCGGAGCGGCGCGATCGGTGAGGCGAGTTTCTGGCTGCGTGCTTGCACTCGCAGCTCCATTCCTTTGAGGATCCCAGCGGGCAGGGGAAGGCGAACGGGCCAGGGGTCCAGGGGTGAAGGGCTGGGGCATGGTGGAAAATGTTTTGCTTCTTTGGTTTTTGTGGTTGAAAATACCTCTTTTTTTAATCATGATACTGTGGATGGACGAAATCCGTTCGCACCACTTGGAAACCATGGTTGAAGCCACAACGTTGGTTGGTATTGACAGGGGAATCGAATCATTCCAGGGTTTGTTCTGTGGTGCAGGATTTCGTCCATCAACAGTATTTTCGGTTGCTTTCAGCTTTTTGCGGCGCTGCTTTTTGTTTCCTCCTCCAGGCCTATGCCAAAGAAACGTAATTCTTTTGTTGTGATTCTAACTCACCCTATAAACTCTACAAATGCAAAGTATTCTTTACAATCCTCTGACAGGATAGACATGCTCAGATACCCTTTGCCAGAGTTAGTCAGAGAGGGATGGACAATGGTCAGAAGCTGCTGAACTTGGAAGGACTTGGGCAGCTCAGCCTAAGCTGACACCTGCAGTCTGCGAATGGAAGTTCCCCCAATCTCCGGTTCATGGCAAGAGTGGGTATTCCTCAAGTCACCTTGCGAATCCAAACATCTCCCTCTGGTTCGAACCTCTCATCCGCAAATCTGCTCGTTGCCGCTTCACATGCCCAAGGACTGCTGGAGATGGAATCCACTGTCTATTGGCAAGGTTCCCTGGTGTCAGAGAAGCAGGAACCAACCCCCAATCGCCACTATGCCATACTTAGTTATCTCTATATACTTAGTTATATATATATAGCGATATGCACACGTGTATCTCCAAATATATATATATATACAGAATGTGTATGTATATATATATATACACATGTATATATATATATATATATTGCAGTAATGTTATGAAGAACGAAGGAAGGTAGTTCATGGAAACGGGCCTGACCAACTATATTTATATGTATACACATATACATATGCACACATTTATCTCCATGTATACATAGTATATGTCTTTACATAGATACATATGACATGTGTATACCTCTGTGTATATAGATATATTCATTTATACATATATATATATATATTTATATATATATATATCTATATATCTATATATACATATGTGGCGGTGTCCTCAATTTGGCCAACTCTTTGGCCTCCGGTTCGCGGGGCCAGGGCTTGGCGGCCTATGCCTTCCAAGTGATCGACGCGGACGCGGACGGCTGGGCCACCCTGGGCCCTTCGGCCCCCGAACCGAACCGACCGGGGACGGGGGTCCGCTTCTGCTTTTTTGACACCAAACCCCCGTTTTTTTTTTTTCAATTTTCCGGTGGAAGTGAGCGATTGGGAGAAGAGATCTTGTCACTCTCTAAAGCTGTCCTTCTTTCTTTTTGTTTGAAAGGCTCCACAGAAAGTGCACGATGATCTTGTCACAGAAAACATTTGGTCCAGTTGCAAATGGGTGGCTCGTCCTTTTTCTCTTTTTGGAGGGGGGGGGCACTTGTTTTTTTTGCTGGTTGTTCAAGGGAGAAGCAACAGGAGAATCACACCATATTTTGGGGGGTCCACCCTGAAAAATCGACAGACAGGGCCATGGAATCCGATGTTTGGCTCAGCAACGCAGGTATCCTCACCTGGATATGCCCCAAGCTTCCGGTTGCAGAAGCGGACGTTTTTTCGCGGCTGAGTGTCTTGTTGCATGTCTTCATCAAAGCTTCTTGCGGAACATGCGATAGAAACGCTCTCGTGATGTAGTGACTATTGTTTGTATATCCCTTTTCTTCGTTGGGTTTTTGGTTTGTTGGCTGGGTACTTGGGGGCGAGCAACAGAGCAGTTGACCATTTTCCCGTTTACCAAAGAACACATGAGCAGAATGGTCGAGATTTCCAAGTGGAAACTGATAAGCACATCTGGGTTTGTCTCAAAACGGGAAGGTCCCCCGGTGGTGGGTTCTCTTTGGTTTCCCATACCACCCCAAAGAGCTTTTCCGGGGTGACTCCCCGTGGAACTGGAGCTGAGTTTTTTTTCGAGTGATCCGAGGCCGTCGACTCAAGGTTCCAGCTTTTCGCTTCACTAGGGAGGTCGTGTGGCTCAATCGGAGAAAGGATGCCAACAATGTTGCCAGGCGAGCCCAAATTGGGTTAAACACTACTGTGATCTCTTTGAACCTAGTTCGCATTTTAAGGCGATGGCTCAGAATCAAGCATTTTTGGTTGGGTGCAAGGAATGAGGTGGCCGCGGTAAAGTTTTTCACCATCCCTGTGGCCAAGTGTATGGAGGAAGGGAAGACCTAAACCTTCAAAAGGGGCCAAGTGGGGTGAACAATTGGCGCATTTTGCCAAGGGATATTAGGACTTTAACACTTTTTGCGCCAACTATTGGGTTTTCCAAATTGAAACCACTAAAGCTTGTGGAGACTTTTAGCAGAGCAGAAAGCAACGGTTTTCCACTTTTCCCCCCCAAGAAGTTGTCCACTCTTTGCAGGGGGGTCGTTGCAACCAAGGGACCGCCCCCATTCGAGCAGAGCGGCCTGAGGCGACCTGGAGCGCTTCTTCCACGCCGAGGCGAGCGCGCTGGAGCTGGACGGATTGCCCGCCGCGCCCTTCAACGCGCCTCGCGGCGGGTCGAATCCGGGGAGGTCGTGACCAGTTGAGCTCGCCGATTTTTGCCTCTTCAGAATATTTTATTTATGATGTTTTCATGAGTTTCCCCTTGTTGGTTTTAAAGGGAATGCATCACTACTGGACATGTTTTCCTTTTCTCTTTCGTGCTTAAGCTAATGGAAGTTGAGCTCGCCGATTTTGTGAAACGAGTCCCGAAGTTTCTGTTTCTGGGAATGAGGGTTGCAAGAGAAACCCTGGGCACTGAGGAGAGGCTGTTTGGGGCTTGGCTGTATCCTGTCCGGCCGGGGTTGCGCCGGGATTGCAGGTGTGAGCGTCTCCATTTGCGAGGCTGAAACGCAGCTTCGCAGCCATGCACCGATTCCTTTCGTCGCACTGAGTGGTTGAGCCAAAGGCGGCTTGATGCTCATACACCAATATACATCCTTACATTGAGATGTCAACGCGGCAAGCTTTTGACGTTTTCGTGCGGCTATGAAGCCCAATGGCGAAATGGTCCGTGGATTTGCAATCCTCATGTAAATGATACACGCAAGGTCCATATTATGACTCATACCCATGTAAACGTGCTCCGTTCATCAGATTCTGCCTCAAAACCATCCAATTGCAGTAGCTGACTTCTTGTTTCTTCCATAGAGTTTCCAGCTTTCAAGTACCACAAGATCCCACTGGCTAGGGGTGCAAGCCGAGGCGCAAGGGCGGCGGCCGATTTGTCTCTTTTCCCCAACAGCTGAAAGCTTTGGGGTCTCAGCCCAGACAGGCTCCGGGGTAGTCCGGGGCGGCCCTGAGGTAAGGTTCCACGATGGGTTCCACCAGGGTTCCACCAGGGTTCCACGAGGGTTCCACGAGGCGAGGTTCTGGAGGGTTCTGGGAGGGGTGCTGTTGGGGATATCGCCTGAGCTTATTTCTTTTCGTGGCACCGAGGTGCAAGCCTTCCATGCCTGCTTGACGGGAGACGACACCTCCTCCGAGTCTTCCGATGACTCGGATGAGCCATGCTACGTGTGGAGCAAAAGAGATCGCTTGCGCGCAAGCGCGCAAGCCGTGCCCGTGGAGCCCTTTCAAGAACCCTAAAAAGGCAACGCACAGACACATACACCCATTTCCAGTTGAGCAAAGCTCAAGTTCTCATTGGCCAGTTTGAGGGTTCCCTTCCCAGAGAAGGGATTGTTGGCCTATGTACACCAAAGCCAAAACTAGGTCCCCCAGATCGTGCCCTTTCTCACCCCCCTTTTTTGGGGGGAGGGTTCCCCTAAAATAGACTACAGAAAACAATAACCTACTAAAATAGACAGAAAAACAGTTGGTACCAACTTATTCTAGTAAAATGAGTAGAAGCAAACAGATGGGCTCAGGGCACCCAGGTCTTAGACGAGTTTCAAAGCATCGCATGAGTTCCTTCAGCCGGGGGGTTTGCGAGGTGCGACCCGGCGAGTGCAACATGGAGACGAAGTGCAGCCAGCCCGGATTTGACGGCGAGCTCAGGGAATCTAGGTCCCCCAGCAATTGGTGCCCTTTTACTCCTTTTCTTGGGGAGGGTTCCCCTACTAAAATAGACTACTGGAGGACCTAGTAAAATGAGCTCATGTTCAAGTTTCTTTGGATCCCTTTTGGCAACAATGCTTTTTTTGCGGCCTTCCCCATGGAGGTTTCTTCCTTCCATCATTTCGGTGTGTCCCATTCTGAAGGCCCCCACCCCCCCCCCCCCCCGCCAAACCTGGCAAGAATTGCTGCGGATTTTGCGGGACCCAACAAATTTCATGTGGATATGTGGGCGTGTTTTTCGGATTGGTACCCCTTTTTGGATTGGATTGATATTTGAAGGCAAGCGAAATTGAACCAACATCTTCCCCATTTTGACACATTCCCCCATGTGTTCAGCGCTCAGGCATTGCATGATCGCAGTGAGAAAGCTTCTTCAGGCGCGACGCATGGTTTATCCCATTCGGGGGCTGGGGGGGGTGGGGGGGTCTTTTTTTTCCGGCGTCCCATGAACCAAAAGGTCGAATTGAATGGAGGTCAACAATTGCTTCTTGGCGGTTTCTGAATGTTGGTTTGTCTCAAAACAAGGGAACCCCCCAACTGTGTGGGTTTTTCCTTTGGCTTCTTTCCAAGATCGGAAAATTGATTCTCCAAGTTTGGTCAACATCATGTTTGGAGTGCGAACCACTGGGCCGCCTTGGCAATGAAGCCACATGCCCGAGGAGCGCAGGCATTTGGACATCAAGATTGCCTGCAAGGTGAACAATGGAAGCCAACAGCTGCAGTGCCCCGGATATGTGCATCGCTGAGCTCCAGGGTTGAGGTTCCAATATTTCCCATGGTTGAAACTTCAAGTGGTCCTTTCCCGTTTGGGGTCTTCTGTTTCACACTTGAACACGAGCTGATCTCTATGTTGCCACATGGGAGTTTTTCTTTTCTGGTGGTTGGGTGGAAAGGGGATCGAGCCCTGCTTGTCGCCAGTTACTTCCGGTGGATGTGAGCCCGTTTCACGCTCGGCTTCCGTGAAATTCGCTCGCCGCGGAGAGCGCAAAAGAAGCATTGCACCTCCCAAGTTTCGTGGGTTTTCTACTTTCTGGTCTGTGGTGACGTCTTCCGGAGAGTATGGACTTGTTTGGCCAACTCAGGAAGTGAGGAGAAAGCAAGGGTGGGCTTAGGGGAACCAAACAACGATGAATTCTCTTTTCTTCCCTCCCCAAACACCAGCCCCAAGAGGCTGCCGAGTGTCAGAAGTTCAGAAGAGGTGAATTTGGGCCCGCATTGCCCCAACACAGCTTCTCAGAGCCCTTCGATCAGCTCGTTTTGTCGCAGGTGCTAAGAATCTTTCCTGGAGTCAAAACCTTCACTTTCCCGCGAGGATGTGGCCGCCTCACTTCCAGCGTCAGTTTGGGGAGCGGCGACAGGCCAATCCATGCGCCCTTTGCGCCTTCCATCAGCTCTTGGATCTATGGAACATGAGAGCAAGCGCAAGCGAGAGGTCGCAACGAAAGCGTTTTCTCACCGCGGAATCTCAGCTTGAGCAAGGAATATGCCTGCTGTCCTTTGACCAATTTGACCAGCCCGTTGCCCCAGCCCTTTGCCAAAAGGCCAAAAGCACAGCCCAGCCCACCCCTCCAGCCAAGCCTCCGCTGAGTTTCCCTCATGCCTGAGTTTCCCGGTAGCTGTTCGCTTCTACACAAACTAGTCAGTCTGCCGCAAGTTGCTTCTTTCGTCGCATACGCCGCACCAGTTCTCCCTTTTTCCCCGTTTCCTAGCCTCAAGTGGTGTTGTCTTCCCTCCGGGAAAAATCTGAGCCCTCCACACGAAGCTCCGGTGCAACGGGCTGACGCCGAAGACGATGCCCACGCGGCGCCCGCGGCGCAATGTAGTGGCCAAGCCGGTCGCCAGCAGCTTTGATGGGCTGCAGGTGGCGGGCTGCAAGGACGAGGTGGTGGGGCCCCTCATCCGGGGCAACTACACCTTGCAGGAGAGAAAGCTGAGAGCTGGGAGCTAGAGGTCTCCGTTTTTCTGAAGAAGAAGCAAGCACATGCACAATGTGACATTTATGTATGATACTTCAAGGAGAGAGAAAGCTGGGAGCTGGAGGTTGTCTTTTTTTTCTTTAACAAAACGCATGCACATGCGGGCGAAGGTGATATATATATATATAGTATGATAATTTTCAGGGAGAGAACAAGGTTGTTGCGGTGATTTTGACTTTTTTGGCCACCAACAAACTCCCTAAAGGTTGCGCGCTCCCGGATTCGTTCGTTCGAGAGCAAAAGGTGAAAGAGGTCTCCGTTCTGGAAAAAGACACCTGCACAGGGCTGCGTGATATATATATATATACATACAATATAATCGGAATTCTGCTTGTTCAAAGCAGGATCCTGCATGATTGGCGGCTGCGGATGATGTGGTTTACGGATTGGACCCTTTGCGGAGTACGGATTGTGGGTTGCATGGGTTTTCAATAGCTTGAAACCTTTGGCAAATGTGAATTTCAGAAGATTCTCTAACGACTCACTCCCTGAGTTCCGTTACTTTAGACTCTTTAGACTCTTTGGGTAGACCGTTTGAATGGTCAACAAAAAGGTGAGGGACTCTTTGTGACCAATCCGCTCGATCGGCAGTGAGACTAGGCTGAAGGCAGGCAAGCTGATCCATCTGGCGGCGAGCCTTTGGAGTTTTTCAGCCGAAGCTCACAGCGACGATTCCATGAGTTTGTGCACAGCTTGACTGCTATTGGGTTGGATCTTTGACGTCAACTTGTTGGTTGAAATAAAGGTGTTTTCCCCTAAACCCCCTAAAAGTTAAACTTTGTGCAGGGGGGGTCAATAGCAATCAAGACAGATTTCTGTGGAAAGACGACTTTCTTCTTAGAAAAGGCTGGGCGTGCGCTTCCATGTTCGTTGGGAGCCAACCATTTGGACAGCCACCATGGACCCGGTCCATTGGTTAACCGCGCCGGGGATCTCTAGGAGAGGAACCACGACCGGCCCGTCTTCGTCAAAGATGAGAAGGTGGGGTCCAAAGGCCTCGATGTGATGCTCTACTTCTGGGACGACAAGGAGAGCCCGGACTTCTCGGGGTGGTGGCCCCTTCGCCGGACAAAGGTAGAAGCAAAAACGGAGAGGCGTTGAAAAAGGGGGGGAGGTTGGTTTCGCCTCTTTTTTGGCTTTTGCGGCTGAAAGTCGCAGAGATGTGAAATTGGGGCCATGTTTCCTTTTGGTGGCAGGTTCGTCAGGTAGGTGCAGCATAAACACGGAGGGGTGCGCACCGCTTGGTGCACTCAGCCACTGATCCGGCGCACAGGTTGGTTGCCTAGTCGCACCTTTGGCAATCAACCATCTAGGAGAGACAATCGGCAAGCTGACATGCTTGAAATCACCAAAAGAAGAGCCAGTTGTTCAAAGCCCAGAACCCATGAACCCACACCCGTCGTAAGACTTACACCGATGAAGGAAGGGGATGGATGTTTCGATTCGGTCTGCCGGGTTCGGATCCGAGGTTTGGCCCGCAGGTGGGCGGGGATGAGGCGGGGTCAACATGGAAGGGCCGAGTGAGTAGTTGGACCGAGGTCCCCCAGCGATCGGTGCCCTTTTTGTCCCTTTGGGGGAGGGTTCCCCCACTAGAATAGACTACATAAAAAGTTGGTACCCTTATTCCAACCTCTCTACTGGAGGACGGAAAATCTGGATTTCCTGGGATTCGGCATTGGATGCTTAGGCTTTGCCCTCCCAACAACTAACTTGGAACCCTCCAGACAGTCCCTTTTGGAGGAAACATTGTCTTTCAGGAGCCCCTAGTCGGATTCCGTGTTAGTGGGTGTGTGCGCAAGACTCGAGTCAGCACTGTGCGGACCAGCGAAGATTGTGCTCTGGAATTTGGGGAACTGTTTTGAGTGGAAGCTTTGAGACGCGTATGGAAGCTGTGAAACCAACTCCCAGGGCCAATTCGCACTATTTTCAGGTTCAACCGCCACTTGAAGCCTTTTATGGCAACTGCGGATTTTTCCTGAGTTGCTTAGTCGGATCAAGGCGACAGTGGTTTTGTTGTTTTTCTCCAAGCCCGAAATGGAACTCATGTACAGGCAACATGTCCCCCCTGCCGCCTCTTGGTAGGGCAGTTGGCTGAGGGCGTCGTAGCCTCTGCCTGTCGGGGCTTCCACTCGCAGTTGAGACAAGGAGAACGGCCCAGTTAGTTGCCCAAGGTTTGTTGATATATATATATATTTCTATATACTGTCACATTATATATATATAATATAAACTATGATCACATACTATGATCACATACTATGATCACATACTATGATCACATACTAGAACATAGTCTAATCTAATAATAATCTAATATAATCAAATCGTTTTGAACCACCAGGACTTTCCATCGGCTCGCAAATGGTCTGTGGAATGACCTCTCAATGGCTGTTTTGGGGTTATTTGCCAGCCATTCGGGGGTCCTGGCATGGATTGTTTCTCCGGGGGTCCTCGCATTTCGAGGGTTTGCAAATTCACAAAACCTTTCATTTAGAGGGTGTTGCCACTCGAAATCAGTCTTGAGACCTTCCCTTTTCGTCGAAAAGGGCCGTCGCCTCGTCCAAACCCGGTCGCTTCCTCGGTTCCTCGGTTCCTCGGGGTCGGTCGGTGACATCCAGAGCTTGTCCGCTCGGTCCCCCAGCGATCGGTGCCCTTTTTACCCCTTTCTTGGGGGAGGGTGTCCCTACTAACATAGACAGGACAAAAGTTGGTACCCTTATTCTAAGCTCTCCGCTGGAGGACCAAACTCTGGTTGAAATCCAGTACAGCAGAACATATATCCAATATTCAAGAGAGTTTCATCTAAGCCGAGAGTCGAACCCCGGGTCTCCTTTGATTTCAACCACTGAGAGGGGGTTTAAAGTCTTCCACCCCCTGCCTGCTTTCTCTTTTCAGCCTCCTTTCTCTTTTCAACCACTAGGGGGGGGTTCACTCAAATTCAGTCGAACTTCTGGGCTTCGGCTTGGGGGTGGGTTGGAGCTGGGGGGTGGGGTGGGAGGTGGGGTGGATCTGGGTGGGGGTCCCCGTGGCAGGTCTGGGCCTTCCACCCGGACACCGCGGCCAAGGCGCCCCCCGGCAGCGGCTGGCAGTGCCCCTTCGACGGCCCCGTGGACTCCTCCATCGAGGCGCCAGCTCGCGTGGCGCGCGTGGCGCGCGTGGCGCGCGTTCGCGCGTGGAAACCGCGTGGGGGGAGGGGGGGCAGGTGGGGGGGGGGGTGGTGGCTTGAGGCGTGGAAAGCGCGTGGAAGGCGTGGAAAGCGTGGGGAGGGGGGTGGATGATGAGATTGCGCATGGTGGAAACGGCTGGAGGAAACACACCAAGGGAATCTCAAACGGATCTCCGCAGAGGGTCGTGGAAGGGGCGCAGAAGGGTATTTGGAGACAGACCCCATGCCAGTATTGACGTCAGTGTTTATTTGTTGCAATTTGCACTGTGGTGGCTGACAACTGTCGAACGAATGCATATTTTGTGTTTGTTTGGACATGTTATCTTCTTTTGGGGTTGAGCGTGCGGGGCGGAAAGGGGGGGGGGGGGGCAGTGGCGGCTCCCAAACCCATGATAGGAAACGAGTCTACATATATTTTTTTTGGTTGGGAGGGTTCCCCTAGTAAAATCGACTCCAGAAAAAGGGTACCGTTTTTCTAACCTCTCCACTGCAGGACCTAGCCAACAAACCTGCCAAGCTTTCAATCCATGGCACTGCAAAAGCAGCACCACTCGTCCAAGCAAAGAAGCCCCGGAGCTGCAAACAGCGCCTCGTGTGTGGCAAGTTCCAAGCCGGCAGCCAGACCATTCAGCTTGTTTTTTGATTAAGAAAATCATATGGTTTTATTTTTTTTGGGTTCCGGCAACTGTTCTTGAAACCAAGCTCAACGTGAGGAACACCAACTCGGATCAAGTTTCAAGGAGCCGATGGGCAATCGGATCAAGACTTAAACTGAAAAGCCAACTTGGGGGTTCGCCTGGCGATGTAGCGGGTGTATGAGGGGTTACCTACCTTGCCAAGATTTGTCCTTCTTTTTTTGTTGCAACCGCCAGCTGGATCCTTTGCAGCGGGGATCGCGCCAGAACTTGCATTTGGTCAATCTCATATTGTTTCTCTATTTTCCCCTGCTGGTTTGAAAGGGAATCTCTCACTACTGTTTTTCCTTTCTTTTTAATAAAGAAGATAAAACATAACAAAACCAAAGTAAAACTATTTTTTCCAGGGGACGAAAACACCACTGAAGGACCTAAAAATTCTCGCAGGTGCTGCCGCGGCTGGTGAAGGGCGCCTCAGCGCCCGGGCGGCAGCCGGGCACCGCCAAGAAGGAGCGCTCGGAGCTCCGGGGTTGACTCAGGTGGGGTCGGTTGCAACGCAAAGACCCAGCTTCTCTACATATAAAATATATGTATGTGTGTATGTAATGTATGTAATGTAATGTAATGTATGTATGTATGTATGTATGTATGTATGTATGTATGTATGTATGTATGTATGTATGTATGTATGTATGTATGTATGTATGTATGTATGTAATGTATGTATGTATGTATGTATGTATGTATGTATGTATGTATGTATGTATGTATGTATGTATGTATGTATGTATGTATGTATGTATGTAATGTATGTATGTATGTATGTATGTATGTATGTATGTATGTATGTATGTATGTATGTATGTATGTATGTATGTATGTATGTATGTATGTATGTATGTATGTATGTATGTATGTATGTATGTATGTATGTATGTATGTATGTATGTATGTATGTATGTATGTATGTAATGTATGTATGTATGTATGTATGTATGTATGTATGTATGTATGTATGTATGTATGTATGTATGTATGTATGTATGTATGTATGTATGTATGTAATGTATGTATGTATGTATGTATGTATGTATGTATGTATGTATGTATGTATGTATGTATGTATGTATGTATGTATGTATGTATGTATGTATGTATGTATGTATGTATGTATGTATGTATGTATGTATGTATGTATGTATGTATGTATGTATGTATGTATGTATGTATGTATGTATGTATGTATGTATATGTATGTATGGTATGTATGTATGTATGTATGTATGTATGTATGTATGTATGTATGTATGTATGTATGTATGTATGTATGTATGTATGTATGTATGTATGTATGTATGTATGTATGTATGTATGTATGTATGTATGTATGTATGTATGTATGTATGTATGTATGTATGTATGTATGTATGTATGTATGTATGTATGTATGTATGTATGTATGTTTATGTATGTATGTATGTATGTATGTATGTATGTATGTATGTATGTATGTATGTATGTATGTATGTATGTATGTATGTATGTATGTATGTATGTATGTATGTATGTATGGTATGTATGTATGTATGTATGTATGTATGTATGTATGTATGTATGTATGTATGTATGTATGTATGTATGTATGTATGTATGTATGTATGTATGTAATGTATGTATGTATGTATGTATGTATGTATGTATGTATGTATGTATGTATGTATGTATGTTGTATGTATGTATGTATGTATGTATGTATGTATGTATGTATGTATGTATGTATGTATGTATGTATGTATGTATGTATGTATGTATGTATGTATGTATGTATGTATGTAATGTATGTATGTATCTGTATGTATGTAATGTAATGTAATGTAATGTAATGTAATGTAATGTAATGTAATGTAATGTAAATGTAATGTAATGTAATGTAATGTAATGTAATGTAATGTAATGTAATGTAATGTAATGTAATGTAATGTAATGTAATGTAATGTAATGTAATGTAATGTAATGTATGTATGTATGTATGTATGTATGTATGTATGTATGTATGTATGTATGTATGTATGTATGTATGTATGTATGTAATGTAATGTAATGTAATGTAATGTAATGTAATGTAATGTAATGTAATGTAATGTAATGTAATGTAATGTAATGTATGTATGTATGTAATGTATGTAATGTATGTAATGTATGTGTAATGTAATGTAATGTAATGTAATGTATGTATGTATGTAATGTATGTATGTATGTATGTATGTATGTATGTATGTATGTATGTATGTATGTATGTATGTATGTATGTATGTATGTATGTATGTATGTATGTATGTATGTATGTATGTATGTATGTATGTATGTATGTATGTATGTATGTATGTATGTATGTATGTATGTATGTATGTATGTATGTATGTATGTATGTATGTATGTATGTATGTATGTATGTATGTATGTATGTATGTATGTATGTATGTAATGTATGTATGTATGTATGTATGTATGTATGTATGTATGTATGTATGTATGTATGTATGTATGTATGTATGTAATGTATGTATGTATGTATGTATGTATGTATGTATGTATGTATGTATGTATGTATGTATGTATGTATGTATGTATGTATGTATGTATGTATGTATGTATGTATGTATGTATGTATGTATGTATGTATGTATGTAATGTAATGTAATGTAATGTAATGTAATGTAATGTAATGTAATGTAATGTAATGTAATGTAATGTATGTATGTAATGTATGTATGTATGTATGTATGTAATGTATGTATGTATGTAATGTATGTATGTATGTATGTATGTATGTATGTATGTATGTATGTATGTATGTATGTATGTATGTAATGTATGTATGTATGTATGTATGTATGTATGTATGTATGTATGTATGTATGTATGTATGTATGTATGTATGTATGTATGTATGTATGTATGTATGTAATGTATGTATGTATGTATGTATGTATGTAATGTAATGTATGTATGTAATGTAATGTAATGTATGTATGTATGTATGTATGTATGTATGTATGTATGTATGTATGTATGTATGTATGTATGTATGTATGTATGTATGTATGTATGTATGTATGTATGTATGTATGTATGTATGTATGTATGTATGTATGTATGTATGTATGTATGTATGTATGTATGTATGTATGTATGTATGTATGTATGTATGTATGTATGTATGTATGTATGTATGTATGTATGTATGTATGTATGTATGTATGTATGTATGTATGTATGTATGTTGTGTATGTATGTATGTATGTATGTATGTATGTATGTATGTATGTATGTATGTATGTATGTATGTATGTAATGTATGTATGTATGTATGTATGTATGTATGTATGTATGTATGTATGTATGTATGTATGTAATGTAATGTATGTATGTATGTAATGTATGTATGTATGTATGTAATGTAATGTATGTATGTAATGTAATGTAATGTAATGTAATGTAATGTAATGTAATGTAATGTAATGTAATGTAATGTATGTATGTAATGTATGTATGTATGTAATGTATGTATGTATGTATATGTATGTATGTATGTATGTATGTATGTATGTATGTATGTATGTATGTATGTATGTATGTATGTATGTATGTATATGTATGTATGTATGTATGTATGTATGTATGTATGTATGTATGTATGTATGTATGTATGTATGTATGTATGTATGTATGTATGTATGTATGTATGTATGTATGTATGTATGTATGTATGTATGTATGTATGTATGTATGTATGTATGTATGTAATGTATGTATGTATGTAATGTATGTATGTATGTATGTATGTATGTATGTATGTATGTATGTATGTATGTATGTATGTATGTATGTATGTATGTATGTATGTATGTATGTATGTATGTATGTATGTATGTATGTATGTATGTAATGTATGTATGTATGTATATGTATGTATGTATGTATGTATGTATATGTATGTATGTATGTATGTATGTATGTATGTATGTATGTATGTATGTATGTATGTAATGTATGTATGTATGTATGTATGTATGTATGTATGTATGTATGTATGTATGTATGTATGTATGTATGTATGTATGTATGTATGTATGTATGTATGTATGTATGTATGTATGTATGTATGTATGTATGTATGTATGTATGTATGTATGTATGTATGTATGTATGTATGTATGTATGTATGTATGTATGTATGTATGTATGTATGTATGTATGTATGTATGTATGTATGTATGTATGTATGTAATGTATGTATGTATGTATGTATGTATGTATGTATGTATGTATGTATGTATGTATGTATGTATGTATGTATGTATGTATGTATGTATGTATGTATGTATGTATGTATGTATGTATGTATGTATGTATGTATGTATGTATGTATGTATGTATGTATGTATGTATGTATGTATGTATGTATGTATGTATGTATGTATGTATGTATGTATGTATGTATGTATGTATGTATGTATGTATGTATGTATGTATGTATGTATGTATGTATGTATGTATGTATGTATGTATGTATGTATGTATGTATGTATGTATGTATGTATGTATGTATGTATGTATGTATGTATGTATGTATGTATGTATGTATGTATGTATATGTATGTATGTATGTATGTATGTATGTATGTATGTATGTATGTATGTATGTATGTATGTATGTATGTATGTATGTATGTATGTATGTATGTATGTATGTATGTATGTATGTATGTATGTATGTATGTATGTATGTATGTATGTATGTATGTATGTATGTATGTATGTATGTATGTATGTATGTATGTATGTATGTATGTATGTATGTATGGTATGTATGTATGTATGTATGTATGTATGTATGTATGTATGTATGTATGTATGTATGTATGTATGTATGTATGTATGTATGTATGTATGTATGTATGTATGTATGTATGTATGTATGTATGTATGTATGTATGTATGGTACCCCATATATGGTACCCCCCCAAAAAAAAGAGAAAGAAAGAACACCACGCCCCAAGAGGATTTGACGGTGGTTGCAGTACTTTTCTGTGATTTCCATTCCTTTTCAGGCACTCCAACTTTGATTCCCCAAAATGCTTTAAAACGCTTTAAAGCACTGTTGGATTCAAGATTCAAGATTCCCAGGACTCTAGATCTGGAATCTTGAATCCAGTCTCGGCCCCCCCAAAACGCTTTAAAGCGCTTTAAAGCGTGTTCATCCAGGTGGCTCGTGGATTCAAGATTCAGATCTAAATCTTGAATCTTGAATCCAAAAGTGCTTTAAAGCGCTTTAAAGCGGTTGGGGGTCCCATACTGGATTCAAGATTCCAGATCTAGAGTCCCGAGAATCTTGAATCTTGAATCTTGAATCCAAAAGTGCTTCAAAGCGCTTTAAAGCGGTTTGGGGGACCCAGGCTGGATTAAAGATTCCAGATCTAGAGTCCTGGGAATCTTGAATATTGAATCCAAAAGTACTTTCAGCCATTTCCTGTTTGTCTGTGTGCACCTTATTCTCCTTTTGAACTTGAGCGCGACAAATACAGTTGATAGCTCATCATATGGACATTGGATAATTAATTCTTCAATAATTGACTTCAACAAATCCATACCAACCCTTGGATATTGAACAAACACCGTAAATTTTAAATACCAGTGTTTTGCATGCGTCCTAGCAGGTTTTGTGCAGAACAGATTTCATTCAGGGAAATTAGTTGTTTTGGAAGAGTGTGGCACTGGTCAATGCATATTAGATGGATAGATAGATAGATAGATAGACAGACAGATAGATAGATAGATGGATAGATAGATTGATATATACATATGATAAATTGTTAGATAGATGGAGAGAGATAGATAGGTAGGTAGATAGATAGGTAGGAATATAGATAGGTAGACATAAAGATAGATAGGTAGAGCAAGAAAGATAGATAGGGAGGTAGATAGATAGCTAGCTAGTTAGATAGATTAGATAGATCGATAGGCAGGTAGATAGGAAAAACAAGATAGATAGATGGATGGATAGATAGATAGATAGATGGATAGATAGATACATAGATAGATAGATATATAGGTAGGTAGATATATATAGATAGAGACATTGATATGCAAATGACAAGCAAGAACAAAGAACGAGATAAATGAAGACATAAAGAAAGACAGACAGAAAGAAATACATGACGAAATAAAGGAAGAAATGCAGAAACAAATGCAAATAAGAAAGGAATGTAGGAAAGCAAGACGAAGAGAAAACGAGTCAAGAAAAGAAAGATAAAGATAACTATAGTTCTTATATTTTGAAACTTCCGCCCACCGGCTTCGCCGGCTCTACTGGTATGGGTGGCTAAGTCTTAATGAATCATTTGCCCACTCCTGGTAGCATCTATCTAAAATGACCTGACTTCCCTTACATAAGCAGCAGGCGCTGTTGCATATATATATATATGTATGTATGTATGTACATATATATATATATGTATGTATATATATATATATACACATGTTTTTTGTTTCCCGGGTCTCGACCAAAAACACCGAAACCCCATGCGGGCCAAGAAATGAAGCTCCAATTGTTTTCTTCGACCAAGCTCCTTTTTTTTTGGGTTCGGGTCTCAACCAAAAGAATCCTGACCTTTCCTGGTGTAGTTCTGAAACGCAGTAGCAAAACACGTTCTCACTGTTCAAGGGATCAACCTGTGGGTCGATCTTTCTATGCTTCTTCTTGTTTGGGGCGGCAGGAAACCCATGTTTAGCCTTTTATCCGCTTGTAAAAACACTTCTTGCTTTCCTTTCGCCAACAAACAAACCCTTTGCGGGGGGGGGGGGAGGGAAACGGAGCCAGCCCTTGCTTGCCTGAGTTGCCATTTGTGTGTTTTTTGGGGTTGGCCGGTGTCTTCATTTTAGGTCCAAGCAGCCTGCAGAGCCCTACTGTGGATGCCATGGGAAACCATTGCTTGTTGGTATTCACAGGGGAATCATCAGAAACCCGGGTTTCTTAGGTGGTGCGAAATGGATTTCGTCCATCCACAGTATGACCTGGCCTCCGTCGACTCAACTCGACTCTGGCGAGGAGGTGATCCCAGTGCTGTCTGCAGCGGAGCAGGAGGCGCGAAGGCAGAAGGAGCTGGAGCTCATGGAGAAGCATGAGGAGCCGGGCGCTGGGAGAAGCCGGTTTCATCCGTTTGCTTAAGAATATGTAGATATATGTGTTTAATATGTTCCCTCGTTGGTTCTAAAAGGAGATTATCACTGCTGGAAATATTTGGTTTCATCCATTTGCTTTAGAACAGTTTTTTCCCCTTGCTGGTTTTAAAGGGAATCTATCACTGGACAAATTTTTCTTTTTGAGAGGGTGCTTAAGCAAATGAAAGGTCTCACGAGTTGCTTTTTGGGAGGTGCGGGTGTGATTAGTGTGGGTCACTTCTCGCAGAGAATATGTCATCTTTTGAGTGGTTTTCCCCAATGGTCATCCCATGTAAAGGACCTATAAGGGCCTTATGACGAACCTCCACGTGTTATTTTTCAGTTTGCAGGCCTGGTTTTGAGCAGTCGGGCACAATTGCCACCTGCGCTTCGCAGGCGAAAGTGGACATAGTCAACGGCAAAACCGTCCACCGTTTTGGGGGTCTTTTTGCTGGAGCTTTGTTCCGGGCTGTTTTCGCACATCGTTCTTTTCCCCAGTCAAGGCAGCACGTTTTTTCGCACACCCTTTCGTCGGCTGCTGTCGCTTCTCAATGCCCACCCCTGAAGTCAGAATAGGGGTCCGGAAGAAGTTTCTTGCTTCCTATGCTTATGACCTTGTTTTTTGGTTCCCCCTGTTGAATGTGTATCGGGTTGTGTTTTTGGATGGTAAGGGGAGGGAAATCACAGGGACACCGATCGAAGCGCAAGAGCAGCCGGGGGGTTGCTTCGCGCTTTGACAAGTTCGGGCTGGGTATGAATTCTAGTTGGGGATCCTTTGATGGACATCAAAATTTGGAGGGGATTCATGTCCTTCAACCATTTCTTAAAGGGAGTTCCCCATTCAAGCCATTCTGCCCTATCATCAGGACTCATTCGTTCGTTTTTTCAACTACGCCGCGACACTGGGGGTGGGTTTGCCTTGAGGACACCGCTTTTGATTTTTTGGTTGACCGGGATGGCGAAGGGACACCAACCAGGGCAACTTATTCCGAGAAGCCCGCATAGACTTTTGTAATGTTGACCCCAGATGAATAAACCCCACTAAAACCAGGGACACCCCCATATTAATAAACAGGGGCTTATTAATCCGGGGTCAACATTAGAGGGAAGTCAAAGAGGAATACAAACAAGCACCTTATCATAAGTTATATTCGACGATGTCTGAAATGGGCTCATCCAATTTTTGTATAGAATTGATCGAGTATTCTCCTTGCGACGGGAGGGAGAAAGCTAGGCCTTCTTTCGGGGCGACGGGGGCAATGTTTTGCCAATGCGGTCAACAGCCACACCCATTGATCAAGTTGGGCTGGGGGAGAGGGAAAAAGTTCAACGCCCCTTCCTTGCCTCCCTGCGACGCAATTCTCCACGCTTCCTTGGACATCCTGAAGAGAAGCCTGCTGCTTCTCGTGGTTTCCTAAAGAACATTTGGGTTCTTGCCTCCCTTTAGTCACCCCATAAACAACTCTGCCACATGAGCGTTGCCTTAAAACGGACATCCAGTTTTTGCTTGGTCCTGGCTGGATAGGCTGACCCTGGTGTTGTTCCATCTTTCTGAGTAAATTCAACGACGCCCCGGGGGGTCCCTAACGTAAGCCATCATTGAATGTTTCCTTGGAAGAAAGTTTTTGAATAGGAGCGAACGCTGTTTCATGCAGGCTGGGCTTGATAGGTGGAAACTGACCGTCAAGCCTTTTCAGGGGCTCAATATGACGAGCCCGTAGGTCGTCCCAGGCGTGGGCCGCCTGGCATGTCGAGGCTTTCGGCATTAGCGACTTCTGAGGCAGTAGCAGCCTTCACGGTTGCCGGCCTCAACGATGCTCGCGACTATGATGCTCTGACTGAGGTGCTTTTGTTACTGAGGAATCGCATCAGAGCTAGCCCGGTAGCAGAGGATCTTGGGGGGCAGCGGCTGGCAATCCAGCGTTGTGTTCAGCCTTTGGTACAGTGGTTGGAAGCAGAGCCCGATGTTGCTCCACTAGATGTACTTCGTAAAGTGGACCTACTCTGGAACCTTTACCTAGCTGCTGTGTCACGCACCGCAATGGCTGACTCTTTCCCCTTGATATGTGGCAATGAAGAGACATGGAATGACACGATGGCAGAGTTGTTTGTGGCAGGACCTACAGTGCACCATGCCAGCACACAACGCAGCCGCCTCAGGTTGGGCAGCCCGCTATGGACCTTGGGCCTGGGACTCCTGGGCTTCGGCGCAGACCAGATGCTGGCCTCGGGGCGTTGGCGTTTCTACTTGGTGATGTTTAGCACTATGTTGGTTGGGATGAGTATGGCCTTATGGTACTATGGGTATCCTTTGTGGTATAGATCGTCTATGACCAGTCATGCCGCTGAGCCACCTGTGTTGAGACCCCGCCCAAGCAGTTCAAGTCAGCAGCATGTTCTTCCCCCTGCGGTTCAACCACCGCTTGCACCGCCTGTGCCAGGAGGAAGTGCTGGAACTACGTTGAATGTGGCGTTTACTCCTCCAGGGCTGAACCCTGGACCTGGCGCTTTGGCAACTGGCACTCGAGTGCTGCTGAATGGGGTGGGTAACACAGCTCCGTTCTTGGGACTGCAGGGGTCGATTGCTGGATCGGCAAATGGAGGCTATGACATTGACCTTGACTCAGGTGTTCGAGTTGCACGCATTTCACATGAGGGCCTCACCGTGGTGCCAGCTGATCAAGCGAGGGCAGTTCCCGTTGGGTCAGTAGTTAGTGAACCGATGCCTGGTGTTAATGGTGTGTATGCCCCTTACGCAAATAGTGGCAGTCATGAGGCGACCAAACTGCAAGCCTCCCGTGTTCGCACTAGCCTGGACAAGTCCTATGCCTTGCAAAGCATTCAGCCGGCTTGGGGAGCTCTCTTCTGGCAAGCCGTGAAGAATGAGGCAGACTTGCATGGACTCCAAGGTCAGGTACAAAAGCTTTTGGAAGCCCATGGCTATGTGGGTCCGGCTACAGTGGGGCCACCGAGGTATGATGAATTGAAGCGCCAGCTGACCGAGCTGGAGACCTTGGGAGCCGTGCCGCACGGTGCTGGTGGGGCCTTGCTACAAGCCGCCAATTCCAGCGCAATGCCCACAGATCCAGAACGCATGGCTTGGCACCTTCGACTTCCAGCAGATCTTCAAAGGGCTGGTCCAGAAATCTATCGTAACATAAGAGCAGAGGGAGTGTCTTCAGTTCGCCAGTGGGTCAATGAGCAGCATGCTGGGTTGGAGGCTCGCAACACGACTCAGTTCCAGGACTTGTTCACGGCTGCCACCATCATTGACTTTGAGCTCGCAGATTGCAGGTCTGAGGTTGATCTGATGAGTAAGCTTGCTGTGTCTGACACCTTAGAGATTCAGTTGCGTAAGCTGGGGTCCTTCATCTACTTCAGACGCACCAAGGACAAGAATGGAGCACTTCGGATGCTTGGTGTGCGTGCTCCAGGGACCAATGCCGACATTGCCCCGAAGTGGATGTTGGATGATGCCAACCTGTTCTCCAAGGCAGAGTATCAGCGTCTGGAGCGGGGCGGCAAGCTTAACAAGCTCGAGCATGGAGGAGGTCATGGCGCAAAAGGGGACGGCAAAGGCAAACGAGGTGGGGGGCGCCCTGGTGGACGTGGAAATGGCAAGCCGCCCAACAAGAAGGGTGGCCAGGCCACCCAGGGGTGACACCCTCTGCCATCAGAGCTGCAGTTGGGTCCACGGGCTGCAACTCTGGAAGAAACTTTGCAGTGGACGGCGGCTGGTGGTTTCATGCCTACAGTCGCAGAATTCATTGAGGGCCATGATGTGTGGCCCCTCCTTCCACTTCCTTTGCCCGAGTTGGTTCACTGGAAACGACTTAGAAGCTGCAGACTGCGCATGCGACAGAAGAGACGGCTTCAAGTGCGTAGAGCTGCAGTCAATGTTGTCAAGGTGATCAACTCGTTGCACACGGGGCATGTTTTGGCCCCCTCGCTGACTGCGCCTGATCAGCAGTGCGGAAGCCGGATGAAGGTTACGCCAGCTAGGGCACTGGCTCTGAAGCACATTCTTACTAAGGTGTCTTTGGAAGTCAGGGCACGCCGGAGTTTCGACTTGACAGGCGTCCGTGCTGTGGCATCCCTTTTGAAAGCTCCACTGGATGAATCTGGCTATGTCCGGCCCACTGGTGTCAGACAGGTGCCCATGCTTGCTTCTCGTATGGTTGAACCAACTGAGGTTGAATATATTGATATGCTTAGTGCTCTGCCCCCGGAAGATGCCCTTTACTATGCACAGGAACACCATGTGGTAGAGGCAGGTGGTAAGAGTGAAGTGCTGTTCAAGGAGATTGAAAGCCATTATGGTTTCATTGGTGGTGAGCTTAGTGAGTTTTTGGCCTACTTGCGTCGTGATGATGTGCGGCAATTGTGGGAATGGGACCTCATGGAGAATATCAAAGCAGTTGCTGGTGTTTCTACGGTTCTGAAAAAGAATGGGCATGATCAACGTAAGCTCATCATGCAGTGTGCAGCCAACTACATGTTCGGAGATCCGGCTGAGCGTGCCCACCTCGGGATGGGTGGCGGCTCCTCACTGGCTAGGTGCTTCCTGAAGGCTGACAGCATGGAAGTGGCGGCCTGTGATGAGGACTCTGCTTTCACCTATGTCAAAGTGCCGGCATGGATGGCTGCTTGGCAAGCGGCTCCCCCAATATTGGCGTCAGATGCATGGGACCTCTTGGATGATTCTCTCAAACTGCAGATCCCGTTTCCCACTGCAACATATGTGGCCCCTAAGTATCTGAGGTTGGCAATGGGTGGGAGTCATTCGGTTTACAATCTTATGCGCATCAATCTCCATCATATCGGTAGCACTCTTTTCAACTTTGCTTCTCGGTTGAGACTTGAGGGAGAAGAAGGGCAAGCAGGAAATGAGAACAGCATAGGCCTTGTTAGTAGTATTGACGATGACGACGGCTTTGGTGATGACGGTGCAATGGTATCTGATGA